ACTTTCATCTCATATTAATCTTGTCCGTCTATGACAAACAGAAAGTGTTTTTTTGTTAAATATCTATGAATTATTTTAGATTAATAGCTATAAATCTATCTCTGAATGTGCTACTGTGATCAAACCACTCTCTCCTGCTGCGCTACGAAGGATTGCAGCCATGTGCTTTATCCGTGGCTGTGATGTAGGGTTCAGCCAGGAGTTGATGGACAGTCAGAAGAGTGAATGAAATGGTAGGAGGGACATCCCAGCTTCAAGTGGTTTCAGATTTCACATCCTACATCACACAGGCTCAGAAAAATACTACTGTGTCAGTTGGAACCAGGACTATCTCTCAATGCAAGCCATTTCGATCTACGGTGTCCACAGATCAATTTATAAGTGAAAATGTTGGTCGGAACTGGAACAAGAAGGGGACCTTACATCTAAGAGGATTTATGAATGTTTCCGACATTTTCTGACTACTAAACAACTATTGATTTAATACCATGGAAAGTTACCGCAAGTCGCAAAGAAAACAGGAGCTGCCTCCACTATTCCAGCATCATTTCAACTTCAACATTTCAACATCATCAAATCACCTATGCTTAGTCTAATACAGTGACAACTAAAAAATACCAAAAACCAATTTAGTCCAATCAACTTAAGCTAAATATGATGTGGCTATCCATGGTTCTGATTTCTGTGTGTGTGTGTGCGTTCGTGCCAGTAGAAAAAACATTTTGACTCACTCTACTTTTAGAGAAACGCCAAAGCAATCCTTCTCTCTTTCATGTTGACGAAACGGTCTATGACTCTGTCATACAGTACACACATTTATTTTTTGTTGTCTTAGGCTACCTGGCTAAAATGCTTGCTCGCTAGCCTAACTTCCTTTCATGACCAACATTAGCTAGTTAACAATAGCCTTCTACATCTAGCTACATATTGAACTTCCATCCTCTCAGGCCAGGGGCAGAAACACCATTATAATCATTGGCCAGTATGGAGAATTAAGTAAAACCAGTGGCTAGCTAGTTAGCTAAAAAAAGTCAAAATCTCTATCTCCATCCATGGCTAATTTAGGAAAGGGCCAATTTTAGCTAGCTAGCTATCTAGCTACTGGAGGACAACAACACAACGAGATGCAACAATTCAAGTTGTTTCTGTCAATGGCGTATTGCTCTCGATGTGATGTGATTGGTGTGAAGCCAAATCCAAACTGGCTTCCCTTGACACTTTTTTTTTTTGGTGTGCTAGGACCATTTACAGATGAGCTCCCTCAGTTTAGCTCTACGCTGATTGGCTATTATTTTAGACTTTTTTTTATCAAGGGAGGCCAAATGCTTGCTGGCTTCCCTTGCATTCAATGCTACGGGCGGCAACAATGTCATACTCTTTTTGCCCAGACAGCATCAGAAAGATGGCCGACACATACAGAGACAGAGGGACGCTGCTTCGCTCGCTCTGATGCTTTCTCCGGTGAGATACATTCAGCCTCTTGTGAATCGAAGGAAAATTATGAAACATGTTAAAAATGTTTCTTTTTTTGTTCTTGCTCAATTTTTTGTGAAAGCCTGGCACCCATGAATACACGCCACTGTTTGTGCACACATTTGAATGGTGTCTCTGCGCCGCTCAGTGGACGTTTAGGAGGAAATTATCTGTTGTCAGTATATGAAAGTGTGCCAATATTGTACTGTCACTAAGTATTTTATAGTTATAAGAAAGGTGACATCTTAGCTTCCACACGCACTCTCTATCCGTCAATGGATCCTCACTTTTTTGGATATAATTTATATGGAGCTGTTTACCGCTGGGAGATGGGAAAGTGGGGAAGGAGAGAGTGAGCGAGTGTGAGTGTGTTTCCTGTTTCCTGTGTGTGTGTGTGCGTGTGGTTGCGAGGTCACGATGTACTGCTGTGCCCAGTATGGGTCCACCACCTCCCTGAGGGGCTTGTGGTGACATCAAATACCATGTGACCTTTAGCTGCTGTCTTCTAAGGCCTCATTGTGAGGGCAGACTCATAGTGACGTGTCTGATACATACACACACTTCACAGACTGGACGAGGGGTCACTGGCACTCTGACTGATGTAGAGTGTGTGTGTGCGTGTGCGTGTACGTGTGTGTGTGTGGACCCCCAGTACACAGTCAGTTAGCAATAGAGTCACAAAGAAAACAGAATGAGGCTTATTTGTTCACAAATCTAGTTCATGTCACTCAAGTTCACTGCCACCTTCCTCCTTAAAAGGACTGGAAATGACCATAGTGTTCCCCAATCCACTTCTGAACTACATGAACACTGGGCGCACACAGTCCAGGGATAAGGCTGATAATGCCTCACACAAGACCCAGTAATGCAGTTATATAACAACAAATAACCTCAGCTTTATGTGCATATTTAGAGGGCGTGAATAGAGCTCAAAGCAGAATGAGAATTTATGACTAAGGCTGTTATGGTGACTGTAATACCAGTCATGACGGCAGTCAAATTCCACTTGACGTTTAGTCATGGTAATTAGGCTTCTCCAAGCTCTGATGCTGCTGATGGTCATTAGTAGCCTAGCAAACTTGCTAACTGCCTGGTACTCAGCACTCTATTGTCCCTCTAATCACTCTGACATCAATGAAAATCTAATCGAAAATCTAATAAAATACTTAATGAGAGCCCATGAGCTCATGTTGCGCAACATTTCTATAGGCTATGCAATTGCGTGAGAAAACAGAGTGATGGCCTCTATTAAAAAGAGGAGGATCCCGTCAGCTTTCTATAGGCTAGGCCTACTATATTTATTTCTCAACTTTCCTAATATTAAGCACATTGCTTCTCTTTACAATAGGAGTATAGCCTACCTGGCTGGCATGAAAATGAACCATGGGAAAAGCGTCCTCCATTCGCTATTTAAGTGCATAGATTACGTAATTTTTGCATGATAATGGTCCATTCTAAATCAAATCAAATTTCACATATATATTATTTAGTATATGTAAAGACAAGATTAAATCAAGAATAGTGTGATGGGTGACAATATTAGCCTATCACAATTATATTTGTCACTTGTGAATGATGCCCAGCTTAAGGCAAGAAACAGCACATGCTTTTTTTGCGACTTTTTCAAATCATAGTCACACACCTCCTGTAGCCTATCCCTTAGGCATATATGTTTTGATAAGGTTTGTATCAGAACTAAAGTGGCAAAAAGCAGCGTGTGAGTTTCAAGTTTGGGGAAGATAATTTTCACCATAAAAATGCACTTTTACAATAAAAGCATGACATGCATAATTGCATTTGTGGTCACTTTTGAGAATTGTGTTTTCCTGCTAATGGAACATTTCCGCTTATAGCCTACTGCCGTGTGCGCATTGCTGCGCATATACTGTGAAGAAATAGCCTAATCATTTATCAACATTTTAAGCTAAACGTTCTCATCTGTTGCGTCAGGCTCATTGCTTAAAACAGGTTTTTTGATGCTAGTGGTTGTATTAATTTGGGATCTATTGCATCCCACAACTGTCCCAAACTATTTTTGGAATATTTATTTCTCGCACAGAATAGAATGGGTCAACTTTTGTACTATGGGGGATAGTAGATTGACATAGGCTAGTGCTTTGCTGTTTGTTAGGCCTACTCATCTTGTTGGCTGACGAAAAGTAAATGTGGACAGTTCTTCCAATATCTTCAATATGCGCCTCGGAATTAGATAAGGACGCACGCAGTTGCGTAGCATGTGAGAAAGACCCGATCACATGATGGAGAGCTATGTGAGTGAGAGGTGCTTATAATTATTATATTCAGCCCAAGGGCACATTAGCATTATCAAGTGCTTGTCAAATTGTGAATGAGAGACTGATGAAGTGTGTACAGCCTGCACAAAAACAAAGCAGAGCTCATGCCTTTCATGCGTCTTTTTTCAAATCATCATTAGAGTCACATCATGCAGCCTTAGAATGTATTGCGCTCCAGCAGGTATATCTCACTGGTCATCCCCAAAGCCATCACCTCCTTTGGCCGCCATTCCTTCCAGTTCTCTGCTGCCAATGACTGGAACGAATTGCAAAAATCTCTGAAGCTGGAGACTCTTATCTCCCTCACTAACTTTAAGCATCAGTTGTCAGAGCACCTTACCGATCACTGCAACTGTACACAGCCCATCTGAAATTAGCCCACCCAACTACCTCATCCCCATATTGTTATTTATTTTGCTCATTTGCACCCCAATATCTCTATTTGCACATCATCTCTTGCACATCTATCATTCCAGTGTTAATACTAATTGTAATTAGTTTGCACTATAGCCTATTTATTGCCTTACCTCCATAACTTGCTACATTTGCACACACTGTGTATATATTTTCTGTTGTATTTTTGACTTTATGTTTTGTTTTACCCCATATGTAACTCTGTGTTGTTGTTTTTATCGCACTGCTTTGCTTTATCTTGGCCAGGTCGCAGTTGTACATGAGAACTTGTTCTCAACTGGCTTACCTGGTTAAATAAAGGTGAAATAAAATAAATAAAAATTACATGGATTTATTAGACTTTTTAAAATGTAGATGTTCCAAAGGTCTGTATCAGTGGCTTGTAGGCAATGTGAGGAAGCCAGGAGATGCTAAATGTGTTTATGTTAATTAACAGTCAATTACCGTGAGAACGGCAGTTATTTGCTTGACAATCACCGGCTGACAAAATGTCATGAGTGCCACAGCCCTATTTATGACTAGCCTTTTGGTACAGGAAATACCTCAGGCATAGTTAACACTGCACAGGCAAACGCCCTATTCGACTGCAATTAAATTGTTCTGCAATATTTCTCGCTATAGCCTGTGTACTATAGCTGTTTATTTGAATGCTCTATGTGTGAATGCTGTGGCATAGTAAGCATAGTAAGTCAGTAAGCACAAAACAGGAAAACATTATTTGAAACAGACAAAGTTGTCCAATGCCTTAAGTTTTCCAATACCCATTTTATTTTCCTGTTTACACCATTTTGCTACATTGTGACCTACTGAACATGACCCATGCCCTGTGTGTTGTATCTCTTTGCAGAGGGTAGCACGTATGAGGAGAGCATCGGCAATGAGGGCAGCATCTGTAGTGAAAACGCCTTCTACAGACAGAGTGAAGGTAGGCTTCTGGCTTTCCCATTCTAAAGTATTTCACGCATTTATTGAAAGAGCAGATAGGGGGCGGTAGGTAGCCTAGTGGTTAGAGTGTTGGCTTAGCAACCAAAATGCTAATTTGAATCGCTGAGTCGACTAAGTGAAAAATCTTTCGATCTGCCCTTGAGCAAGGCACTTAACCCTGGTTGCTGTCAATAATGGCTGATCCCTGGCTGTGAACCCACTCTCAGGGGGATATGCAAAAAAAAAACATTTCCACTACACACTTGTGTTTATTTGTTGACAACCATTATTATTTATTTTTTCATAAAATAAATTCTGGTTCCGGTGGCATGCATTGAAACTGGTGGCTATCTTGTGGCTTTTCTTTTGCAAAATAACTATAAATGAACTTATTTTCAAATGATTGTCAACATATAACATCACATTAAGGTGTGTATATGTATTTATATGTATGTATGTATGTATGTATGTGTATATGTATGTGTATGTAAGTATATGTACAGTGGGGAGAACAAGTATTTGATACACTGCTGATTTTGCAGGTTTTCCTACTTACAAAGCATGTAGAGGTTTGTAATTGTTATCATAGGTACACTTCAATTGTGAGAGACGGAATCTAAAACAAAAATCCAGAAAATCACATTGTATGATTTTTAAGTAATTAATTTGCATTTAATTGCATGACATAAGTATTTGATCACCTACCAACCGGTAAGAATTCCGGCTCTCACAGACCTGCTAGTTTTTCTTTAAGAAGCCCTCCTGTTCTCCACTCATTACCTGTATTAACTGCACCTGTTTGAACTCGCTACCTGTATAAAAGACACCTGTCCACACACTCAATCAAACAGACTCCAACCTCTCCACAATGGCCAAGACCAGAGAGCTGTGTAAGGACATCAGGGATTAAATTGTAGACCTGCACAAGGCTGGGATGGGCTACAGGACAATAGGCAAGCAGCTTGGTGAGAAGGCAACAACTGTTGGCGCAATTATTAGAAAATTGAAGAAGTTCAAGATGACGGTCAATCATCCTCAGTCTGGGGCTCCATGCAAGATCTCACCTCGTGGGGCATCAATGATCATGAGGAAGGTGAGGGATCAGCCCAGAACTACACGGCAGGAACTGGTCAATGACCTGAAGAGAGCTGGGACCACAGTCTCAAAGAAAACCATTAGTAACACACTACGCCGTCATGGATTAAAATCCTGCAGCGCACGCAAGGTCCCCCTGCTCAAGCCAGCGCATGTCCAGGCCCGTCTGAAGTTTGCCAATGACCATCTGGATGATCCAGAGGAGGAATGGGAGAAGGTCATGTGGTCTGATGAGACAAAAATAGAGCTTTTTGGTCTAAACCACTCGCCGTGTTTGGAGGAAGAAGAAGGATGAGTACAACCCCAAGAACACCATCCCAACCGTGAAGCATGGAGGTGGAAACACCATTCTTTGGGGATGCTTTTCTGCAAAGGGGACAGGATGACTGCACCGTATTGAGGGGAGGATGGATGGGGACATGTATCGCAAGATCTTCGCCAACAACCTCCTTCCCTCAGTAAGAGCATTGAAGATGGGTCGTGGCTGGGTCTTGCAGCAAGACAACGACCCGAAACACACAGCCAGGGCAACTAAGGAGTGGCTCCGTAAGAAGCATCTCAAGGTCCTGGAGTGGCCTAGCCAGTCTCCAGACCTGAACCCAATAGAAAATCTTTGGAGGGAGCTGAAAGTCCATATTGCCCAGCGACAGCCCCGAAACCAGAAGGATCTGGAGAAGGTCTGTATGGAGGAGTGGGCCAAAATCCCTGCTGCAGTGTGTGCAAACCTGGTCAAGACCTACAGGAAACGTATGATCTCTGTAATTGCAAACAAAGGTTTCTGTACCAAATATTAAGTTCTGCTTTTCTGATGTATCAAATACTTATGTCATGCAATAAAATGCGAATTAATTACTTAAAAATCATACAATGTGATTTTCTGGATTTTTGTTTTAGATTCCGTCTCTCACAGTTGAAGTGTACCTATGATAAAAATGACAGACCTCTACATGCTTTGTAAGTAGGAAAACCTGCAAAATCGGCAGTGTATCAAATACTTGTTCTCCCCACTGTGTGTATATATATATATATATATATATATATATATATATATATATATATATATATATATATATATTTGCGAGAAAAAAACAAACATATGGGGGATTGGAAGTGATGCAGACAATTACATTGATGGTAGTTATAATCTATCTGCAATCTTAAAGCTGATCTACCCCCTAAAAATAAAATTAAAAAAACATAATAATAATAAAAAAAAAAAAAGTGTGGGACGTTTACTGTATTACAAGGAACAAAAGCAGGTCTATTTCACTCCAGTAGTTGGCATATTCTGTACATTCACAATTCACCTGTGGGAACATGGTGGCTCTCAACACCCGACAACAGAAAGAGTTGGCCACTACTATCCGAGAGATTGTTCGTGCGAAAATGACCTGTGCCCTCGACTTGCAATTAAAACGGATAAATGAATCTCTTGCCCTGCTCACTTCTAAAGTGGATACCTACTCAACTAAAGTGGAAGGTTTCGAGACAGCAGCCAATGTGACAGAGGGGCGACTCCATGACCTGGAAACAGCGCGAACTAAGCTAGAAGGGGAAATCAATTTCCTAAACAGAATCACTCGAAAATCATTCCCGTAAATTCAATGTGCAGCTTTGATGCTGCCATAGGACAATGATGAGGAAACCCTCTCAATTGGGTAAAAGGAACACTATTATTATTATTGCTGAACTTCATTATTATTATATTGCCTATGTTCCAGGACATTTAGACAATGATGACTCCACGCCAATTAATGAACAATGGACAATATATTGAGATGCCATACAGACTGGGGTTGCTTCCTTTTGGGGCTACAGTACATTGCAGGAAACATTTGTGACCGACCGGCTCAGTCCTATGTAGCAAAATTTGAAATTGTGTTTCTTACATTGGATAAAAGTAGAGACTCAGAGCTAGAAAAGTGTATATCATACACTGCAGTTGAGGACCAATGGGAAAGTAATTCTGCTTTGAAAGTTGATAAACTTGTAACCCCACTTTTGAGAAAATGGACCTACAATGTTTTGGTACACCTACTGGAGAGCTCTTTGTCTACACCCATTCAGCATTGTTCACACCCTCTTAAGTCTTAGCCCCACCCATCTCTTTAAGGAGTCACATGTGAGGCCATGTGCTAAACAGAGTGAGTAAGGTAGTGTAGTAAACAACCAAAGATTTCAAGACTAAAAATTGTGAAAGTAGTAGAAAAATACACTTTATCTAGTCCTAGGCCTATATCCTAATCTGACTTTGGTGCAGGTCGTGCTGTTCTTCTCATTACCGTCTCTGGTAAACACACACTATTTAAAATAAAATCAAAGTATATTTGTCACATACACAGGATACGGAAAGTGTAAACGGTACAGTGAAATGGTTACTTGCATATAAATCATAGTAGCAATATCAAAAATAGAAAGTGTCCAGATAAATATTGTATAAATATTTTATAATTATTGGATGATTCTTACTCAGACACACTTGTCTAAATTGATGGGTCATGTGAAAGAAATTGTAGTATCGCGTCAATGCTGGTAATTATTGCTGTCAAACAAAGAGTCTGCTTAGGCTGTACTTTGATTATAAGTTTTATTTATATCACAAGATGTCAGCATAAGTTTACAGACCCTGCCGGGCTGGAGAACAGTGTCCAAAGATAATATGTCTGTTCTAACCTCTCCTTTGTCTAGCCTATACTTATAAGGTATGCAAAAATATGGGTTGCTCCCTCTGCTGTCCAATCACCTGTCTCCCCTGGGGCGTCACCCTAAAAACGGCTCTTTTAGAACTAAAATAAACATCCCCTCAGGTTCCACTAGAATAGTCATAATCTTAATACACTACAAAATGCTATAACCACCCCCCATCCACATCTAGCTAGGTGTCTAGACATGAAATACAATAGATGACGTAATCAACCCCAGACAACTGGCTAACTTGAAGGGTCATGTAATCATCTGGTGAAGTGAAGTTTTTTGTTTAGACATGTAGCTGGCTATCTAGCTAAACAATGAACCTAATGGTGCTTTTAAGACAATTACGAGGTCAAATCATCCATCAGGTCGGAAAGTCGGGGCTCTAGAAAGAGGCCTGAGTTCCCGAGTTGGAATTCCGAGTTGGATGACTGTTCAAAACTATTTTCCCCAGTCGGAGCTCGTTTCTTTCCGAGTTCCCAGTTGTCTTGAAAGCACTGAAGTCGGAAGTTGGAGATTTCAGAGTTCCCAGTTGTTTTGAACGTGGCAATAATCCCAACCCATACTGATTGTCATAGCTAGCCACCATGCATTAATCTGCAGGAAGCTAAAGCTAACCAACTAGGTTAAATGTTAGCTAGGCTACATTAGGCTATAACTAGCAATGCAAATGGTTTTCTGTGATAATATTACTACAAAGATCATAAACGTAATGTTAGCTAGCAAGCCAGCCAGCTAACGCTTGCTAGCTAGCTAACAGTACGCTTTAACTTGCAATGAACTTGCAATGTTAGACTGTAAACTCTCCTTCCAGACTCACATTAAGAATCTCCAATCCAAAGTTAAATCTAGAATCTGTTTCCTATTTCGCAACAAAGCCTCCTTCACTCATGCTGCCAAACATGCCCTCGTAAAACTGACTATCCTACCGATCCTTGACTTCGGCGATGTCATTTACAAAATAGCCTCCAACACTCTACTCAGCAAATTGGATGTAGTCTATCACAGTGCCATCCGTTTTGTCTCCAAAGCCCCATATAATACCCACCACTGTGACCTGTACGCTCTTGTTGGCTGGTCCTCACTACATATTCGTCGCCAAACCCACTGGCTCCAGGCCATCTATAAATCACTGCTAGGCAAATCCCTGCCTTATCTTAGCTCATTGGTCACCATAGCAACACCCACCCGTAGTCTGCGCTCCAGCAGGTATATCTCACTGGTCATCCCCAAAACCAACACCTCCTTTGGCCGCAATTCCTTCCAGTTCTCTGCTGCCAATGACTGGAACAAATTGCAAAAATCTCTGAAGCTGGAGACACTTATCTCCCTCACTAACTTTAAGCATCAGTTGTCAGAGCACCTTACCGATCACTGCACCTGTACACAGCCCATCTGAAATTAGCCCGCCCAACTACCTCATCCCTATATTGTTATTTATTTTGCTCATTTGTGCCCCAGTATCTCTATTTGCACATCATCTCTTGCACATCTATCATTCCAGTGTTAATACTAATTGTAATTATTTTGCACTATAGCCTATTTATTGCCTTACCTCCATAACTTGCTACATTTGCACACACTGTATATATATGTATTTCTGTTGTATTTTTGACTTTGTTTTGTTTTACTCCATATGTAACTCTGTGTTGTTGTTTTTATCGCACTGCTTTGCTTTATCTTGGCCAGGTCGCAGTTGTAAATGAGAACTTGTTCTCAACTGGTTTACCTGGTTAAATAAAGGTGAAATAAAAAAAATAAAAAATAAAAAATGAAAACGACTTTCTGACCAAATTTGAAATGTATAATATCTGAAAATGTAGCCGTTGTTAAGTTGCGTCAATTCAAATCTGGTATTAGGAACAAAAGAGGTCAATACACGTCTTCTAAAATAGACTAGTATTTTAATTAATGCAAAACACTTCAATGGTAAATATGATGTTCGTATATACGGGTCCACTGAAATACCACGCAGGGCACTCAGAGAACTGATCCATTGTTCTAAGTTCTTCTCCAAATACTCTGACAGAGATAGTTCCCGCTCCCTGCTGGCCAATCAGAGTAGAGACTGAGCGTGGTTTAGACTTACTCAGCCTATCGTTGGCGCACAGGCTGGTCCCAGCCCCTTGGCGCTTCACTATATTCCAATCCCTCAGCCACAGTTATAACAGGCATTATCTGCTCTGCTCTGCTCCGTTCAGAATCAGAATAAATGCGTCCCATGGCTCCCCCTTCTGGTAATTGGGATAAAATTCATAGTGCGGTTTAAAAATGTATATGGCAAGGTAAACGATCCCGGATAAAATGTATACATTTACAAAGAGGGAAAGACGTAGGAGGACTATCTTTGACCAAACTTTCAATTGTATTTCCAGGCTCTAGCATTTGTCCCCATCCTAAATTGGTTCAGACAATTGGTTGAGTATTTCCAGGCTCTAGCATTTGTCCCCATCCTAAATTGGTTCAGACAATTGGTTGAGTATTTCCAGGCTCTAGCATTTGTCTCCATCCTAAATTGGTTGAGTATAGAGATAAATATGATGTCTCCTATTGCCCTGGAAGAGGCGGTCTTCACTGGTATATCCCTTAAACAATGTAAATTACGATTTGGTCCTACTTTTGCTCACACTTTCTATTTGGTGCAAACTTGAAAAAATAAACTGTAACTGGGAATCAAAATGGCATGCCAATACTCCAATATTTCACAATAATGCCTTGAGTTCTGGAGGGCATCCTTTTGCATTCCCCCAGTGGTGCAAATGTGGAATCCGTACGCTTACCGATATCATGGACAGTAATGGTTTGAGAACATTCCAAGATTTGAAAGATACATTCACATTACCAGGTAATTAATTTTTTCTATATTTACAACTTAGGTCAGCTACCTAATCATCTAATGATGGGATTTATAAATACATTATCTGGGCTCCTGAAAGGACTGATCTCTATAATGGATCAGGGTTACCTTTATATGCGTTTATTGATTTTTTTTTGTTGTACCTGTAACCCCGCTCTGAAAAACATAAATTTCTAAAATAAATAAAAAGTTGGTCACAAAAAAAGAATAACAAAAATAGACGAACAAAACACTAAGTACTACCGCCCTCTGCTGGCTGGTGTGTGTACAGCAAGACTTACTTTAATCTAAAGAAACCTCTCGATTATGTCCCCATCCCTTTTCAGAGCACAGCATGGCAGAGACCCTCACGGTGGCACTGAGGGTGGCAGAGGAGGCCATCGACGAGGCCATCGCCAAGGCAGAGGGACACACCGACAGTCCGGTAACATATTCTGCGGGAGGTAGTTATGTCTAAAAAGAGTAATCATCTTATTGACTGTATATCTGACTTCGTTGTTGTTCTGACCAGGACAAGCAAAGCGAGGCGAGGTATCTGCGAGACCACAGGGAAGAGCTGATTGAGGAACTGACCACAACCATTGTGCAGAAAGTACGTCCAAATTAATTTAATTGAATTTATATTCATTTCTATTAAATTAAATTCAACTCAATTTAATTTCATACTAGATCATCCGGCGGAGGAAGAACCTGGCTGAGATGAAGCCAGACTATGACCTGGACTGGCCCCCCGACAACCAGAGTGGTGATCAGCCCTTGGTTTCAAGCTCCCCCAGCTCCCAGCCCCAGATCTCCTGCACCACTTCAGCCCGCGCCAAGGCCTCTATATGGGTTAGTATGGAGTGTAAGGTTGTTCAGGGAACTACCTTACATGATCAGTAGCCTTGCCTAGGCTTTAGCTCAGAGGGCTAACACAGTCTTGTGCAGACGACCCAGGTTGCCTAACCTCGATATCCAGGCTTCTTCATGTTTGTTCAGAAAGCTGAGTGATAAATGAGACTTGGAAGCATGGTAACTCAAGACTATGGGTTGCCTAACGTAAAGTCTTGTGTTAGTTGATGCCCAGGCTTTAGCTCAGAGGGCTAACTGCGGCATGCAGTTGATCCAGGTTCAAAACCCAGTCTGTCACATATTACCAGTACAGAACATATATATACAGTGTGGCCTATATTGATTATCTTTACCTCTCGTTAGATATTCAACTATTTAATTACTTGTATTTGTCTTAGCGGTCTCACTCTGCCTTCTCCCTGCTGGATGACAACGTTGTGATGCAGTGCTCTGGAGTTTCCCAGGACTCTCAGCAGGGGCTGAAGAAGGAGGGAGGAGCGGCAGGGTTGGCCAACTGGAAGAGTGTTGACCGCCTGGACAACTCCAGTAAGACCCTGCTGGCCACTCTGCTAGTCATTATTCACACGCGCCATTACAATGGTCTTTCCACACACTTAGTTTAGTCATTTTCAAAATTACTTTTTTTTTTTCTTTTTTTTTTTCAATTATTTATTTGCTTTACTTGCATGTCCTAGACAATTACCGTTTCAAGATACATACAAATATGTACTGTTCAATAGGGGGAAAACAAACAAACAAAATGACCTATTATTGATGTACTGTGGTAAAAGACTGGTGGCTAAAGGCATCCTCCCCTGTGTTTGTGTGTCTGCCTCTGTCTACTGCGTGTGTGTGTGTGTGGCATCTGTCTACCCTGATGTGTGTGTGTGTGTCCGGAGGTGCGTCCTCAGTGCTGAAGAGCCCAGATGGGAACTGGATGGCCCTGCAGAGCACCCAGCTGTCTCGGCCCAGCCTGCTGACCAAGAGGAAGTCGCTGGTATTCAGTGTACTGGAGAGGGAGTCCGGTGTGATCTCCGCCTACGATGAGATGGGCTCAGATGACGCCGAGGGGGGAGAGGGGGCCTGGGGCGCCGCCCTGCTGGAGATACGCAGAAAAATGACCAACAACAACCAGGGGTCAGAGGCACCAGACGCCCAGGCCTCTTCTGACCAGCAGCACAGCCTCCCCTCACCCTTGCTGGGCTACCACGCCAGCACGGACACCCTCAACTCTGAGTCTGAGGTAGGAGAAGATCAGATTCAAGGTCAAGGGCCGAAGCCCCAGAAGCCTCTGCTCGCCGTCCTGAAGAGAAAGGTGCCTGTGGAGCACCGGTGCACCCCCTCGTCACGTCGGTCATCCCGGCCGGGCATCTTCGACGTGAACTTTAACCCTGAGGGGATAGAGGCTGAGAGCAGCGGGGCTGATGAGCTGGAGGAGGGGGGCAAAGTCAGGAGGACACGAAGGAGGAAGAGGACTAAGAAGGATCAAGGGGAGGGAAGAGGAGAGGTAAAGCGAGACTGTCTGTCACTTTCACTTATCATGTTGGACTTCCATTTTATTTCTCTGATATCTTCTATGTCTTCTATCTGCTGTTAACAGGAGTATAGCAACATGCTGCTGGATGACCTGTCCAAGAAACTAAGCGTGAAAAAGACCAGCCAGTCTGGCGCAGTCACCCCAGACACTCTGACTTTGGACGGTGGCTTGACCTCCAGGGCGCTGACCCCTGAAACATGGGGTCCTGAGGGGGAGGCCCCCGGCTGTGGGGCCCCTGAGGGCCAGGGAGGAAGGACCACGGGAGTGACCATCAATCTTGAGCAGGAACTGACCATCAGACTGAGGGAGCTGGCCAGCCAAGTCAGCCTCGCACACCTCTCATCAACTGAGGACGAACTGGACAGACCGGGAGAGGACGAGGGAGGAAGGGAGGGAAGGAGAGAAGGAAACCAGGCGGAGGAGAGGTTATGGCATATAGAAGTCGAGATGGAAGGAGGGAGAGCGGGAGAGGGTGAGGAGGAGAAGAGGACAAAAGAAAGGGAGGGAGATGGAGGAGGAGAGCTGAAGTCGACACTAATCAAGCTAGCTAGTCAGGTCAGAGGCACAGAATTCTCATCCACTGAAGATGAGTTGGACAGAGTGGGTAGGGTTGAGGAAGAATGGGAGAGAGAGTGGGAGGAGAAGAGCGCAAAAAAGAGGGAGAGAGAAGGAAGAGAGGAGCTCACCGTCAAGTTGCGTATGCTGGCTAGCCAAGTCACACATTTCTCATCAACAGAGGAAGAGCTTGACCGAGTGGGCGTCAGTGATGGAGAGATGGAGGAGAAGAGAGAAGGAGAGAGGGAGGGAGAGAAGGAAGAGCTGGCATACAAACTGTGCAGACTGGCTAGACAGGTCAATGCCGCGCAGTTATCATCAACCGAGGACGAGCTGGATAAAGTGGGTCTCTATGATGAAGAGATGGAGAAAGGGAGAGTGGAGAGAGAAGGAGAGAGGGAGGAGATAGACGCGGAGGCACTGTGGGAGATGGAGGGAGATAAAGAGGAACTGACCTCCAAGTTGAGAGATCTGGCCAGTCTCGTTAGCGCCTCCCAGTTCTCCTCTACGGAAGACGAACTAGATAGAGTGGGAAAGAACGAGGGAGAGAGGGAAGAGGAGGAGGAGGAGGAGGAGGAGAGAGCAGAGGGGAGCAAAGTAGACAGACTGAAGTCGTCCAATAGAGTGGCAGACTGGGTCAGAGAGAGACGAGGATCGATGGAGGGAAAGTGGCATGGAGAGAGATGGGGAGAGATGGAGGGAGAGAGGAGGAGGGGACAGGTGGAGAGGGTGAGCGAGAAGCCCTGGTACCTGGGGGTGATGATGGAGGTGGAAGGGAGGATGAGGAACGAGGAGAGGAGAGATAGCGTCGGTGAACTAGACGTCAGACTCTTTGACTTTGAGGATGAAAGTGAGAAAGAGGGAGAGCTGCAAAGCGAAGAGACGGACACAAAGGTAGAGGAAGAGGGAGTCATGAAGGTACAGAGGATGATGGAGAGGATGTTTGAAGGAGTAAGGGAAGGAAAGAGGGCAGGGGAAGCAGAGAGAAAGGTGGAAGGAGGAATGGGAGAGGCAGAAGTGGGAGGAAGAGAGCGAGAAAGAACAGAAAGTGGGGACACTGTGGAGGAAGAGGTGATGTTTGACAACATAATCAGCAGCCTAGTGAACACACTGGGTGGGATGGAGGTAGAGATGGATGGAGAGATGGTGGCGGACCCAGAAAGAGAAGAGAGAGAAGAGGATAAGAACAAAACAAAAGTTAGAGAAACTGAGTTTAAGGAAGAAGAAGAGGTAGATGAATATCTAATTAATGAGATGCTAATGTTAGAACAGCTTTCAGACAGGTTTGGCACTTTAGATAATACTGGAGTCAAACCTCAAGAGAAGGTTGGAGGGAAGAAAAGACTAAGAGACTCTTGGGATAAGACAGTAGAGAGTGTCGTGGAGCGAGGTGGAAAGAAGGTTGGAGAGAAAGATGAGCAGACTGAAACAGAGACCCATAAAAGTCTCCTACCACAGAATTTAAATGAGAGAAAGGAACAAGTATCAGACCAGACAAAGAAAGAGACATCCCGAGACCTGGAAGAAGAGAGCAAGAGAGTAGAAAGAGGGGGAGATGAAGGTGGGGAGGTGGAGGAGCAAACAAGTGAGAAGGAGATGGATGATTTTGGGGAAAGAGAAGGGGAGAATTTTGGGAAGAATACAGACGAGAAAGAAAAAGAAACTGAGGGCAACCGAACTAAGGACCCAGAAGAGAGCTCCCCCTGTGTTCAGGAGGAGATACTGTCTTCAGAGGAGATCCAGAATGTAAGAAACGAAAAGGACCTAGCTTCACCCATAGAGATACCAAAATTGCTATGTAATTCTGTGGCTCTACCCTTTCGACATTTCTAACCTCAAAGCAACTAACAGCTGTAACACTAACTCTGTGCTTGCTCCTCTATACCCTTCTACTTTCCCTATCTTTCCCCCCCCTCTGTCCTCCCTCGTTCCATTGCTCTGTGTTAATGATGAGGACCTAGAAAACATACTCCAGTTCCTTTCTGCTTTGCTACAGCAGGTGAGATCACAAACTAACTGATAACTTGACCGTGCTTTGGACACCGGGGGGTAGCGCTATATGCAATCAATCAACCAATCAAACACTTTGTTTCTCTTGAATCTGGCTCTTCTCTGCTTGTCTAAAACAGTTATTCCCAAATTAATGGATGTGTTACACACAGAGACCTAAGGCTTTTAGGGATTGCATAAAACTTGTGTAAATCCAATCGTGTGTGTGTCTGTGTGTGTGTAGAGGTACTCGGCGATGTCACTGCGCAGTATCACCACTGAGGTGCTGAAGGTGTTGAATGCGACAGAGGACCTACTCCAGGGGGTGGAGGAGGGTGACTATGCTTGTTCTCCTCCCTACACCCCCTCACTGCCCCTCAACACTGACACCAAGAGGCTGGACGAACAGCTCAGCAGACTGGAGGAGAACGTAAGACCTGTCTGTCTTTGTGTCTGTCTATCCTTTAACATATTTCACTGTCCATGTGGGTTCAAGAACACTGATGCTAATGTTATAAAACTGCAATGCCAACAGTCAGTCAGTCTGTCTGTGCCAACTGAACTGTGCCTTTCAGGTGTATGTGGCGGCGGGCACAGCGTACGGCCTGGAGGCGGAGCTGGATGACCTGGAGGAGTGTGCCCGGGCCATCGGCGATGCCACCTCTGACCTGGAGCTGTCCTACCTGGAAGAGCATGTGGCATCGGCTGCTGCCCAGATCCATCAGTCTGACCTCCAGGTGTGTTCAAGTCTGGATGCCCTCTGTGTCTCATAGCTAGTTAGTTAGTGTCCAAAATGGCACCCTATATTCTCTATGTAGTGCACGACCTTTGACCCGAGCCCTTTGTGGCATTTCAGACGCAGACTTTTGCTTTGGAAAAAAGGAGAAAGCGGGGGATTTTACCTCGGGTTTTACCTCGGGTATGATGACATTAGAATTAGAAAATTTTATGTTATTGTATGTTTGAATGTTGGTGATTGTCACATAATGAAAATAGCAAATAAAATGTTTGAATGAAAGAACTAGACAGATGTCCATAATGTGGATATTTGCTTTAAAACATACAATTCAATTGTGTTTTTAAGTCCTTTTAAGTTGATCTGAGTGAGAGAATATTCATGTTATGTACTTTGTTGTAGGTGTCGGACATTGCAGCCAGGATCACAGCTCTGAAGAACGCAGGTCTCAACGTGGTCCCACAGAACCGTTTCACTAAGCCCAAGAAACAGCCTAAGGTACTGGACCAGACCAGGTCACTTAGCACGAGGACCAGGAGTTTTACCTGCTCAGGTCATGTGGTCAGGAAAAACTCCTGGCCCTACGTGTCACTCACTAACAATTTATTTTAAACATATCTTGTGATTTTCTAACAACAACTAATCAAGTGGCACGTGACTCTCTGCAGCCACAAATGTTGGACTTGTCAAGGCAAAAGAGGCGGCAGCTACCTGCTCCAACCTTGAAGGTTTAGAGATATATATACATATATCTCATTCAGTGGAGGCTGGTGGGAGGAGCTATAGGAGGACGGGCTCATTGTAATGGCTGGAAACCACATGCTTGACTCTGTTCCATAAATTCCATGCCAGTCATTACAATAAGCCCGTCCTCCTATAGCTCCTCCCACCAGCCTCCTCTGATGTCATTATATATACAAATAAATATATATATATATATATATATATATACACACTGTATGCCAAGATAGTCACATGTACTACAATCACATTATTTCCTGTATTCAGTAGTGTGTGGTCTTATACTGTATGTTGTTCTGTATTTTGACCCACATGCCTTATCTCTTCTCAGATAAAGAAACCTAAGCCGGACTGATCAGGCATGTTGACCCGTCATGACCCCTAGCTTCCCCCCACACCAGTGCCTTGAGCCCCTTGTCCATTCAGGACGGTGCCATCCGTGTCCAGTCAGAGGGGTGCCACCTGCCTTTAACCAACCATCAGGACAATGCAGAGTACAGACTGACAGTATTACCACTACCTTTGGCACTGTGGACAAAGACGAGAGTTATAGATTTGTTAATAATGAGATGAAAATAGTACATACTTTATGTAAAAAATAAAAATGGATGAAGTTAAAAACAAAGCTGGTTTCATTTAGAATATTTATCGTAAATATCATGTGACATGTCAATAATTTCTTTATTATTGGACATTTTAACCAATCAGTAACCATATTGCCATATAAGGTAATGAAGAGAACATTGCTACAATGATGGACTCTAACAAGCTGTGTGGCTCCTGGCTGAAAGCTGTGATTAATACTACTGATTGTTTTAACATGTTTTAACAGTTAAAGGTCCAATGCAGCCATTTTTATCTCAACATAAAATCCTTTCTGGGTAACAATTAAGTACCTAACTGTGATTGTTTTAAATTAAAATGTACAAAAATGTACAAAAATTGCTTCTTAGCAAAGACCAATTTCTCAAGCAAGAATTTTGCTAGGACTGTCCGGCAGAGGTCTGGGTGGAGAGGGGAAAATTGAAAACTAGCTGTTATTGGCAGAGAGGTTTGGAACTCTTTCTTATTGGTCTATTAACTAATTTACCACCTGGTGATGTCACCAGGCAGGCCAAAACTCCATCCCACCAAAACAGGCTGACATTTCAGGTGGTCTTTTCAAACAGCTCTTACACTAAAAGGGCATTATCATTATTTTCACAATTTCACAGTATTATTCCAACCTCAGTGTGGATATACATATATAAAACACAGGAAAAACACTTTTTGACTGCACTGGGCCTTTAACATGTTTAATAGTCTATCATTGTTATGGGAACAATTACATATTAGAGACACATTGCAATAAGTGCTAAATGACATCCTTAATCATCAATGATTGGTCTAATACTGTATTAAGTATCTGTTGAATATGGGTAATACATCATTTCGTATTTTCATGTAGACAGAAAGTCCCACAATAAAGGTCTATGGTTGTTAGTTATTTCTAACCTTGTACATTTTATGTTTGATTTTACATTGTAAATTATGGCGCACAATAAAATAATCATTTAATTACTTTATGGCTTATGATTGTGCTCCTACAGACAGACATTTCAATGTGAAGGCTAGCTACTTGTCTTCCACTATTACAAGTGTGGGAACAAAGTCATGAACTAAAGCCTTGAAGCAATCAATCTTGAGATTCATCCACACACAGAGTTTGCCTAACCTTGTAGGGTAAAGAGACGGGGAAAATACGTTTGTTTGGGTTTTTGAGTGGAGGAAGTGGCACCAGTGTCTGACATTCCTCCTGTGTTGATGGCGCCGTGGGATCTGCACACAGGGGTTCTGGAGAAATAAAAGCCATCCTTATGGAAACAGACATTCAACAGTTTATGTTCCAATGACTGCTTCCAAGAAAACCCTTTAACATCCACTTGTTTCACTCAAGCAGTGATCCTGCCTTTGTTTTCCATAGACATTCAACAGCATCCTACCTTCATCGAATAAGAGATAAACATCACTTAATGACCAGAGAGGAATAGATTAATTCATCTGTCCACTTTAATTTATTATGTGTCCACTTTAATTTATTATTTGTACAGTCCTCTGCAATCACACCATTCTCACACAAATTAGAAATGGGCAAAGCATATTTACAGTAGAGAATCATCAGTACATTGTTCCAGCTTTTTCTGTCACTGTCGTTGAGTTCAGTCCCTCTGCATAGGTATGAGACTCTCCTGAAGCACCGCCATTTCCATCTCCAGTAAGCTGTAGCAATGTAGTCCACCAGGAAAACAAAACCTGGTCATCATGCTGATGACATTCTTAGCTTATATTATTCATTGCTTTTTAAATCAACTAGTTTTCTTCCTCAGCAGCTCTGAACCTGGAGGTTGCCATATGCTAAATAAAAGGTAATTGAAGGAAATCCTCTTGACACAGTTCTTCCACGGAAGAACTGAAGAAGGCCGAAACGTGTTTTTTTTCTTCTCAAACTTAAATTTGTGCTCCAAGTGTCTGAATATGCATGGTCTCTCACAAATTCAGTCTGTTCCTCTATTCATGCACACAATCTCCTTTCCACGGTGGAAAGTACCAGAAAGTACCAGTTTCTTACACCTTGGTTGGACTGCGAGGTAGCGAAAGCATACATTCTCCTTCCACAGTATAAAATACTAGTTCCTTCCCAAAGCCCCCTGAATGGTCAGGTCTGGCTAGTTCTGGTCAGATCCAGTTAGTTCCTGTCAGCACTGAAACTGTCCTTGCCGTCCATGAAGCTCTCCCTGCGGTCTCGGCCGGAGATGATGAACGTTTGTTTGGGGTCAATGACCACGACAGCGTTCTTCTCCAGCCCTGCAGTCTTCCTCAAGCTGCGACGGAACTTCAGCTTCATAGCAGGCCAGCCCACCGGCCGCCTCCGGGGAAGCACAGAACTGAAAGGAGGTTTGTGCTCAAACAACTGTGTAAGAGGAGCATCCCTAAAATGTGTAACTACTCCATGTAGGCATAAACAATGTCTGATGTTCTGTCCTAAATGTCACAATGAGTTTAGCATACATAAAATAAAATGGTGTTCTCAGTGACTTCCCTTAACCAAATTAAGGTGTAAATGAACATATGAATCTTTGTGAGTGCCAGCCGGGCCAGCAGGGGGCAGTACCCACCTCTGAAGAACAAGCTGGCGCTGGAGGTCGGATGGTTGTACATCAAGGCAAAGGGTGGCTATTTGAAGAATCTCAAATATAAAATATATTTTGATTTGTTTAACACTTTTTTGGTTACTACAAGATTCCATATGTGTTATTTAATAGTTTTGATGTCTTCAGTATCATTTTACAATATAGAAAATAATACAAATAAAGAAAAACCCTTGAACGAGTAGGTGTGTCCAAACTTTTGACTGGTACTGTATGTATTAGGAAGCTAAGTGTTTGTGTCTTGGGCTTTAGGAATATGACTGAAAAAGTGCCTCAAGCCTTGAAAAATAAAACAAAATACTGATTGGGGATATCGGTGAACAAATGCCGTGGTCAAGGCTACGACGGCGCCAGTGCAATGAGTGGAGCTTATACAGGTGTTCAAAAGGCATATCAGAATGAGAGCCTAATGCTTCTTAGGTAGTTCTTTTTTAGTTTTAGTTTAGAAAACGATATCTCTCCGCAGAAGCGACAGTTACTGGATGGTAAAAACAGCTTGATTACCTTAGAAACATCAGGGAAACTGGGCAGAACGGAGTTGTGCTTCAAATACAGCAGTTCTGCAACATCTTTAATTGAGCCTCTCATTCTCCTTAATTGCCGGCCTCAACACATTACAGAAAGAGATGAACTCTACAGGTCGCCTGGATACTGGACAGCCAATAAATTGGCAGACGCAAATAGATTATCATATTTAGTGGACAACAGTTCTTGAGGGCTTCAACAAAAAAAAGCGGTTTGCGATTTCGTTCATACTGGTGAACCGGCGTTTGAGTTGTGTGGTTGCAAATATCAGCAGTCCTTTATCTCTGGTATATCTTGGCATGCATCATTCAAGACTAAGTTTAAATTGTGTGCAGCACAATGGACATAGGACTATAATGCACAATGTCTCAGGAAAGTCTGGGTTGGCAATACTCGGTATAGAAAACAGTCGGGCCTGCAACCTGGACCTACAACAAGGGTTCTTCTAAGATCCTCAAAGTTCTTCGAAGAACCTTAGGGTTCTTGGCACTGAAAATGGCCCCCAAAAAGGTTATTCCAAGAACCCCATAGGAGGTGGAATTCATCAAGGAACCTCATTAGTTGGTGGGGGTTCTTGCAGGAACCTAACTGCCCAACTGAAACATTTGGATTTTAATTTGAAAGGACAGCAGGTGCAGGCACTTAACGGACAAATGTCAAGATCTCAATTTAAGGTAAGGTTTGTCCCTTGTATGATCTAAATTGATATTGTTTCATGATGATACCATCTATCTTTTCATATTTATGCAAATCTTTCTAAAACAGAAAATGGATACAATTCAATGGATATCAATCAACAGCTCTGTCGTAGCCGGCCGCGACCGGGAGACCCATGGGGCGGTGCACAATTGGCCCAGCGTCGTCCAGGGTAGGTGAGTGAATGGCCGGCAGGGATGTAGCTCAGTTGGTAGAGCATGGCATTTGCAACGCCAGGGTTGTGGGTTCGTTTCCCACGGGGTGCCAGTATGAAAACATTTAAAAAATAAAAATAATGTATGCACTCACTAACTGTAAGTCGCTCTGGATAAGAGCGTCTGCTAAATGACAAAAAAATATGTATGGTATAAACATTTTTTTGAAGGCTCGCTGTATTGGGTGCAGATGACTGAACTGCTCACTTTTGTGTCTGTAGGTTTACAGATGAGGAGGCATACAAAGGTATGTCATTTGGTATTGGTATTTTATGCAGATCACATGTACCATCCTCCTCCCTTACCTCTTCAATGAAGATCCCATAGGCCTCTACATTATGGACAAGGTATGTGTATGAAAACCATTATCAAAAACCAAGGTATGAATACTGTCGTGTGCATGTTTTGTTAATCATCTGTATAATTACTATTTTTGGGATTCACAGACTTCACCCTCCCTACACCTCTGATGAATATAATAGGAAACCTGTTCGATCACCATGCACTGCAAAATCATTCTGGCTATGGATACGGAGAACATCAACACATTAACATCAACATGCCAGAGGATATCCCATTGGACTTGGGGCTCTGCTGGGAGTTTACCTCATATTTTGATTTTTATTATGCTTTGCCACTAAAATCCTAATAAATACTGACAACTAAAATATTGTGTTATTGTTGTTATTGTTAAGCGTATTATTACTACTACTACTACTACTACTACTAATAATAATAGGGGAAGTAGTTAAAAAATTAACCCCAAAAGGTTATTCAAAAGGTTATTCAAGGATCCATTAAAAGGGGTGCCCATTATTTGCTGTGTAATTTTTATACAAAGTTTGTAAATAGCAGCTAAATACGGTACATACAGTTGAAGTCGTAAGTTTACATACACCTTAGCCAAATACATTTAGCTCAGTTTTTCACAATTCCTGACATTTAATCCTAGTAAAAATTCCCTGTCATAGATCAGTTAGGATCACCACTTTATTTTAAGAATGTGAAATGTCAGAATAATAGTAGAGAGAATGATTTATTTAGGCTTTTATTTATTTCATCACATTCCCAGTGGGTCAGAAGTTTGCATACAGCATTGCCTTTAAATTGTTAAACTTGGGTCAAACGTTTTGGGTAGCCTTCCACAAGCTTCCCACAATAACTTGGGTGACTTTGGCCCATTCCTCCTGACAGAGCTGGTGTAACTGAGGCAGGTTTGTAGGCCTCCTTGCTCGCACACGCTTTTTCAGTTCTGCCCACACATTTTCTATAGGATTGAGGTCAGGGCTTATTGATGGCCACTCCAATTCCTTGACTGTTGTCCTTAAGCCATTTTGCCACAACTTTGGAATATTGGGGTCATTGTCCATTGTCCATTTGAAAGACCCATTTGTGACCAAGCTTTAACTTCCTGACTGATGTCTTGAGATGTTGCTTCAATATATCCACATAATTTTCCTTCCTCATGATGACATCTATTTTGTGAAGTGCACCAGTCCCTCCTGCAGCAAAGCACCCCCACAGCATGATGCTGCCACCCCCGTGAATCACAGTTGGGATGGTGTTCTTCAGCTTGCAAGCAGCCCCCTTTTTCCTCCAAACATAACTATGGTCATTATGGCCAAACCATTTTATGTTTGTTTCATCAGACCAGAGAACATTTCTCCAAAAAGTACGATCTTTCTCCCCATGTGCAGTTGCAAACCGTAGTCTGGCTTTTTTTACGGCGGTTTTGGAGCAGTGGCTTCTTCCTTGCTGAGCGGCCTTTCAGGTTATGTCGCTATAGGACTCGTTTTACTGTGGATATAGATACTTACAGTGGGGAGAACAAGTATTTGATACACTGCCGATTTTGCAGGTTTTCCTACTTACAAAGCATGTAGAGGTCTGTAATTTTTATCATAGGTACACTTCAACTGTGAGAGACGGAATCTAAAACAAAAATCCAGAAAATCACATTGTATGATTTTTAAGTAATTAATTCGCATTTTATTGCATGACATAAGTATTTGATACATCAGAAAAGCAGAACTTAATATTTGGTACAGAAACCTTTGTTTGCAATTACAGAGATCATACGTTTCCTGTAGGTCTTGACCAGGTTTGCACACACTGCAGCAGGGATTTTGGCCCACTCCTCCATACAGACCTTCTCCAGATCCTTCTGGTTTCGGGGCTGTCGCTGGGCAATATGGACTTTCAGCTCCCTCCAAAGATTTTCTATTGGGTTCAGGTCTGGAGACTGGCTAGGCCACTCCAGGACCTTGAGATGCTTCTTACGGAGCCACTCCTTAGTTGCCCTGGCTGTGTGTTTGGGGTCATTGTCATGCTGGAAGACCCAGCCACGATCCATCTTCAATGCTCTTACTGAGGGAAGGAGGTTGTTGGCCAAGATCACGCGATACATGGCCCCATCCATCCTCCCCTCAATATGGTGCAGTCGTCCTGTCCCCTTTGCAGAAAAGCATCCCCAAAGAATGATGTTTCCACCTCCATGCTTCACGGTTGGGATGGTGTTCTTGGGGTTGTACTCATCCTTCTTCTTCCTCCAAACACGGCGAGTGGAGTTTAGACCAAAAAGCTCTATTTTTGTCTCATCAGACCACATGACCTTCTCCCATTCCTCCTCTGGATCATCCAGATGGTCATTGGCAAACTTCAGACGGGCCTGGACATGCGCTGGCTTGAGCAGGGGGACCTTGCGTGCGCTGCAGGATTTTAATCCATGACGGTGTAGTGTGTTACTAATGGTTTTCTTTGAGACTGTGGTCCCAGCTCTCTTCAGGTCATTGACCAGGTCCTGCCGTGTAGTTCTGGGCTGATCCCTCACCTTCCTCATGATCATTGATGCCCCACGAGGTGAGATCTTGCATGGAGCCCCAGACCGAGGGTAATTGACCGTCATCTTGAACTTCTTCCATTTTCTAATAATTGCGCCAACAGTTGTTGCCTTCTCACCAAGCTGCTTGCCTATTGTCCTGTAGCCCATCCCAGCCTTGTGCAGGTCTACAATTTTATCCCTGATGTCCTTACACAGCTCTCTGGTCTTAGCCATTGTGGAGAGGTTGGAGTCTGTTTGATTGAGTGTGTGGACAGGTGTCTTTTATACAGGTAACGAGTTCAAACAGGTGCAGTTAATACAGGTAATGAGTGGAGAACAGGAGGGCTTCTTAAAGAAAAACTAACAGGTCTGTGAGAGCCGGAATTCTTACTGGTTGCTAGGTGATCAAATACTTATGTCATGCAATAAAATGCAAATTAATTACTTAAAAATCATACAATGTGATTTTCTGGATTTTTGTTTTAGATTCCATCTCTCACAGTTGAAGTGTACCTATGATACAAATTACAGACCTCTACATGCTTTGTAAGTAGGAAAAGCTGCAAAATCGGCAGTGTATCAAATACTTGTTCTCCCCACTGTATGTACCGGTTTCCTCCAGGATCTTCACAAGGTCCTTTGCTGTTGTTCTGGGATTGATTTGCACTTTTCGCACCAAAGTATGCTCATCTCTAGGAGACAGTCCCATGGTGTTTATATTTGCGTACTATTGTTTGTACAGATGAACGTGGTACCTTCAGGCGTTTGGAAAAGGCTCCCAATGATGAACCAGACTTGTGGAGGTCTACAATTTTTTTTATGAGGTCTTGGCTGATTTCTTTTGATTTTCCCCCTGATTTCAAGCAAAGAGGCACTGAGTTTGAAGGTAGGCCTTGAAATACATCCACAGGTACACCTCCAATTGACTCAAATTATATCAATTAGCCTAACAGAAGCTTCTAAAGCCATGACATAATTTTCTGGAATTTTCCAAGCTGTTTAAAGGCACAGTCAACTTAGTGTATGTAAACTTCTGACACACTGGAATTGTGATACAGTGAATTATAAGTGAAATAATCTGTCTGTAAACAATTGTTGGAAAAATGACTTGTGTCATGCACAAAGTAGATAGTCCTAACTGACTTGCCTAAACTATAGTTTGTTAACAAGAAATCCGACCTTGCGGGGGTCCAGAGAAACTGTGTTATGCCAGTGTGTCTGGCAGAGAGAGACAGCGATCAGAGGAAGTCTAGGTGTTTGCTACCATGTCTCTGCTGGATGTGCCAGGGCATGGCTGAACTGAGTCTGGGACCTGGGATTGATGGATAGTGGGCTGGGGCTTGGAGAGAGGTCTGGGGACTGGGGATGGGGGTGGATAGAGGGCTGGGAATGGGGCTTGGAGAGAGGTCTGGGGACTGGGGATGGGGGTGGATAGAGGGCTGGGAATGGGGCTTGGAGAGAGGTCTGGGGACTGGGGATGGGGGTGGATAGAGGGCTGGGAATGGGGCTTGGAGAGAGGTCTGGGGACTGGGGATGGGGGTGGATAGAGGGCTGGGAATGGGGCTTGGAGAGAGGTCTGGGGACTGGGGATGGGGCTGGGAGAGAGGGCTGCGGATGGGGCTTGGAGAGAGGGCTAGGGATGAGGCAGGATATGGTTGTCTTATTTACAGGTTAGAGAGGCAAAGACTGAAGAAGAAACTTGTAAATAACCATTTATTACAGTAAAGTGAAACAGCTACAAAGATTTCTGGTTGTTGGTTTATGTAATGTCATTATGAATATATCACTTTTTAACATAGCTATTGATCTTTATCAACATTGTCACTATGGTAAATGCAATTCCCGAGCATAAAATAATAAACATATATCAATAGAGCTTTCCTAAGACTATAATATGAATACTGTTAGATACAAACTGTTGCTTATACACTTCAGTTGACACTGTGCTTAGTAGTGTTTGAGTTTGAAGTTGAGTTTATTTTAAGTTTTACAGGGATAGCGCACATGAATCAATGTTTCAGTAAAAGGGACGGTTTTAGCCAGCCAGCAAATTTTCAACTGCTGTCCCTAGTGTACATTGTAACTTTTTTTGGTTATGAGCTCATGAGAACAATTATGAGAACGGTTTGGAGTTATTCCTCCTCAAGCATCAGAGGCAACCACTCTGAACTCTGCAGTGTCTGAAGAGGAATCATACAAGATGTTGAAGAATGACAGGTCAGAGTCCCTTCCGTGTTCTAAAGCCTGGAAATAAAAACTGAGTATCTTTATATAGTCCTAGACAGAGCACAACTTGGCCAATATGGCTCTCAAACACACTTTTTCATTATGGCAATGACAGTCATAACTTTTAACAGTATAGAATATGATTTTGTGATAGTGTTCAGTATTTTATGTAATCATGTAATTATACTTACGTTGTTAGGATTGAAAACAGGGACATTATTTTCCAGAGGTTTAGGTAGGCTGTGGGGAAGATGTCACTGAATTATATCTGTTGTGATCAGATATCGTTTGATCTATTTTACATTGTAACCACAAATATCATAATCATCATCAAAGACATCACCAATTCATTATTACCAACTTTATCATCATCATCATTCTCATCATGACATACTTGGTGGAGCGTTTCCGTTGGAGTGCAAAGAGAACAGTGGCGATGACAGTCAGCACCAGCAGAGAGAAAACCCCTCCCAACCACACATACAATGAATCTGTAGGTACAAGAACACATTAGAGAATTCAAAAGTTAGTGTACATTGTACATTTGTTTGTATCATTGTGCACATTAGTGTAACACCCTTGTCAAAAGGGGTAGTTAGTAAATTCATCCTAATACCATCCTGCCGACTACGCCAAAAGTCTAAACCTGAGGGCTGAGTGACCATTGATCAGACATTCCAGCCCAGTAAGAACAAGTCCAGCCCAGTCCAGTACAATACAGATCAGTGCAGTGTAGTCCAGTCCAGCCTAGTGCAGTGCAGTAGAGCACAGCACAGTCTAGCACAGTCTAGTACAATACAGAGAGAGGCCTACTATCTGTAGTAGGAGTTGGAGTGTCTGTGGGTACGGTGTTGTAGCAGTGACCAGGCTGGATGGTGATGTCATCTAGAGCCACATCACCGCCGGGGGCCCGGCCCCTCCAGTACATGAACACAAACTGTGGAGGGGACAGGACACAGCCTTTATATAATCACAGACATACACAGTATAATTAGTGACACAGCAGTCTCACATTACCATACTTCCAAGTCTTGTTCATGACTTGGCTTGGAAGCCTGGGAATTGGGAATTGTGGTTTATGACACAGGTAGTCACACACTAATACAGTAGTACAGTAATGTTTAATCAAACCAGGAACAAAACGTACATAGAGCAGCAAGTCTAACTTAGCCACATAGAGCATTTGCATCTATTTTATTATGTTTTTTTTGTCCTGGAGAAAACAAATATACATTTAAGAAGATCCTTGTATGGTTTCCTGGCCACTACAACAACCACAAAATATAAAGCCTCCCTGAAGAGTTAAATTAGTTACTTAATACTTATGACTGTAGACACTTACCCAGAATGGCTGTGTATAATCCACATATACGCTGCCCTCCAACCACACGTCTCCCTGGCTGCCTGACTCCATCCACAAGACATCAACTGCACCTCCACTAGCATGCTGTTTACTGGGGGAATGAAAGAATAAACCAATCAATAAACCAATCAATCCACCCATTCATACTCCCATCCATCCACCAACCCAACTGTCTGTCTGTCTGTCTGTCTGTCTGTCTGTCTGTCTGTCTGTCTGTCTGTCTGTCTGTCTGTCTGTCTGTCTGTCTGTCTGTCTGTCTGTCTGTCTGTCTGTCTGTCTGTCTGTCTGTCTGTCTGTCTGTCTGTCTGTCTGTCTGTCTGTCTGTCTGTCTGTCTGTCTGTCTGTCTGTCTGTCTGTCTGTCTGTCTGTCTGTCTGTCTGTCTGTCTGTCTGTCTGTCCGTCCGTCCGTCCGTCCATCCATCCATCCATCCATCCATCCATCCATCCATAACACGATCGTACCCACCTGTCATTGCTGTAGAGGTTGAGGGTCCCGATGTGAGGGCCATACATGTGAAACCAGAATGTCAGACAGTACCCCCTGCTGTCCGGCTGCAGTATCTCACTCAACAGCATGGATCTGTCTCCCCATTGGCCCACAGAACTGTCCACATACAGGTAGTAACCTGGGAGGAGACAGGACAGGGAGCGACTAAGGAGCCTTTTCTGACCAGCATCCCATTGACAGCCAGAATAGCCAAAATATATAACTGAACCTTAACCCTAACCTTAAAGGGATAGTACTGGATTTTGGCAAGTTCCCTTTATCTACTTCCAAGAGTCAGTTTAACTCGTGGATACCATTTTTATGTATCTGCGTGCAGTTTGAAAGAAGTTGCTAACTAGCGTTAGCGCAATTGCTAACTAGCGTTAGCGTAATGACTGGAAGTCTATGTAGACTTCCAGTCATTGCGTCAAAAGCTAGTTAGCATTGGCTTGCGAAACTACCTCTGACCTCCTTTATTCTGGACGCAGATACATAAAAATGATATCCACTTGTTCATCTGACTCTGAGGAAGTAGATAAAGGGAACTTGACAAAATCCTGAACTATCCCTTTAATGTTAGGGTTAAGGTAAGGGTCAGTTATATATTTTGGTTAGTTGGGCTGTCCCTTTATCCAAACCCTTAACCTTAACCCTAACCCAGGTGTGTCAAACTCAATCAGTGCAAGGGCCATACTGAAAAAACACAAACTGGCCATTTTTTTATTAGAAAAAATATGGCCCTTCATAATGTCCACCTATGTACATAGGATGCTGTATATAGCATTTTATACACATATTTTAAAAAAAAGATACATGTGTCCAGCCTTTGCTGCTTGCAGATGTGCATTAGGCTACATGCTGCGACCCTAATAAAAGACAATTTAATAACTCCAAATAACAAAAACTTAGGTAGGTTGTTGTAACATTTAACTGAAAACATGTTTTTCATTTTTTTGCACTGCATGGATCACCGGTGCGGTTGAATGCGGCATTGCTGTATGGCAGTGGAGGCTGGTGGGAGGAGCTATAGGAGGACAGGTAATGGTTGTAATGGAATAAATGGAACAGAGTCAAACATGTGGTTTCCATATGTTTGATACTGTTCCATTCATTCCAGTCCAGCCATTCCAATAAGCCTGTCCTCCTAAAGCTCCTCCCACCAGCCTCATCTGCTGTATGGTGCACGCAAAGGGCCGGTTTCCCGGACACAGATTAAGCCTAGCCTAGTACTGGACTAAAAAGTGCTTTCAATGGAGATTCTTTCCATTTATCTTGCTTTTTAGTCCAGGATTAGGCTTAATCTGTGTCCAGGAAACCGCCCCATTATGTTTTGTAGTAACCCATTGGAAACTAAACTTGGCATGGACATTTCGCCTACAACACGTTTAAAACTTTCAGTCTGGTAGAAGATTCGGTCAGTGCCATTAGTGATGATATGATACAGTGCTCTGGCTGGCTCGTGTGTGGGTGGGTCTGGGAGGAGGGGTGTGTGTGTGGCAGTGCACTGCCGTTTGGCGTGCAGCACGTTGGTTGTGACAATGCATCGCGGGCTGTATGGAAGCGGGACAAAATGAATTGACAACCCAAATCACTGTGTGGGCCGGATAGAAATGTGTCACGGGGAGGATTCAGCCCGCGGGCCTTTTGTTTGACATGTGTCCTAACCCTAACCATAACCTAATTTTAACAAATTCGAAATTAAATTAAATAGCCCTTTGCACGTCAGCCACATCCCCTGCGTTTTTTCCCACAGGACAGGTACACGTAACACAAAAACTTTCAAAATGTTTGGAAACAGAGACAATCATACCTTTACTTCAACAATAAGAACGCACATTTTCATTCTCTGTTTGAAAATATTTTGCTATGTTGTGCCGTACTGAACATGACCCATGCTCACCTAGGGAGGAGTTGGTGGTGTGGTCCACACTGGGCCCAGTGTTGGGGTTCAGGGAGGCCCCTCTGCTCCTCAGCCAGTCCCCCTCATCCACCCCTGCCATGGCCACGTTGGTCCAGCCACACAGGTTGGTCTGGAAGTCACAGTGTCCAGGTGGAGGACAGGGGCTGCTGGTTACCAGGATGTCATCAAAGGCCATGTCCCCCTCATCACTGCTCCCCTTCACCCCCTCCACAATGATCTGAAACAACATAACAGCTTTGAGAACCACCAGAAACATAATCACCATAATATACAGCAGTGGTTTTCAAACCTCTCCTTGTGGACCTCCAGACGTTTCACAATTTTGTTGTAGCCCTGAAATAGCTCACCTGATTCACCTGATACACCTATTCAAGAGCTTGATGATTAAATAAAATAAAATGGCATTTGTCACACACGCCGAATACAATTGTTGTAGACCTTACAGTGAAATGCTTGCTTACATGCTGACCAGACCGGACACGTCACGTGCGCGAGCGTTGGAAAATAAATGTACACATACATGTAATTCAATCATTGCACTCACACTGCTCGCGCGTGTCTGCGTGGCCAGGCGCTAAAATAGAACTTGGTTCTATTTGTGATGCTTGACGCGCTGCAAGTACTGCCTCTCCCATCTCCTCATTGGTTTTTAGGAGCATATACCCACCTGGGTGATTGAAAGATGAACTGAGGTCCACACTCCAGTCAGTGGTGGTAATGCATCTTAAAGTTGGTTGCCAACCAACATATAAAGTCCAAAGAAGAAGAAGCCTGAAGGAAGCCTGAACTTGGTTTACCGTTTTATCTGTGGATTAATTGTTGGAGTAGAGGACCTTGTGCATTTCAGGTAAAATAACAACCCAATGTTTATATCCCAGGACAAATTAGCTAGCAACAACATGCTAGCTAGCTAAATTGCCATAAATGTTCAATGCTTTTCGACCTGTCCCCAAATTAATATAAATTTAGTTGGTTCAGATTTTGTTTTGATATTTCAACCTGCGTGTCCTGATCTTGTCTGATGTGGAAGGAAAATATCAACATGCATGCGGTCTGGTCAGCATGTAATGAACCTTTCCCAACAATGCAGAGTTAAAATAATTATAATAAAAAATAAAATAGTAACTAACACAAGAGGAATAAAATAAAATACACAAGAATGGAGCTATTTTATTTTATTTTTTTATATATATTTTTGGGCCATTTAGCAGACGCTCTTATCCAGAGCGACTTACAGGAGCAATTAGGGTTAAGTGCCTTGCTCAAGGGCACATCAACAGATTTTTCACCTAGTTGGCTCAGGGATTAGAACCAGCGACCTTTTGGTTACTAGCACAACGCTCTTAACCACTAAGCTACCTGCCGCCCCAGGTGGAGCTATATTTTAAAGCAGCATCAAGAAATTGAGTCTATCATAGTTCATGTGGGATCCATTGACATTATGAAGCTTAGCTCAGAAAAGCTGAAGATGGATTTTAAAGAACTGATTGGGTCACTACTTGACACCAACAAATGCCCCATAATACCTGGCCCTCTGCCCCCCCTAAATCGTGGCATTGAACGGTTCAGCAGACTTTTAGCCCTCCATAACTGGCTACGAAACTATTGCAGCTCTGTGGGTGTAACATTTATTGACAATTTTGATACCTTCTGGAAACAAATCGTATTATAAGGAGGATGGGATCCACCCAAATCATTTGAGTTCCTGGATCCTTTCACAACATTATAAGGCTGGTTGAGACAATGACTTATCAATAACCCAAGCCCAGCTCATTTAATCCCTACCATTGTGTCGCTGAGTTGTCATAATGCTTCAGCAAATGTACATTATCCCAGGGGCATTGGAAGACACAATGAAAGTTACCTAATTTATGTCCCTCTTACTGCCCTGAATGCCTCTGCTGATCCCACAGCTATTGTATGCAGTAATAATGTGCCTATGAACCAGAGTGATACTGTTAGCACTCAGGCGGTGTGCCCTAGTAGGAAGTCCACTGTGTGCAGCTCCCCCTGCACTAACATAAATAACATGAGCATGTCTACCTCTGCTAAGCTTCCCAGTAAAGCAATAAAACAATCAAGCATCCCAGAAAAGTGCTAAAAATAGCCCACTATAACATACAGTGCATTCGGAAAGTATTCAGACCCCTTGACTTTTTCCACATTGTGTTATGTTACAGCCTTATTCTAAAATTGATCTACACACAAAACCCCATAATGACAAAGCAATTTTTTTTGCAAATGTATAAAAAAAAAACTGGAAATATCACATTTACATAAGTATTCAGACCCTTTACTCAGTACTTTGTTGAAGCACCTTTGGCAGCGATTACAGCCTTGAGTCTTCTTGGGTATGATGCTACAAGCTTGGCACACCTGTATTTGGGGAGTTTCTCCCATTCTTCTCTGCAGATCCTCTCAAGCTCGGTTAGGTTGCATGGGGAGCGTCGCTGCACAATTATTTTCAGGTCTCTCCAGAGATTTTTGATTGGGTTCAAGTCTGGGCTCTGGCTGGGCCACTCAAGGACATTCAGAGACTTGTCCTGAAGTCACTCCTGTGGTGTCTTGGCTGTGTGCTTAGGGTCGTTATCCTGTTGGAAGGTGAACCTCCGCCCCAGTCGGAGGTCCTGAGTGCTCTGGAGCAGGTTTTCATCAAGGATATCTCTGTACTTTGCTCCGTTCATCTTTCCCTCAATCCTGACTAGTCTCCCAGTCCCTGCCGCTGAAAAACATCCCCAAAGCATGATGCTGCCACCACTATGCTTCACCGTAGAGATGGTGTCAGGTTTCCTCCAGACATGACGCTTGGCATTCAGGCCAAAGAGTTCAATCTTGGTATCATCAGACATGAGAATCTTGTTTCTCATGGTCTGAGAGTGTTTAGGTGCCTTTTGGCAAACTCCAAGCGGGCTGTCATGTGCCTTTTACTGAGGAGTGGATTCCGTCTGGCCACTACCATAATGGCCTGATTGGTAGAGTGCTGCAGAGGTGGTTGTCCGTCTGGAAGGTTCTCCCATCTCCACAGAAGAACTCTCTCTCAATTCCTTCGACCTCATGGCTTGGGTTTTGCTCTGACATGCACTGTCAACTGTGGGACCTTATATAGACAGGTGTGTGCCTTTCCAAATCATGTCCAATCAATTGAATTTACTACAGCTGGACTCCAATCAAGTTGTAAAAACATCTCAAGGATGATCAATGGAAACAGCATGCACCTGAGCTCAATTCCGAGTCTCATAGCAAAGGGTCTGAATACTTATGTAAATAAGGTATTTCTGTTTTTGATTTGTAATACGTTTGCAAAAATTTATAAAAACCTGTTTTCGCTTTGTCTTTATGGGGTATTGTGTGTAGATTGGTGAGTAAAAACATGTATTTAATCAATTTTAGAAATAGGCTGTAATGTAACAAAATGTGGAAAAAGTCAAGGGGTCTGAATACTTTCCGAATGCACTGTATGTAGCTTAAGAAAGAAGGTTCATGAAATCAATAATTTGCTAGTAACAGATGACATTCATATTCTGACAATCTCTGAAACTCACTTAGATAATACCTTTGATGAATACAGTGGTAGCAATACATGGTTATAAGATCTACAGAAAATACAGAAATGCCAAAGGTGGAGGTGTTGCCGTTTATATTCAGAACCACATTTCTGTAAAGCTTAGAGAGAATCTCATGTTAAATACTGTTGAAGTAATGTGGCTACAAGTTCATCTGCCTCACCTAAAGCCCATTCTGGTGGGAAGCTGCTATAGACCACCAAGAGCTAACAGTCAGTATCTGGATAACGTGTGAAATGCTTGATAATGTATGTGATATCAATAGAGAGGTATCTTTTCTGGGTTATTTAAATACTGACTGGCTTTCATCAGGCTGCCCACTCAAGAGAAAGCTTTAAACTGTAACTAGTGCCTGCAACCTGGTTCAGGCTATCAGTCAACCTACCAGGGTAGTTACAAACAGCACAGGAATGAAATCATCAACATGTATTGATCACATCTTTACTAATGCTGCTTTAAAGCAGTATCCACATCCATCGGATGTAGTGATCACAATATAGGAAAACCAAAGTTCCAAAGGCTGGGCCTAATATAGTGTATAAGAGGTCATGCAATACGTTTTGATTCCTATGTTGTTGATGTTAAGAATATTTGTTGGTCCGTGGTGTGTAATGAAGGGCAACCAGACTCTGCACTTGACACATTTATGAGGTTGCTTATCCCAGTTACTTATAAGCATGCACCCATTAAGAAAATGACAGTAGAAACTGTTAAATCCCCGTGGACTGATGAGGAATTGAAAAATGATATGGTTGAGAGGGATTAGGCAAACGGAATGGCTAATAAATCTAGCTGCACAACCGATTGGCAAATGTACTGCAAATTGAGAAATCATGTGACTAAACTGAATAAAAGAAAATAAACTAAACTATGAAACAAAGATAAATGACAAAAAATGATAGTAAAAAGCTTTGGAGCACCTTAAATGAAATTTTTTGGGAAAAGGCAAACTCAGCTCCATCATTCATTGAATCAGATGGCTCATTCATCACAAAACCCACTGACATTGCCAACTACTTTAATGATTTTTTCATTGGCAAGATTAGCAAACTTAGGCATGACATGACAGCAACAAACCCTGACACTACACACCCAAGTATATCTGACCAAATTATGAAAGACAAGCATTGTAATTTTTTATTCCATGTGGAAGAGGTTAAATAATTATTGTTGTCTATCAACAATGGCAAGCCACCGGGGTCTAACAACTTGGATGGAAAATTACTGAGGATAATAGTGGACAATATTGCCACTCCTATTTGCCATATTTTCAATTTAAGCCTACTAGAAAGTGTTTGCCCTCAGGCCTGGAGGGAAACAAAAGTAATTCAGCTACCTAAGAATAGTAAAGCCACCTTTACTGGCTCAAATAGCTGACCAATGAGCCTGTTTCCAAACCTTAGAAAACTTTTGGAAAAAATGGTGTTTGACCAGATACAATGCTATTTTACAGTAAACAAATTGACAACAGACTTTCAGCACACTTATAGGGAACAAGCACAGCCCTTACACAAATGACTGATGATTGGCAGAGAGACATTTAAGATAAAGAGATTGTGGGGGCTGTTTTGTTAGACTTCAGTGCGGCTTTTGACATTATCGATCATCGTCTGCTGCTGAAACAACGTGTGTGTTATGGCTTCATACCCCCTGCTATATTGTGGATAAAGAGTTACCTGTCTAACAGAACACAGAGGGTGTTCTTTAATGGAATCCTCTCCAACATAATCCAGGTAGAATCAGGAATTCCCCAGGGCAGCTATGTAGGCCCCTTACTTTTTTAAATCTTAACTAACGACACGCCACTGGCTTTGAGTAGAACCAGTGTGTCGATGTATGCAGATGACTCAACACTATACACGTCAGCTACTACAGCGACTGAAATGACTGCAACACTTAGCAAAGAGCTGCAGTTAGTTTTAGAATGGGTGGCAAGGAATAAGTTAGTCCTAAATATATCAAAAACTAAAAGCATTGTATTTGGGCCAAATCATTCACTAAATCCTAAACCTCAACTAAATCTTGTAATGAATAATGTGGAAATTGAGGATTTTAAACTGTCATGGTCAAAACATATTGATACAACAGTAGCTAAGATGGGGAGAAGTCTGTCCATAATAAAACGCTCCTCTGCCTTCTTAACAGCACTATCAACAAGGCAGGTCCTACAGGCCCTAGTTTTGTTGCACCTGGACTACTGTTCAGTCGTGTGGTCAGGTGCCACAAAGAGGGACTTAGGAAAATTGCAATTGGCTCAGAACAGGGCAGCACGGCTGGCCCTTGGATGTACACAGAGAGCTAACATTAATAATATGCATGTCAATCTCTCCTGGCTCAAAGTGGAGGAGAGATTGACTTCATCACTACTTGTATTTGTGAGAGGTTTTGAGATGTTGAATGCACCGAGCTGTCTGTTTGAACTACTGGCACACAGCTCGTACACCCATGCATACCACACAAGACATGCCACCAGAGCGGTCTTCACAGTCCCCAAATCCAGAACAGTCTATGGGAGGCGCACAGTACTACATAGCGCCATGACTACATGGAACTCTATTCCACATCAAGTAACTCATGCAAGCAGTAAAATTAGATTTAAAAAATAGATAAAAATACACCTTATGGAACAGCGGGGACTGTGAAGCAACACAAACATAGGCACAGACACATGCATACACACACACAATAACATACCCACTATACACACACGTACATATGGATTTTGTGTTGTAGATATGTAGTAGTAGAGTAGGGGCCTGAGGGCACATACTTAATGTTTTTAAAATTGTATAACTGCCTTAATCTTGCTGGACCCCATGAAGAGTAGCTGCTAATGGGGATCCATAATTAATACAAATACACAGGGAGTACCAGTACCAGACCAATGTGCAGAGGTACAAGGTACTTGAGCAGCAAATGATGAGTGTAAAAGTGAGTGTGTGTGAGTGTGCGTTTGTGTATGTATGTTTGTTTTGTAGTGTCGGTATGTGTGTGTGTGTTACAGTGGGTAAAAAAAGTATTTAGTCAGCCACCAATTGTGCAAGTTCTCCCACTTAAAAAGATGAGAGAGACCTGTAATTTTCATCATAGGTACACGTCAACTATGACAGACAAATTGAGATTTTTTTCTCTCCAGAAATTCACATTGTAGGATTTTTTATGCCCGGGCAACGAAGGAGTGGCTTCGTAAGAAGCATTTCAAGGTCCTGGAGTGGCCTAGCCAGTCTCCAGATCTCAACCCCATAGAAAATCTTTGGAGGGAGTTGAAAGTCTGTGTTGCCCAGCGACAGCCCCAAAACATCACTGCTCTAGAGGAGATCTGCATGGAGGAATGGGCCAAAATACCAGCAACAGTGTGTGAAAACCTTGTGAAGACTTACAGAAAACGTTTGACCTGCGTCATTGCCAACAAAGGGTATATAACAAAGTACTGAGAAAATGTTGTTATTGACCAAATACTTATTTTCCACCATAATTTGCTAATAAATTCATTAAAAATCCTACAATGTGATTTTCTGGATTATTCTTTCTCATTTTGTCTGTCATAGTTGACGTGTACCTATGATGAAAATTACAGGCCTCTCTCATCTTTTTAAGTGGGAGAACTTGCACAATTGGTGGCTGACTAAATACTTTTTTCCCCCACTGTATGTGTGTGTGTGTGTGTGTGTGTGTGTGTGTGTGTGCGTGTGTATGTAGTGTTTGAATGTGTGAGGGATTTGTGTGGGAGTGACAGTTTAGTGTGAGTTAGTGTGTATATGTGACCCGTTTCAAGAAGCTAGGCATACAGTTGAAGTCGTAAATTTACATACACCTTAGCCAAATACATTTAAACTCAGTTTTTCACAATTCCTGACATTTAGTCCTAGTAAAATTCCCTGTCTTAGGTCAGTTAGGATCACCACTTTATTTTAAGAATGTGAAATGTCAGAATAATAGTAGAGAGAATGATTTATTTCAGCTTTTATTTCTTTCATCACATTCCCAGTGGGTCAGAAGTTTACATACACTCAAATAGTATTTGGTAGCATTGCCTTTAAATTGTTTAACTTGGGTCAAACGTTTCAGTTAGCCTTCCACAAGCTTCCCACAATAAGTTGGGTGAATTTTGGCCCATTCCTCTTGACAGAGCTCGTGTAACTGAGTCAGGTTTGTAGGCCTCCTTGCTCACACACGCTTTTTCAGTTCTGCCCACAAATGTTCTATAGGATTAAGGTCAGGGCTTTGTGATGGCCACTCCAATACCTTGACTTTGTTGTTTTTAAGCAATTTTGCCACAACTATGGAAGTATGCTTGGGGTCATTGTCCATTTGGAAGACCTATTTGCGACCAAGCTTTAACTTCCTGACTGATGTCTTCAGATGTTGCTTCATTATATCCACATAATTTTCCTTCCTCATGATGCCATCTATTTTGTGAAGTGCACCAGTCCCTCCTGCAGCAAAGCACCCCCAAAGCATGAAGCTGCCACCCCCGTGCTTCACGGTTGGGATGGTGTTCTTCGGCTTGCAAGCAGACCCCTTTTTCCTCCAAACATAACGATGGTCATTATGGCCAAACAGTTCTATTTTTGTTTCATCAGACCAGAGGACATTTCTCCAAAAAGTATGATCTTTGTCCCATGTGCAGTTGCAAACCGTAGTCAGGCTTTTTTATGGCGGTTTTGGAGCAGTGGCTTCTTCCTTGCTGAGCGGCCTTTCAGGTTATGTCGATATAGGACTCGTTTTACTGTGGATATAGATACTTTTGTACCTGTTTCCTCCAGCATCTTCACAAGGTCCTTTGCTGTTGTTCTGGGATTTATTTGCACTTTTCGCACCAAAGTACATTCATCTCTAGGAGACAGAACATGTCTCCTTCCTGAGCGGTATGACGGCTGCGTGGTCCCATGGTGTTTATACTTGCGTACTATTGTTTGTACAGATTAACGTGGTACCTTCAGGTGTTTGGAAGTTGCTCCCAAGGATGAACCAGACTTGTGGAGGTCTACCATTTTTTTCTGAGGTCTTGGCTAATTTCTTTTGATTTTCCCATGATGACAAGCAAGAGGCAATGAGTTTGAAGGTACAGTGAGGGAAAAAAGTATTTGATCCCCTGCTGATTTTGTACGTTTGTCCACTGACAAAGAAATGATCAGTCTATAATTTTAACGGTAGGTTTATTTGAACAGTGAGAGACAGAATAACAACAACAAAATCCAGAAAAACGCATGTCAAAAATGTTATAAATTGATTTACATTTTAATGAGGGAAATAAGTATTTGACCCCCTCTCAATCAGAAGGATTTCAGGCTCCCAGGTGTCTTTTATACAGGTAACGAGCTGAGATTAGGAGCACACTAGTGTGTGACCCGTTTCAAGAAGCTAGGTTACCTGTATAAAAGACACCTGTCCACAGAAGCAATCAATCAATCAGATTCCAAACTCTCCACCATGGCCAAGACCAAAGAGCTCTCCAAGGATGTCAGGGACAAGATTGTAGACCTACACAAGGCTGGAATGGGCTACAAGACCATCGGCAAGCAGCTTGGTGAGAAGGTGACAACAGTTGGTGCGATTATTCGCAAATGGAAGAAACACAAAATAACTGTCAATCTCCCTCGGCCTGGGGCTCCATGCAAGATCTCACCTCGTGGAGTTGCAATGATCATGAGAACGGTGAGGAATCAGCCCAGAACTACATGGGAGGATCTTGTCAATGATCTCAAGGTAGCTGGGACCATAGTCACGAAGAAAACAATTGGTAACACACTACGCCGTGAAGGACTGAAATCCTGCAGCGCCCGCAAGGTCCCCCTGCTCAAGAAAGCACATATACAGCCCGTTTGATGTTTTCCAATGAACATCTGAATGATTCAGAGGAGAACTGGCTGAAAGTGTTGTGGTCAGATGAGACCAGAATTGAGCTCTTTGGCATCAACTCAACTCGCCATGTTTGGAGGAGGAAGAATGCTGCCTATGACCCCAAGAACACCATCCCCACCATCAAACATGGAGGTGGAAACATTATACTTTGGGGGTGTTCTGCTAAGGGGACAGAACAACTTGACTGCATCAAAGGGACGATGGACGGGGCCATGTACCGTCAAATCTTGGGTGAGAACCTCCTTCCCTCAGCCAGGGCATTGAAAATTGGTCGTGGATGGGTATTCCAGCATGACAATGACCCAAAACACACGGCCAAGGCAACAAAGGAGTGGCTCAAGAAGAAGCACATTAAGGTCCTGGAGTAGCCTAGCCAGTCTCCAGACCTTAATCCCATAGAAAATCTGTGGAGGGAGCTGAAGGTTAGAGTTGCCAAACGTCAGCCTCGAAACCTTAATGACTTGGAGAAGATCTGCAAAGAGGAGTGGGACAAAATCCCTCCTGAGATGTGTGCAAACCTGGTGGCCAACTACAAGAAACGTCTGACCTCTGTGATTGCCAACAAGGGTTTTGCGACCAAGTACTAAGTCATGTTTTGCAGAGGGGTTAAATACTTATTTCCCTCATTAAAATGCAAATAAATTTATAGCATTTTTGACATGCATTTTTCTGGATTTTTTTGTTGTTATTCTGTCTCACACTGTTCTTTTTTCCCTCACTGTAGGCCTTGAAATACATCCACAGGTAGACCTCCAATTAACTCAAATGATGTCAATTAGCCTATCAGTAGCTTCTAAAGCCATGACATCATTTTCTGGAATTTTCCAAGCTGTTTAAAGGCACAGTCAACTTAGTGTATGTAAACTTCTGACCCACTGGAATTGTGTTACAGTGAATTATAAGTGAAATAATCTGTCTGTAAACAATTGTTGGAATAATTACTTGTGTCATGCACAAAGTAGATGTCCTAAGCGACTTGCCAAAACTATAGTTTGTTAACAAGAAATGTGTGGAGTGGTTGAAAAACGAGTTTTAATGACTCCAACCTAAGTGTATGTAAACTTCCGACTTCAACTGTATGTCGCACGTCACTACTTCACAGGAGAGGCATTTGAACATAATTTTGCCGAGAGGTGAGTTCGGATTGGTCTGCCATGTAGCACGCTTCTGTAACATGAGCTGCTCAGTAAGTGTAGATAATCCTTGCTACCGCAGTCTTTTTGAAAGATATAATGCCAAGAGTATATAATTATAACACATAATAATATTATAACAAGGCACCTGTAAATTGAAATGCGTTCCAGGTGACTTCCTCATGAAGCTGGTTGAGAGAATGCCAAATGTGTGCAAAGCTGTCATCAAGGGAAAGGGTGGCTATTTGAAGAATCTCAAATATAACATATATTTTGATTTGTTTAACACTTTTTGGGTTACTACATGATTCCATATATGTTATTTCATAGTTGTGATGTCTTCAATATTATTCTACAATGTAAACAATTGTAAAAATAAAGAAAAACCCTTGAATGAGTAGGTGTGTCCAAACTTTTGACTGGTAGTGTATGTTTCTAATTTTGTCAGAAAGTCGTTTTCATTGTAAGTTAAAGCGTACTGTTCGCTAGCTAGCGAACGTTAGCTTGCTGGCTCGCTAGCTAACGTTACGTGTATGATCTGTGTAGTAATATTATTTGAAACTCAGAAAGCCATTTGTATTGCTAGTTATAGGCTAATGTTAGCTAGCTAGCTAGCTAACATTGAACGTAGTTGGTTAGCTTTAGCTATTCATAGTCCAGCATTTCACACATGGTGGCTAGTTATGACAATTTTTTTGTACTGTAGCTATGGGTTGGGAATATGGTTCATTGTTTAGCTAGTTAGCTACATGTCTAAACAAAAGACTCCACTTCACCCGATGGTTAGATGCCCCATCAAGTTAGCCAGGTGACGGCAATCTATTGTATTTCATGAACATGTGTACATGTCTAGACAACAGTGACCCATCCACTTAGCTAGATGTGGCTGGGGGGTGGTTATAGCATTTCTTTCACATGACTCATCAATTTAACATTTGTTTTTGGGTAAGCATCACCTAATAATTATAAAATATTTATACAATATTTTTATCTGGACACTTTCAAAATCAGATTAGGCTATAGTCCAAGGACTAGAGAAAGTGTATTTTTACCTGGAGTTTTTCCTTATTATAGGCTACTACTTTCAGCACTTTTAGTCTTGAAATCTTTGGTTGTTTAATACAGTACCTTACTCACTCTGTTTAGCACATGGCCTCATGTGAATGCTTAAAGAGGTGGGTGGGGCTAAGGCTTAAGAGGGTGTGAACGATGCTGAATAGGTGTAGACTCAGAACAGCTCTCCAGTAGGTATCCCAAAACATTCAAGGGCCATTTTCTCAAAAGTGGGGTTACAAGTTTATCAACTTTCAAAGCATAATTACTTAATTGTTCCTCAACTGCAGTGTATGATATACCATTTTGTAGCTCTGAGTCTCTACTTATATCCAATGTAAAAAACACAATTTCAAATGTTGCTACATAGGACCAAATCGAGGCGGTTGGTCACATATATGGTATGTAAATAAAGTCTAGCGAGTGTGCGTAGGGTCAGTGCAAGATGGAGTCAGTGCATCTAGTTCGGGTACCATTAATTGACTATTGACTATTTAGCAGTCTGGATATTTAGCAGTCTTATGGCTTGAGGGTAGAAGCTGTCTCTGAGACTGTTGGTCTGAGAGCCGATGCTCTGGTACCGTTTGCCGGTGGTAGCAGAGTGAACAGTCTATGGCTTGGGTGGCTGGAATCTTTGGCAATTTTTTTCACCGCCTGATATAGAGGTCCTGGATGGCAGGGAGCTCGGCCCCAGTGATGTACCGGGCTGTCCGCACCACTCTTAGTAGCGCTTTGCGGTCAAGGGTGGTGAAATTGCCATACCAAGCGGTGATGCAACCAGTCAAGATGCTCTCGATGGTGCAGCTGTAGAACATTTTGAGGATCTGAGGGCCCATGCCAAATCTTTTCAGCCTCCTGAGGGGGAAAAGGTGCTGCCGAGCCCTCTTCACAACTGTGAGGGTGTGTGGACCATGTTAAGTCCTTAGCGATGTGGACGCCAAGGAACTTAAAGCTCTCGACCCGCTCCACAACAGCCCCATAGATGTGGATGGGGGCGTGCTCTCCCCTCTTTCTCCTATACTCCACGATCAGCTCCTTGGTCTTACTGACATTGAGGGAGATGATGTTGTCCTGGTCTCTGAACTCCTCCCTGTAGGTTGACTCATCGCAGTCGGTGATCAGGCCTACCACCGTCATGTCGTCAGAAATCTTGATGATGGTGTTGGGAGTCGTGCGCAGCCATGCAGTTGTGGGTGAACAGGGAATACAGGAGAGGACTAAGCACACACCCCTGAAGGGCCCCTGTGTTGAGGGTCAGTGAGGCGGAGATGTTGTTGCCTACCCTCACCACCTTGGGCTGACCCGTCAGGAAGTCCAGGATCCAGTTGCAGAGGGAGGGGTTCAGTCCCAGGGTCCCTAGCTTGGTGATGAACTTGTAGGGGACTATGGTGTTGACCTCTGAGCTGTAGTCTATGAACAGAATTCTCACATAGCTATTTCCCCTCTTGTACAGGTGGGAGAGGGCAGTGTGAAGTGCAATTCAGATTGAGTCATTTTTTGATCTTTTGGGGCGGTATGCGAATTGGAATGGGTCTAGGGTGTCTGGGATGATGGTGTTGATGTGTGTCATGACCAGCCTTTCAAAGCACTTCATAATTACATTTAGGCTAATTACCTTGGAGCTCTTGGGGACAGGGGCTATGGTGGTCAGCTTGAAACATGTTGGGATTACAGACTGGGACAAGGAGAGATTGAAAATGTCTGTGAAGACACCTGTGAAGACACCTGCCAGCTGGTCTGCTTTGAGAACGCACCCTGGTATTCCTTCTGCCTTGTAATTGTTTAAACATTTTGCTCACTTCGGCCATGGATAGCGAGATCACATAGTCATCTGGAAAAGCAGGGGCTTTCACGCGAGGCACAGTGTTATATTCCTTGAAGTGAGCATAAAAGGTATTTCACTTGTTTGGGAGTTCTGTGTTGCTGGGCAGCTCATGGCTGGGTTTCCCTTTGTAATCTGTTATCGTCTGCAAGCCCTGCCAATTACGACAAGCATCGTAGCCGGTTAAATAGGATTCCACTTTCCTCCTATATTGTCCTTTTGCATGTTTGATGTCTCGTCGGAGGTCGTAGTGGGATTTCTTGTATGTGTCCATGTCCGTGTCCCATTCATTGTAAGCAGTAGCTCTTTAGCCCAGCGCCGATGTTGCTTGTAATCCATGGTTTTTGGTTGGGATGCGTTCTTATAGTCACTGTGGGGACGACATCGTCTATGCACTTATTGATGAAGCCTGTGACTGTTGTGGTAAACTCCTCAATGTTATCGGATGAAACCCGGAACATATCCCAGTCTGTACTAGCAAAATAGTCTTGTAGCCTCGCATCTGCTTCGTTCAACCACTTCCGTATTGAGCACATCAATGGTGCTTCCTGTTTGAGCTTTTGTTTGTAAACAGGATGCAGGAGAATGGAGTCATGGTCATACTTGCCTAAGAGAGGACGAGGGAGTGCCTTGTATGCGTTTCTAGAGGTAGATTACAAGTGGTCTAGAGGTTTAGCGCCCCTAGTGGCGCAGGAGACATGTTGGTAGAAGTGCTGCCTCTGGATGAGCGGTTTCTTGTTTGTTTATGGCCCCATACAGTTCGTTGATTGCCAGGGTGGTGTTGGCCTGAGGAGGAATGTAGACAGCTGTGATAGTTACGGATGAGAACTCTCTTGGTAGATAAAAGGGTCTGGAGCTTACCATGAGGTGTTCTATATCAGGTGAGAAAAAGCTAGAGATTTCCTTCACACTTGAAGCAGCACACCAGTTGTTATTTATGAAAAACACACACTGCCTCCTTTCATTTTCCCCGATGCCGCCGTCCGATCCTGCCACTGCATGGAGAATCCACCGAGTACTACGAGCATAGCGTCATCATCCAGCCATGTTTCAGTAAGACATATTAAATTGCAGCTTTTCAAGTCTCTATAATAGGAGACTCTCGAATGAAGCTCATCCATCTTGTTCTCGGAGTGACTGGACATTTGCCAATAGAACGGTGGGGAGCACCGTTCAGTTTCCTCTTCGACCTCAATTTCACTAGGACTCCACCTCGTCTCCTGCGTTTATGCCTCTGGCATTTTGGTATCCCATGGAACAAAGGAGTAGGGTCCGGTATGAACAGGGGAACAGCTGAATCGGAGTTGAAGTCAAAATCAAGGTTACTAACTGTCGATCTGATTTCCAGAAGTGCTTGGCGGTCATATTTGATAATAGTATGAACCTTCTGTACAAGAAAAGTAAAGGTAAACATGAAAAAAGCCACTAAATAGAAAAGTTGGGTTGGAGCTCGTAAGATGTTGCCCTTCTCCTTTGGCACTATCTTTGTTCATTAGTTGACAAGTTGAATCAGGTGTGCTAGCTGTGGAATAGTTCAAATACATGGAATGGCTGGGGGTCCCAGAGGAGAGGATTGAAAACCCCTGATATAGTTATATGGATGCAGCAAGGACCATTTCTATTAATCTGAGCCTTAATGACTCAACAAATCAATTCTACTAAAAAATATTGGATTGGATAACCAGGATAATTTGCAGGATGTGTTATGCTGGAGGAGGATGGGAATAGAAACTAAAACCATTGTGTTTCGACGCATAGCAATCATCAGTGTGTTTGGTCTAGGATGGCATCCCACAGCGTCAAGATGGGCTCACCCTGTAATCTTCCCTGTCCAGCTGCAGCGTTGCCTGGGCAAACCTCCACAGAGCCCCCTGGTCCTCTGAGTGGGACAGCAGCTTTACCTGGCTCCCTTGTTCACTCCACTGGTACACATTCAGCGTCCCCATGCCCCTCCCGGACATGTGGTACCACAGCTGAAGACACACCCCTTTACCTACACCACAAACAGACAGACAGGTAACACATCCTTATTCAGTGTTCCATAGGGATCTGCTCAAAGGTAGTACACTATACGTGAGTGAAATAATAGGGTATGGTTTGAGACAAAACCTCTGTCATCTGTAGTAGATTGCTGCCAGTCTATGATTGCATTCCAATTCTCTCAAAGTGTGCACTTGTACACTCTTCCCCATGCAATGAATAGCATTGGGGTTGGCATGGGTTTACACCAATCTTCCACTAGTCCTTTCCTTTTAGTTCCACGAAGTGAAGTGAACAAGTGCACACTTAGAGCAGAAGGGTAGAGAAACAGGACGCAGGATATCTCTTTCACCTGCAGGGAACAGTGGGGAGGCCATCCTGGCTGTCTGTCCAGGCTGGTCAATCCCTGATGAGGGCAGGTAGAAGTAGTGTCCAGTGGCGGTGTTGGTGGTGTGGTCGTAGTCCGGACCGGTGTTAGGGTTAGGGGTGGACCCCGACCCCCTGACCCAGTCACCGTCATCATCAGCCTGCTGAAGCCAGTTACAACTGCTCTCCTCAAAGTCACACAGGTCTGGAAGGTAAAACATATTTAAAGATATACAACATATATACACTATATGCCAGGAGAACGCTACCTGCCCGAAAGCATAGTGCCAATTGTAAGTTTGGTGGAGGAGGAATAATGGTCTGGGGCTGTTTTTCATGGTTCAGGCTCCTTAGTTCCAGTGAAGGGAAATCTTAATGCTACAGCGTACAATGACATTCTAGACGATACTGTGCTTCCAACTTTGTGGCAACAGTTTGAGAAAGGTCCTTTTCTGTTTCAGCATGACAATGCCCCCATGCACAAAGCAAGGTCCATACAGAAATGGTTTGTCGAGATCGGTGTGGAAGAACTTGACTGGCCTGCACAGAGTCCTGACAACCCATCGAACACCTTTGGGATGAATTGGAACGCCGACTGCGAGCCAGGCCTAATTGCCCAACATCAGTGCCCGACCTCACTAATGCTCTTGTGGCTGAATAGAAGCAAGTCCCCGCAGCAATGTTCCAACATCTAGTGGAAAGCCTTCCCAGAAGAGTGGAGGTTGTTATAGCAGCAAAGAGGGGACCAACTCCTTATTAAAGCCCATGATAATGGAATGAGATGTTCGATGAGCAGGTGTCCACATACTTTTGATCATGTAGTGTATCAACATATACAAAATATACTGTATATCAACATATACTTAAAGATATACAGGTATATCAACATATAAAAAGTCACACAAACAAACAAACAAATGCATGCTAAGACTTGTATCAGAGTACACCAGTAAGAAGAGTTTACTAAGTGTACAGAATGAAGTTATGATGAAGTGTACCTGATGGGGCGCAGGGTCCCACGGTGAAGGTGACATCATCGATGGCGATGTCCCCCGCCTCTCCGCCCACCGAGGCCTCTAACACCACCTGGTGGACTTCCTGTAAGGTCACATGACTCTGAGCCAGCAGCCACTCATCCCCCTGAGTGCGACCCCTGTACCACACCTATAGATAAAGACAGAAGAGCAGGTAGTTGATGGCTCTAAATCACTGATCTAGGGTCAGATATTAGCTATACACTACCAGTCAAAAGTTTGGACACACCTACTCATTCAAGGGTTTTTCTTTATTTGTAAAACATTTTACATTGTAGAATAATAGTGAAGACATCAACACTATTAAAGAACACAATTGGAATCATGTAGTAACCAAAAAAGTGTTAAACAAATCAAAATATATTTTATATTTGAGATTCTTCAAATAGCTACCCTTTGCCTTGATGACAGCTTTGCACACTCTTGGCATTCTCTCAACCAGCTTCATGAGGTAGTCACCTGGAATGCATTTCAATTAACAGGTGTGCCTTGTTAAAAGTTAATTTGTGGAATTTCTTTCCTTCTTAATGCGTTTTGAGCCAATCAGTTGTGTTGTGACAAGGTAGGGGGGATATACAGAAGATAGCCCTATTTGGTAAAAGACCAAGTCCATATTATGGCAAGAACAGCTCAAATAAGCAAAGAGAAACGACAGTCCATCATTACTTTAAGACATGAAGGTCACTCAATACGGAACATTTCAAGAATTTTGAAAGTTTCTTCAAGTGCAGTCGCAAAAACCATCAAGCGCTATGATGAAACTGGCTCTCATGAGGACTGCCACAGGAATGTAAGACCCAGAGTTACCTCTGCTGCAGAGGATAAGTTCATTAGAGTTACCAGCCTCAGAAATTGCAGCCCAAATAAATGCTTCACAGAGTTCAAGTAAAAGACACATCTCAACATCAACTGTTCAGAGGGGACTGTGTGAATCAGGCCTTCATGGTCGACTTGCTGCAAAGAAACCACTACTAAAAGACACCAATAAGAAGAAGAGACCTGCTTGGGCCAAGAAACACGAGCAATGGACATTAGACCAGTGGAAATGTGTCCTTTGGAGATTTTTGATTCAAACTGTCTTTGTTAGACGCGGTGTGGGTGAACGGATGATCTCGCATGTGTAGTTCCCACCGTAAAGCATGGAGGAGGAGGTATTATGGTGTGGGGGTGCTTTGCTGGTGACACTGTCTGTGATTTATTTAGAATTCAAGGCACAGTTAATCAGCATGGCTACCACAGCATTCTGCAGCGATACGCCATCCCATCTGGTTTGGGCTTAGTGGGACTATCATTTGTTTTTCAACAGGACAATGACCCAACACACCTCCAGGCTGTGTAAGGGCTATTTTACCAAGAAGGAGTGATGGAGTGCTGCATCAGATTACCTAGCCTCCACAATCCCCCGACTTCAACCCAATTGAGATGGTTTGGGATGAGTCGGATGGCAGAGTGAAGGAAAAGCAGCCAACAAGTGCTCAGCATATGTGGGAACTCCTTCAAGACTGTTAGAAAAGCATTCCAGGTGAAGCTGGTTGAGAGAATGCCAAGAGTGTGCAAAGCTGTCATCAAGGCAAAGGGTGGCTATTTGAAGAACCTCAAATATAAAATATATTTTGATTTGTTTGACACTTTTTTTGGTTACATTATTTCATGTCGTCACTATTATTCTACAATGTAAAAAATAGTAAAAATAAAGAAAAACCATTGAATGAGTAGGTGTGTCCACATTTTTAAAGACAGGGGGGAAGGTAGATGTTACCCCTAATCTCTGATCCAGGGTTTGTTCATACCATTGTTCCTAGCCGGGACTGTGTGGTGTGTAGCACCATCCTGAGTGATCCTACTGTGGGCCCAAACATGTGGTACCAGAATGAGAGGCAGTACCCCTGGGGCCCTGCAGGGGGCAGCAACTGGGACTTCAGCTGAGCAACGCTACCAACGGCGCTGGGAGCAGAGCTCTCGATGTACAGGTAATACCCTAGGAATTAAACAACACACTGATTAAGGAAACCATTGAATTATGCAACAGGTTGGAACCTTTGAAGCAATTGAACACACCCTGCTGAATGCCAACATTAAAAAACGCCAACAGTTCCAACCAGTTACGTTATATTGTCCAGATTTGATGTAATCATGACCATTGGTCACACTACCCCTTTAAAAGTACCAGAAACAGTGAGGGAAGAACCATAGCCTACTATATCGCTAGCATTAAACACTGATGCTGAAAATGTCTTCCATGTAACGCCCAGTAGCTGGTACTTTGAAAATGTATCACACTACACTACCCCTTTAAAGTTCCAGGACAGGGTGTGATTTAATGTACATCATCATGAAATGAATACATTGAGTGGTGATGTGATGCAACTGTGGGACTGACCAGTGGTGGTGGTGTGGTCCCCAGCAGGCCCAGTGTTTGGGGTGTCTGTAGGACCAGACTTCATCTGCCAGTCTTGTTCCTCCTCTGCCCCCTGCACCCAGCCACACAGGTCCCTCTCAAAGGAACAGTCATAGGCAGACAGGGCTGGGGAGAGAAAAGTAAAATAGTGACGAAATGACATGATGTGGCCTGGGCCCGTATTCATAAAACTTCTCAGAGTGCTGACCTAGGATCAGGTCTAGGATCAGGTCCCCCCTGTCTACCTAGTCTTATTCCTTATTATCTAAAAGGCTAAACTGATCCTAGAACATCTGCACATGTATTGCTAATGCAGTCCTGCCCTACCTGGTGGCTGGTAGGATGTGTCACAGTTGAAGAAGGAGATATCGTCCAGAGCAACAGCACGGGAGACATCTGATAGGCTCTCCCCAGCCCAGCTTCTGAACACTACCTGAGAGGACAGACAATTACATCAGTACAGTCAACTAGCATGCTGTAGGTCCAGAGGTTTCTCCTGATTGCCTGACCTGAGAAGAGAATATTCTCGGCCCTAGTAGAGTTTAGTAGTGCCCAGAGTTTTTCCTGGTCTAGTAACATGGTCAGTAAAAAAAAAAACTCCTTGACCTAAACATGTGGTTTATGACTGAAATACCATGCCAGTTCAATGTTAGGCCCAATGGAGTCATATAAATAAAGCTAGTAACGGGTATATCTCAGTGGGAACACACACCTTGTAGGGCTGCAGGTGTTGACCTAGAGGCAGGTGCTCTGGGCTCCACTGGGGGGCGGTGGTGAGTGTGCGTGACCATAGTGCTATCTCTTTGCCCTCAGCCTCCTGCAGAAGAACACTCAGAGACCCTACACTTTTACCACGCATCTGGAAGTGAAACCTGGGAGGAACACAGACAGACGAGCGAGCGCGAGAGCGAGAGCGAGAGCGAGAGCGAGAGCGAGAGAGAGAGGCTCATACATTGTCCGTGAGGCTCTAATATAAAATATTGTTGAATAAAACTGAGGTCAAAATCCACAGGTAGACATCGAAGGCGGGCTCATGGCATCAGCCTACTGGCTGTCCTGTCTGTCACTCACAGTATCTGGCAGTAGGGGGACAAGGATGGGAGGGCGGGACTCTGGAGACGAGCCTCGATTTGGGACTGGCTGAAATTCACTGCCATGTAGTAGCCTATTCACAAAGTAGGAGGCAGAAGGGAAGGGGCTTAAACATGCAATCTGTAACTTTAATTTCCCATCAAAAGTGCTGCTGCTGTTTTCTTCTTGGCCGATTGTGTTAATAGTACCGATCGAGTTGTCACTGGTGAAATGAAAATAACAGAACGCAACTTTATGCTAAATGGTTTTACATGTGCTTCAACTGTTGCCTTGTCATTGGTAGGTGGTTGTGGTCATGTGTACGGTCAGTGTGTGGTCCAGTGTGGTTACCTGTGCCAGTCGTGTGGTCCGTCTCTGGTACTGTGTGGTTACCGGCTTCCTGTCTCTGCCATCTGTTGACGCCCTCGCTGGTGTCACTCCACAGACACTGGTCACTCTCAAACGTACAGGCACTGGTGGTGGGAGGGACTGAGGAAGTGGGTGTGGCTGGAGTAGTGGGAGGGACAGAGGAAGGTGGGTTGACAGGCAGCTGGCTGTTGTTAGGGTCGTGGACACACTCCTTGGAGAAGGAAACATCGTCAACTGCAACCAGACCAATATGGGTTTCTCCTCTCGCATACTGGAATACAATCTGCAGATACACAAGCATACGCACACACACACCAATGAGCCGTCCAATCTGTTATGCAATACACACTAAATAAAATGTGTGTGTGTGTGTGTTTGTATGTGTGTGTGTGTTGTCCTCTCTGACCTTGCTGTTGACCGGTGAGAACAGTATGACCTCTGCCCTGTGCCAGCTGTAGTCCTGTGATGAGTCTCTGGTCCACAGCACAGTGTCATCAGCCCCATTGTGGTCTGTCCTCAGCCTCACAGTCAGACTGGCCATCTCCTCATCCTGACTGTAGTAGTAGAACCTGACCTGTAGGGGGAGACAGAGAGCAGCGTCTCACTGAGGGAACCACAGACTAGCCAGAGGAGGATACGGAGCTGCTGTTGGTGCATAGAGATGGAAAGAGGGCACATTTCCTATCTTTTCCATGATCGATTCTGTGACAGCACAGGCAGCACTATTGCGGGCTAAAACAGTCTTTGTGGCAAATCCGCCCTCTAGCCATCTCTATGTGTTGATGTAACATCCGTGTTCATTGTGAACAATATAGATTGTGATTGACAGAGTCGTTGTGAATGTAGAGAGACTCACGGTGCAGTTGGAGCTGGGTAGCAGAGTGCTGGAGAGCATCTCTGATGTCTGGCGCTTCTCAGTCAGGTGGCTCCCAGGAATCACATAGTGCCCTGAAACATAAAATAATAATAATAATAATAATAATATGCCATTTAGCAGACGCTTTTATCCAAAGCGACTTACAGTCATGCGTGCATACATTTTTTTGTGTGTATGGGTGGTCCCGGGGATCGAACCCACTACCTTGGCGTTATAAGCGCCGTGCTCTACCAGCTGAGCTACAGAGGACCGAGCTATAAAGACAACCTCGTTCTTACCCGCCTATCACAAAGAACCGGCCCATATCTACAGCACTGACAGTAATGGGGGATGGTCATCTCGGCACCCAGAACTAAATCTCACATGAGCGCTGCTACTCTTTAAATCTGTGATGAAAGACTACAGGGATGGCCATGGGGCAATTCTTGAACTCCCTGATCCACACACTATAATTCATCTCTAAGTGCAGTAGGTGGACCTACCTGCTCCATTGTTTTTGGTGTGATCCCTCGGCGGCCCGTGTTGAGGCCAGGCGCTCTCTCCCTTCTGGAAGGTCCAGTCAGCCCCGGGGGTGTCCACCTCACTCTCCTCCCAGGAGCACAGGCCCTGCTCAAAGCTGCAGTGCCCCGTGTAACCCTGCTTCTCTGGATACACACGGACAGAGGAAAGGGATGACTCAGGATACAACCAACCGATTAGAGCTCTTTGTTATTATTATGTGACCTGGCGAGGAAAAACTCCAGGCCCTTGTTAAAAGCATGAACCAGAGTTTCCCTGCTTACAAAACTGTCCTTCTCACTCACCACAGTCGGCCTCATCAGTCCCATCCCCACAGTCGTCGGTGTAGTCACACACTCGGCTCTGCTCCACACAGACACGGTTAGAGCAGGTGAACACTCCGGCTGGACAGGAGTCCTGGGGCTCTGAGGGGGAGAGAAAACATAGTTAATCAAAGACTGCTTCAAATCAGCACTGGAGCAAAGTGAGATTCAATATATATAGCTCCTGTAATAGACAGGTAGTACTATGCTATGCTATGCTATGCTATACTATGCTATGCTATATTCCCCTAAATACAATTGACCACTTAGGATATTGCCATTGTAGTTTATAGCGTAATTGTTTCCCTTCCCCTATAACACAAGTAACACAACCCATGGCTACTGTCACTTTGTGTGTTTGCTGCTCACCAGGCAGACTACAGTTGAGGAAGAGGATGTCGTCGATGGCGATGTCCCCTAGCTGACTGAAGGTCCTGGTGGCCTGGAAGAGCAGGGTGAAGACCTGGGGGGTACGACCCACCGTCACCTCGCCCCGACGCCACGCATCCTCCTGGTCATCCGACCGCCACCACAGAGGAGTGGTCCTGGAGCCCTCCTGTAGAAGCACGCTGAGTTCCCCTATACCTGACAACAAACATAGACATAAACACAAGCATGCACACACACGCACCCATAAACACTAGGACTGTCCATACCAAAAATTAAAACACTAAGCAGACCAAACTCTTTGGTCCTTTAAAAACCTGCTGTATGTAAAACATTGTGTGCTATAGCTTGGGAAATAAATAAATGTGACTCTGGACAACAACATAATGATGTTTGTGTTTTGTGTCCTTGCCACGATACTAACGAGTATCGCCATACTGATATCATCCCGGCCCTAATAAACACGCAGAAACGCAAACATGCACATACAGGTAAACGTATATTGAAAGCAGGTGCTTCCACACAGGTGTAGTTTCTGAGTTAATTAAGCAATTAACATCCCATCATGCTTAGGGTCATGCATAAAAATGCTGGGCAGGTCATTCTTTTGGCTACCATGGCTATGTTCCTATAGAAAGAAAATGCCCCCATCCACAGGGCATGAGTGATCACTGAATGGTTTGATGAGCATGAAAGAAATTTAAACCATATGCCATAGCTGTCTCAGTCACCAGATCTCAACCCAATTGAACACTTATGGGAGATTCTGGAACGGTGCTTAAGACAGCTTTTTCCACACCATCAACAAAACACCAAATGATGTAATTTCTCGTGGAAGAATGATGTCGCATCCCTCCGATAGAGTTCAAGACACTTAGAATCTATACCAAGGTGCATTGAAGCTGTTCTGATGGCTTGTGGTGGCCCAACGCCCTATTAAAGACAGTTTATGTTGGTGTTTCCTTTATTTGGGCAGTTACCAGTACATGCAAGCACGCACAAACATACAGTACTTATTACGCATGCATGCATATGTGTTGGAGCATCTTACCTGTTCCATACACGTGGTAGTAGAACACTAGCAAGCACACAGCACTGGCCTGCTTCATGGCGGGACTCTGCAGCGCTGCAAAGCTGTTCACATCCCCATGGCTAGACTCCACTGCCATGTACCAGCCTGGAGGAACACAGGACAGACAGAGCTGAACTAAAGTAGAACTACAAGGGTAGTGTGTGCGTCTTAAATGTGTGTGTGTGTGTGTGTGTCTTACCCAGCTCAGTGCCCAGGGTGTGGTCTATTGACGGGCCAGTGTTCTCCGTGGTAGTGCCATTCCTGCCCCGTTGCCATGTAAACTGGCCCACACTGACATCCGTCCAATCACAGGTACCGTTCTCAAAGGAGCACCCCACAAAGTCCCCGCTAGTCTCATTGTCTGTCGGGACAGGTGGACATGGGATGAAAGGACATGGAATAGGGTATGGGGGGACCGAAACAGGTGTAGGGTACAAGGGCCAACAGAGAACAGGGACAGTTAGCCTTGTTGCTTTGATTTGCCCATAACCAGTCTACAACTATTGCTATAATGCTTTCCACATTGTTTGTACTGTACCTGGACAAAGCCCTGGCGTTACAGTGATGTCATCAATAGCAATAAATCCATGGTCTCCAGATTCTGCGTCTATCAGCACCTAGACAGACAGGGTTAGAAAGTACACTCAGCTGTGTAGGACCAGTGTGTGAGCTGCTTACAAAGCATTAAACCAGTCACTGTACCTGGAATGGGCCGGACTTCTCCACAGAGCCAGAGAAGCGGGTCCAGTTGGATCCTCCAGATTGGGTCTCAAACAGTAACTCTTGTTTTGTTGGCCCAGAGCGCACAAACACACGCAGCACCCAAGACTCACTGCACAATAAGGAAGACATAAGGGGAACAGATAATTATTCTATTGGAGAAATGTTGACTCCTACCAAACTCTACCAATATAGAGCCCCTGTGTTAGGCTAAATGTCTCCTGCCATCCCAAAAGTACAGTTCATGTACAGTTCATTACAATAGTATAGTTCAATATGGCGGCAGGTAGCCTAGCGGTTAAGAGCGTTGGGCCAGTAACCATTAAGTCGCTGGTTCGAATCCCCGAGCCGACTAGGTAGAACATCTGTTGATGTGCCCATGGGCAAGGCACTTAACACTAAATTGCTTCTGGATAAGAGCATCTGCTAAATGACAAAAATTTCAATTACTCCAACCAGAGGGTGTGTATGTCTTGTTTTTGATGTATGTAACTTGTCATATGTGGTTTTAATGTACCGGACACAACACAAAATAACTTCCCTCTAAGAAAAGTAAAGTCCCTGTAAGTCGAGGTTCTGACCTGCCATTCATGTGGTACCAGACGGTAAGGCAGGTGGCTTCAGTCTGAGACTGGATCCACTCAGAAACCACCACAGCCCGGCTGCTCTGGTTCTGGGTCAGGGCCGGGCTCAGCAAGAACCTCCCTGATAGCAGAACAGATCACAATAGAGGTCACGTATACATCAGTCATCATCCTAAGACAATAACAATCATTTCAGCTTTCAACTTGTTGCTATTTTGTTGTCATGAGTATCTGGTGCAAAATAACATTAAGTCATTAAAATTGTGTGTGTATAATCTCCATGGTTATTTATTTACCGTTATTTTACTAGCTAAGTTGACTGAGAACATATTCTCTTTTACAGGTTTAATTTAAAGGGAATCATATTTGAGCATGATTTTCAACTATATGACTATAGACGTGTTTCTCTTGTAACTGCCTGCGGTGCTGTGGTCCAAGCCCTCACCCTCTGGTGTCTGACTGGTGTGGTCAGTGTCTGGGCCATGGAAGCGTCCGTCTGCCTGTACCCAGTCATGTCCGTCTGTCCGGGCCTCATTGACCCAGGTACACTGGCCAGACTCAAAGTCACAGCTGCCCATGGGAGTACAGGCTCCTTCCCTCATAGACACATCATCAATCTGCACCGTCGAATCAGAGCCCGGCGCATGCTCTGCTCTGAAAACCACCTGGGGGCATGGGGGGGGGGGGGCGTGGGTGGGTGAAGTCAGAAGAAAGTGGAAAGAGATCAATCAGTCACTTCCCTATCCTCTTTCCAATGAGGATACCTGATCATAGGAATGGCTAGTACCAGAGCCAATTAGAATGCGTACAGTGTTGCGTAGCTAGCTAGGTGAGCTAACCTTAAAGGTGTTAGGGGCGGACACAGTGAGTTCTGCCACCTCCCAGCCTGTAGAGGGAGCTCCAGAACGCTGCCACAGAGCCGGGCCCTGCTCGCTGCTCCTCAGGACATGCACTGACAGATGGTCAGTGGAGCCAGCAGGCAGCCAGTACCTAGAGGCGGAGTGAGAGATCAGGGCAGAGGTAAAATGATTGGGGGGATGAGGAGTAGGAGGTGAGGGGTGAGGTTTTTAGTAGGAGAGTGAGGTGAGAAATGAGGCTAGGGGTGAGAGGGGAAAAGTAAGGTGAGGAGAGATGAGTTGGGAGGAGAGTGAGGTAACAGCGAGGGACTGAGCTCACCAGAAACGAACACACATCCCTGTGGTAGAGCTTAGCTCTGGAGAAAGCAGCTGAGCCACCTCGATCTCCGTTGAGTTCAGTTTCAACACAGTCAGATAGAAACCTACAGGACAGACACAGACAATCAATAATTGTCATAATAATAGATTGGATTTATGCAGCGCTTTAACAGGTGCTCAAATCCCTTTGCACCAGCTAGATTGGCAGCCTAACAATGCCATGAATGACTACTGTTTGACCTGCTTCCCAAAGACGGCCAGATGGGACTGCCTGGTTAGATAAAGGTTCAATAAAAAATATATATGCCTTCCTTTTCTACCACCCTTCACAAACACAATGATATTGGCCACAATAACATTCACCTTTCTCAGTTCTGTAGGTGTGGTCCAGTCGGTCCTTTCTGCCTCTCAAATGGTCCCAGCGCCCCTTGTGACTCATGTCTACCTCAAAGTCACACCAGGAGTCTACCTCAAATCCACACGGATCTGTATGAAGCAAACACTTATTACCCTGCTGCTTCCCCATACTCTCCCAATAGAATATCATCATAGTCTCAATCAGTGAGGAAATATATTGCCTACATGATGAGTTTGATATGGTATAACCCCACAGAATTAAATAGAACTCTAGTATGTGATATGATCAATATAGTATAACCTATGTGCATTAGTGGCAATATAATAACAACAATCACACATGGCAGTGTGTATATAGAGCCATTATGAACGTATTTCTTACTTTGATCTTTGCAGGCTCCTTCCTTGACTGTGACATCATCGATGGCTATAAACCCACTGCCAGAGGTATTCCTGCTTCCAGAGAACTGAACCTGGACCACAGATCATACATCATTACCACTGTGCATGTGTGTGTGCGTGCGTGTGTGTGCGTGTGCATACCTCCTGTGTGTCTGCTATGCTGAGTGTAACCTGTGCATTCATCCATTCTGAATCCTGGCTGCCTTGGCGAGTCCACACCACAGTTCTTGATGTTTTCTACCATGAAGAGAATACTAAATGTTACAATACTCTTACATATGACGCATTAAAAAACAGAAACTATTAGTTGAGTAGGTATTTACGTGCAAGTTAGAGGACAATAACATAAAAGCTAGATGATGAAAGGCACTTGTTCAACTGTCAGTTCAACCAATTGTAGAAGGCTACCATATGTTACTCGAAACCCCCTTGCCACTAATACATCTACTGATAATGATTTGGGCAATAGCATTCATCAGGGAATTCTGTATGTTTGTTATAATGTAACTAGGGCCCAGAGTTTTAAAACTCCTTCTAAAACATCAGTGTAAAACATATACGGCCAGGACAGAGATTAAGCCTGGTCCTGGACTAAAAGCAAGCTCAATGCAGATTCTGAATTGAAAGTACTTCTCAGTCCACGACCAGGTTGAGTCTGTGTCTGGGAAACCAGCCCATATATGCTATAACCCCGGTAGTTGTCTACTGTACATACCGTCTGTACTAGGAGGTCCAGGTTGGACACAGATGGTCCCAACATGTAATACCAGAATCCAACACAGAGGTCCGTGGTTTGGACCGTAAGAGGAACAGAGACGACCGCGGTCTCACCGTCCCCGCTACCAGACATATTCACCATCAGGTAAAACCCTGTCACACACACAGGACATAAAGCAGCCATTTTTGAGTGACAGTCTTTGCCACTTTGAGTGACACTTGTGGCAGATGCAGGGATGTTTAGTTTGTCTCCCTATGCGTAATGTGATGGAAAATGTTATCATGTGAAGAGACTGCCTTGAAAATTTTAATCTTGTCTTAGTGTCATAAATAATCCTTGGTTCCTGTCTGTGCTTGGTAAAGATGTGATAAACCCCCTCCTTAGGATCATCTGGCAGAACTCCCAGAATATGTTATTTAAGTTAAGATAAGAGACGGTGATGTGGATATACTCGGAATACATATCCCAAATGAAATAAATGATCTCACTCCAATAAATGTTAATAGAAAGTTAGCAAAAATAGATAAGATCTTGCTATCATGGAAAGGTACCGTAAATACCTGTGTTTTTGTGGAAAAATCACCCTGATTAACTCTTTAGTAGTATCACAGTTTAAATATTTGCTTATGGTCTTGCCTAAGCCTAGCGAACAGTTTTAAATATATAAAAATATAAAAAAGATTTAAAAAGATTCCGTTTTATTTGGAATGGCAAGCCAGACATAAATTAAACAGGCCTATTTATATAATGAACATGAATTCAGAGGACAGAAATTATAAAATATTAAAGCATTAGACCTATCACTAAAAGCTTCAGTCATACAAAAGTTATACTTAAATCCGAACTGGTTCTCTAGCAAATTAGTAAGATTGTCTCACCCCATGTTCAAGAATGGCCTTTTACATTTATATTACATTTACGTCATTTAGCAGATGCTCTTATCCAGAGCGACTTACAGGAGCAATTAGGGTTAAGTGCCTTGCTCAAGGGCACATCGGCAGGTTTTTCACCTAGTCGGCTCGGGGATTAGAGCCAGCGACCTTTCGGTTACTGGCACAACGCTCTTAACCACTAAGCTACCTGCCGCCCCTTTATTCAGATTACAACCTCTCACTTTCAGTTATTTGAAAAGGAAATCATCTCCCAAATATCACTATTTCTAAAACAAGCCATAGAAAGTTGGTTGTAATTTCAATTTAATCCTCAAGAAACGACAGAACAAATAATGCAACAAATATTGTGGTTAAACTCAAATATACTAATGAATAAAAAACAATTATTTTTTGAAAAAATGTTTAAAAAAGGTATATTCTTCGTAAATGATATCATAGGTAGGACTGGTGGAGTTGTCGCACATGCAGCTAACAAAAACATATGGAAATGTCTGTTCTAACCAAAATTACAACCAAATAATTGCAGCATTACCGCAAAAATGGAAGAGGAAAGTTGAAGGGGGAAAAAGTAAGGAACTTGTCTGTTGGCCCTGCATTAAATAACATAATTGGTTAAAGAAAATTGTGATAAATAAAAAAGTATACAAGTTTCATTTAAAGACCAAAGGACTGACAGCTGTCCCATATAGATTGCAAAATAGTTGGGAAGAGATTTTTGACGTACCGATTCCATGGCATAGTGTTTATGAACTGATACACAAAACGACGCCAGATTCAAAACTTAGAATTTTTCTATTTAAATGATTATACAAAATTATTGCTACCAATAGAATGTTATTTATATGGGGGATACAATCTTCCCAGCTCTTCAGATTTTGCTGCGAAGAGACAGAATCATTAGATCATTTGTTTTGGTACTGTCCATTTGTAGCTTGTTTTTGGTCACAGGTCCAGGAATGGCTGAAGGATTGCCAAACACTGCATTCCACAGTAAGAACATCATACCAAAGGTCAAGCATGGTGGTGGTGGTGTGATGGTTTGGGGATGCTTTGCTGCCTCAGGACCTGGACGACTTGCCTTAATAGAAGGAACCATGAATTCTGCTCTGTATCAGAGAATTCTACAGGAGCATGTCAGACCATCCATCTGTGAGCTGAAGCTGAAGCGCAGCTGGGTCATGCAGCAAGACAATGATCCAAAACACACAATCAAGTCTACATGAAAATTGCTAAAAATCAACAAATTGGATGTTTTGGAATGGCCTAGTCAAAGTCCAGACCTAATCCCAATTGAGATGTTGTGGCAGGACTTGAAACGAGCAGTTCATGCTTGAAAACCCACACGTCACTGAGTTAAAGCAGTTCTGCATGGAAGAGTGGGACAAAATTCCTTCACAGCGACGTGAGAGACTGACCAACAACTACAGGAAGCATTTGGTTGGAGTCATTGCAGCTAAAGGTGGCACAACCAGTTATTGAGTGTAAGGGGGCAATTACTTTTTCACACAGGGGAATTGGGTGTTGCATAACTTTGTTTATGAAATAAATATGTAATTGTTGTGTTATTTGTTCACTTATGTTCCCTTTATCTAATATTAGGTTTTGGTTGAAGATCTGATAACATTCAGTATCACTGTCACACTCTGGCTCCGGGACTGTGTGTTAGAGCCAGGGTGTATTTCATTTGGTGGTGTTGGGTATGGGTGAGTTTCATTTGTTTGTGTTTTTGGTAATTGGTCTGGTGACTCCCAATCGGAGGTAACGAGTGTCAGCTGTCGGCTCGTTATCTCTGATTGGGAGCCATATATAATCTGTGTGTTTTTCACCTTGTGTTTGTGGGTTTTTGTTCCAGTGTTCCATGTTCCGTGTTTCAGTATTTGTAACTTTTGGACTTCACGTATCGTCATTTGTTGTTTTTTCGTGGTTGCTTTATTTAATAAAGTCATGTTCACTCAACGCGCTGCGCTTTGGTCCGCTCATTTTGAAGACGATCGTGACAGAAAAACCCACCATCAAAGGACCAAGCAGCGTGTCCAGGAGCCGAGGGTCTGGACATGGGAAGAGTTATTGGACGGAAAGGGTCCTTGGGCACAACCGGGAGAATATCGCCTCCCTCGTGAAGAGCTGGAGGCAGCCAAAGCCGAGAGGAGGTGGTATGAGGAGGCAGCACGAAGGCGAGGCTGGAAGCCCGTGGACGAGAGGCAACCCCAAGAAATTTTTTGGGGGGGGCACATGGCTTGGGCGACTGAGCAGCAGGAGGCTGCCACAAGGCAGAGGCAGAAGGCTACCAGGTTAAGGGGGCTGACGGAGGCAGAAAAGGGATGGATTCAGGAGGCTACCAGGTTAAGGGGGCTACTGGGAAAAACAGGGAAGGAAGGTGTAGAGCAGGGTTCTTCAATCCTGGTCCTGGAGGGCCGAAACACTTCTGTTTTTTATTTCTACCTGGTAGTTAATTGCACTCACCTGGTGTCCCAGGTCTGAATTAGCCCCTGATTAGAAGGAGAGGATGAAAAACAGAGGTGTCTCGGCCCTCCAGGACCAGGATTGAAGAACCCTGGTGTAGAGGCTCGGCGAGAGGTACTGGGGTGTGTAACCAGTCCGGTCCGGCCCGTTCCTAATCCCGAGGTACAGCCAGTAGTGTGTGTTCCCCGTACGGTACGGCCTGTTCCGGCCCCTCGCACTAAGTGTACGGTGCGCGTCGCCAGCCCGGTTCGGCCTGTTCCTGCCACCCGCACCAAGTGTACGGTGCGCGTCGCCAGCCCAGTTCGGCCTGTTCCTGCCACCCGCACCAAGTGTACGGTGCGCGTCGCCAGCCCAGCCCGGCCTGTTCCTGAGCCTCGTAGGAAGCCTACGGTGCGCGTCGCCAGCCCGGTTCGGCCTGTTCCTGCCACCCGCACCAAGTGTACGGTGCGCGTCGCCAGCCCAGCCCGACCTGTTCCGGCCACTCGCACCAGGGATACGGTGCGCGTCGCCAGCCCTTTCCTACCAGTGCCTACACCACGCCCCAAGCCTCCTGTGTGTCTCCAGGGTCCAGCATGCCCTGTTGCTACTCCCCGCACTAGCCCTGAGATGCGTGTCCTCAGCCCGGTACCTCCAGTTCCGGCACCACGCATCAGGCCTACGGTGCGTCCCCAGGGCCAAGCATGCCCTGTTGCTGCTTCCCGCACTAGCCCTGAGATGCGTGTCCTCAGCCCGGTACCTCCAGTTCCGGCACCACGCATCAGGCCTACGGTGCGTCCCCAGGGTCCAGCATGCCCTGTTGCTTCTCCCCGCACTAGCCCTGAGATGCGTGTCCTCAGCCCGGTACCTCCTGTTCCGGCACCACGCACCAGGCCTACGATGCGCCTCAGACGGCCAGAGTCTGCCGTCTGCCCAACGGGGCCTGAACTGCCCGTCTGCCCAAAGGCGCTTAAGCCGCCCGTCTGCCATGAGCCTTCAGAGCCTTCCGCCAGACCGGAGCCGCTAGAGCCTTCCGCCAGACAGGATCAGCCAGAGCCTTCCGCCAGACAGGATCAGCCAGAGCCTTCTGCCAGACAGGATCAGCCAGAGCCTTCAGCCAGCCATGAGCAGCCAGATCCGTCAGCCAGCCATGAGCAGCCAGATCCGTCAGCCAGCCATGAGCAGCCAGATCCGTCAGCCAGCCATGAGCAGCCAGATCCGTCAGCCAGCCATGAGCAGCCAGATCCGTCAGCCAGCCATGAGCAGCCAGATCCGTCAGCCAGCCATGAGCAGCCAGATCCGTCAGCCAGCCATGAGCAGCCAGATCCGTCAGCTAGCCATGAGCAGCCAGATCCGTCAGCCAGCCATGAGCAGCCAGATCCGTCAGCCAGCCATGAGCAGCCAGATCCGTCAGCCAGCCATGAGCCGTCCAGCCGGGATCCGCCAGAGCCGTCCAGCCGGGATCCGCCAGAGCCGTCCAGCCGGGATCCGCCAGAGCCGTCCAGCCGGGATCCGCCAGAGCCGTCCAGCCGGGATCCGCCAGAGCCGTCCAGCCGGGATCCGCCAGAGCCGTCCAGCCGGGATCCGCCAGAGCCGTCCAGCCGGGATCCGCCAGAGCCGTCCAGCCAGGATCCGCCATTTAGTCCGGTGCTGCCCCTTAGCTCGGTGTTGCTCCTTATCCTGGTGCTGTCCCTTATCCTGGTGCTGCCCCTTAGTCCGGTGCTGCCCCTTAGCTCGGTGCTGCTCCTTAGTCCGGTGCTGCCCCTTAGTCCGGTGCTGCCCCTTAGTCCGGTGCTGCCCCTTAGTCCGGTGCTGCCCCTTAATCCAGTGGGGTTAGGATGTAGGGTGGTTGATTGGAGGAGGCTACTTAAGTGGGTAGTGACTATGGTGGGGTGGGGATCACGACCAGTGCCAGAGCCGCCTCCGTGGAGTAACACCCACCCAGCCCTCCCCATTTTTTGGGTTAGGCGCGGTCGGAGTCCGCGCCTTTGGGGGGGGGTACTGTCACACTCTGGCTCCGGGACTGTGTGTTAGAGCCAGGGTGTATTTCATTTGGTGGTGTTGGGTATGGGTGAGTTTCATTTGTTTGTGTTTTTGGTAATTGGTCTGGTGACTCCCAATCGGAGGTAACGAGTGTCAGCTGTCGGCTCGTTATCTCTGATTGGGAGCCATATATAATCTGTGTGTTTTTCACCTTGTGTTTGTGGGTTTTTGTTCCAGTGTTCCATGTTCCGTGTTTCAGTATTTGTAACTTTTGGACTTCACGTATCGTCATTTGTTGTTTTTTCGTGGTTGCTTTATTTAATAAAGTCATGTTCACTCAACGCGCTGCGCTTTGGTCCGCTCATTTTGAAGACGATCGTGACAATCACAAATATGCAAAAGTAGAGAAAATTAGAAAGGGGGCAAATACTTTTTCATAGCACTGTATGTATGCAAACTCAGCAAAAAAAGAAATGTCCTCTCACTGTCAACTGCGTTTATTTTCAGCAAACTTAACGTGTAAATATTTGTATGAACATAAGATTCAACAACAGACATAAACTGAACATGTTCCACAGACATGTGACTAACAGAAATGTGACTTTTGAAATCAAAAGTAACAGTCAGTATCTGGTGTGGCCACCAGCTGCATTAAGTACTGCAGTGCATCTCCTCCTCATGGACTGCACCAGATTTGCCAGTTCTTGCTGTGAGATGTTACCCCACTCTTCCACCAAGGCACCTGCAAGTTCCCGGACATTTCTTGGGGGAATGGCCCTAGCCCTCCGATCCAACAGGTCCCAGACGTGCTCAATGGGATTGAGATCCGGGCTCTTCGCTGGCCTTGGAAGAACACTGACATTCCTGTCTTGCAGGAAATCACGCACAGAACGAGCAGTATGGCTGGTGGCATTGTCATGCTGAACGGTCATGTCAGGATGAGCCTGCAGGAAGGGTACCACATGAGGGAGGAGGATGTCTTCCCTGTAACGCACAGCGTTGAGATTGCCTGCAATGACAACAAGCTCAGTCCGATGATGCTGTGACACACCGCCCCAGACCATGACGGACCCTCCACCTCCAACTCGATCCCGCTCCAGAGTACAGGCCTCGGTGTAACGCTCATTCCTTCGACAATAAACGCGAATCCGACCATCACCCCTGGTGAGACAAAACCGCGACTCGTCAGTGAAGAGCACTTTTTGCCAGTCCTGTCTGGTCCAGTGACGGTGGGTTTGTGCCCATAGGCGACGTTGTTGCCGGTGATGTCTGGTGAGGACCTGCCTTACAACAGGCCTACAAGACCTCAGTCCAGCCTCTCTCAGCCTATTGCGGACAGTCTGAGCACTGATGGAGGGATTGTGTGTTCCTGGTGTAACTCGGACAGTTGTTGTTGCTATCCTGTACCTGTCCCGCAGGTGTGATGTTCGGATGTACTGATCCTGTGCAGGTGTTGTTACACATGGTCTGCCACTGTGAGGACGATCAGCTGTCCGTCCTGTCTCCCTGTAGCGCTGTCTTAGGCGTCTCACAGTACGGACATTGCATTTTATTGCCCTGGCCACATCGGCAGTCCTCATGCCTCCTTGCACCATGTCTAAGGCACGTTCACGCAGATGAGCAGGGACCCTGGGCATCTTTCTTTTGGTGTTTTTCAGAGTCAGTAGAATGGCCTCTTCAGTGTCCTAAGTTTTCATAACTGTGACCTTAATTGCCTACCGTCTGTAAGCTGTTAGTGTCTTAATGACCGTTCCACAGGTGCATGTTCATTGCTCAAGCATGGGAAACAGTGTTTAAACCCTTTACAATGAAGATCTGTGAAGTTATTTGGATTTTTACTAATTATCTTTGAAAGACTGGGTCCTGAAAAAGGGATGTTTCTTTTTTTGCTGAGTTTATATATATATATATTTGCGAGAAAAAACAAACATTGGAAGTGATGCAGACAATTACATTGATGGAAGTTACAATGTATATGCAATTTTAAAGCTGTTCTACCCCTCCCCCTCCCCCCAAAAAAGATTAGAGACTGTGCCAGACACATGCCGGGACCAACCCTATGAACTATGCCTATGTAACGTGTCCGTAAGCAATATATAAGAGATCTAGCAGGACTGCCCCGAGGGAGCTCACTTCAGACCGGTACATGATGCATCTAAGTTTGACTGTGACCTCTACAGCATGCTGATAATAAACAAAGATTTATTTAAGATTGACTTCGAATGTCCCTGTGTAGAATTTCCATGACAGTAGCTAGCTCTTCAGGTCCAGAACAGTACCTTGGTCATTTCCGACCGTGTGGTCGTACAGCGGTCCATTCCATGGCTGGTCCACCTGCAGGCCTTGGGAGTGGACCCAGTCGAAGGCATCGTTGGTCTCCTGGACCCAGTTACACAGGCCTGATGGGGAAGGACAGGAACATTTTCATCTCATGAAGTTTTCTTATCTTCTAATCTTCACTGTTACAGCCTTGTGTTATTGCTTCCTTCATATTGCTCCTTTATGAAGCTGAACCCTCCCTGCAACTCATTCGTAATGCCAATCAGACATAAGAAAATCCTCTTGGAATTCTTCCGCAATTCCAGGAGACTTCAGGCTAAACTAGGAGAGGTTGGCAAACCTATGTATCTCTAACCTGGTCCCATATCTGTTAGTGCTGTCTTGCCAACCATATGATTTGGCAAGATAGCACAAACAGATCTGGGACCAGGTTAATGTATTTCCTAGTAAGCCTCTTCTCTGTGCCTCACCATTTTCAAAGGTGCAGTCCATAGGGGTGGCTGGAGAGGTGGTGGGTACTGTGGTAGGTGCTGAAGTGGTAGGGATCAGCTCTGCACAGGTCAGGTTTATCCTAATGTGGATGTCATCCAGGGCTATGCCTCCATCTTCGCTGTTTGGGCGCTTGGTAACAAATATGATCTGCAACAAAACACATGGTCCAACAATATCTGTTGAATACTCACTTGCTGCCTGACCGGCTGGCTAGCTCACTCACTGTACTGGTATTAAACCTCCCACAGTATATTGGTTGACCGCTGTCTTATTGGTTGACCGCTGTCTTATTGGTTGACCGTTGTCTGACCTGGTGTGGTCCTGTAGCGTTGTAGTCCACCATGGCCTGATACCAGATTGGGTCGAGATTACCAAATCTGCTCCATATCGACCGTAGAACACCTGTCTCATTCACATACACTGTCAGCTCCAGCTTGTCTGGGGGAAACAAACACCAAATACACACTTTTTGGTGTGTATGACACCAGTAGGTCCTATAGCGGCATGGTATGCATGCACAGGAGGCTGCTGAGGGGAGAATGGCTCATAATAATGGCTGGAACGTAGCAAACGGAATGGCATCATACACCTGGAAACCACGAGTTTGAGGTATTTGATACCATTCCACTGACTCCGCTCCAGTCATTACCACGTGCCCGTTCTCCCCAATTAAGGTGCCACCAACCTCCTGTTTTGCATCATAGCCTTCACCATTTACAGCCATATCAGAGCCAGTTTAGGCTACTTACCCATGGTTCCCCACATGCTCATGAAGTACCAGAACTCTATACATGCATTCTCTACCGCCTCCATAGGTTCACTCTGCAGATGGGTAATCTCTAGTCCAGAGGAAAAGCTATCTGACAAGAAGATGATGTAGTGTCCTGGAGGGTAGAGCCACAACAAACAGCACAATTAAAGTCATTTCCTTTAGACAATGAAAACCAAACCGGGAAAACTCTGTGCCCTGGGTATAAACTTCAGCAGGCTAACACTGTTTTGTGGAACAGGGCCGACCAGGGCTCAAACCCAATTGGTCACACAGGCTTGAAGACTTGTTTTAGCTCCCCAAGCCTACAGTGAGCTAATACAGTCTTGTGGCACAGACAGAGTTGACCTAGGATCAAATCCCTTCAGTCACACAGGCAGCCTACCCTGGTCAGAGTTGGTGGTGTGGTCCACTGTCGGAGCGAAGCGTCCTCCACTGGACCCTGACCACCATTCCCAGTCCACTCCTGACTCAGCTGGGGGACTGTTCAGCCAGCCACAGTAGTCCATCTCAAAGTCACAGAACCCTGCAGAACACACACACGGATGGATGCATGCATGCATACACACGCACGGATGTATGAATGTATGCATGCACACAAGAACACACACAGTGAGAATAGATTTCAGAGCCTTTCTGTAACCTTTCTGTTTTTTGTTTGTATTTTTTTTACATTAACATCCCACTGGTCATCTCTTAATTGACGCACTCACCTTGTTGTGGACATGGCCCATTAAAAAGGGTGAGGTCATCAATGGCAATGTCCCCCTCACGGCCATCCCCAGCCACAGCCTCAAAGATGACCTGTCAATCAGGAAACACATTGCCATAATCTTAGTGAGTCTATCTATGAACTGTCTGTGTTTGATTGTATTACAATACGTACAGGGTCCATGCTTCATAAATGTAAGTTAGTGGGAATGTAGATTACAGGGTACAGTAAACAGTAGCCATATGAGGAAGGTGTCCTCAGCTGAATCCCAGAGTAGAAGTCATACTATATCTAGGGTTTGTCTGAAATGGCACTCTATTCCCTATATAGTGCACCAATGTAGGGCTCTGGTCAAGAGTAGTGCACTATTTAGGGATAGGGTGCCAATAGGATGCCATTTTAATACGCAGTCTGGATATCGCCAAGTACTCTCATTCTTACTCTCTGTGTGTGCTAGGAGACTTTTACTGGTCTACTGAAGGGTTGAAGTGCACAACCTGACTGCAGACTGCACTTCAGCACTCACTAGACTGTTTGCACAAAACTTATCTGATTATGTTGAGGGTATATTTCCGTTTTCAGATTACCCAAAGATTATAATCGCAGACCATGGTAGACTTTGTGACAAACTCAACCATGTACGTGCCAGCTGTTTCATCTCTAGCACAGAAAGGGAAGATGCCTATTTTCTTTATCTCGTCATTGGTAGATGATTTTATGACGCTCATTCAGATGTTTAATGGCTTATATGTAGTATAACACTGTGTATCAGTGTGGATCTACTTTTTAGTGTTAACGTATGACCAAAATGTGTGTTTGGCTTTTACAGGCAAACACCACAGTTGGGGTCAATGTGATTTCAATTCAGTAGTGTAGTAATAGTCAAGGGTTGGGCGGATAACTTGAAAATGTTTACCTGTTACTGATTACAGTTATATGAAAAATTAAGTAATCAGTAACATCATCCTTTGGATTACTCAAAATTAGTAATGTCATCTGATTACTTTTGGATTACTTTCACTTCAAACCCCAGGCATATTTTAACTACAACTAAAATATACTATAGTAACATGACTACATGACTATTTCCAATTTGGGGACTAGTGTGAAAGCATACAGATGCTATAATTCACCTTCTATTTTATATTGTGAGACCATACACAGGGCTCAATACAAACTTTTTCTTAACGTTTTCAGTTGGTGGCAAAAGCCAACGAATTTGGTCATGCGCGGTCAGGCAATAGAACAAATGAGCAGTCTAATGATCTTATCTAAACCCATTCAAATTACTTAATTCTAATAGACTACTAAAATAGTATGATTCAAGAAATGTATTGTTTAGATTAATTAGCATGTCCAAGCAGGAATGCATGATTCAAAATACTTTGATGTGCAACCTTAACCAGTGATTGTCATAAAATTTGGGTTGGACAATAAGCCTACAATTCTAAATAGGGTTCTAGAATTCGCGGTTTGAAATGTTGCGCAATTAGAAAGCATTTTCTTTCCAGCTACTCAGAGACAGAGTGAAAGTGAGCTGTAAATACACTACAAAGCAGCAACTCTTTAGAGTCCAGACAACTTTCTGATTGACCAGTGGGCCTGTTGTAAATGGTTTGGTAGCCTTACCTATTGATTCAATCAATTGGAATAGAAAATAAGCCATGAGCCCTTGATGGGCGATCAGCAGGACAATAGAATCTTGCCGAGTTGAGGGCATGTGAAAAGTCTTGAGGGTACACAAAATTACAGCAGTGCTGAAGAAGTGTTATCAAATGTTCCTATTGATATTAGATGAAGTATTCCTAAATGTAATTAGCTGGTTTTAAGAATGTAACTGTAATCCCGATGAAACATTTTTTAAAGTCATCCGGGCTGATTACAGTTAATTCATTTTTGTAATTGGATTACTTAATCTCCATTACATATAATCCGTTACTACCCAACCCTGGTAATAGTAGTAGTAGTAGTAGTAGTAATAGCGGTATTATTAGTAGTAGTAGTAGTAGTAGTAGTAGTAGTAGTAGTAGTAGTAGTAGTAGTAGTAGCAGCAGTAGTAGTAGTAGTAGCAGTAGAAGTAGTAGCAGCAGTAGTAGTAGTAGCAGCAGTAGTAGTAGTAGTATTACTAATAGTATTAGTAGCAGTAGTAGTAGTAGTAGTAGCAGCAGTAAAAGCAGTACCAGTGCCAGCAGTGTCTGCATGTACCTGGTAAGGTGTATCAGGGCTGAGGACCGTAGTTCGGCCGTGTCTCCAGTGATCTCCCTGGTCTCCAGTCCTGCTCCACAGTAGAGTCTGGGTCCTGGAGCCTCGAAAGGGCTGCAGGTAGATGTTGAGCTCCCCTGAGGCCCTGCCCTCCATGTGGTACCAAAACATCCAGCACTCTCCACTGTGAGGGGTGGCCTCGTTCACCCCAGTCATCATACGCCCCCTGCTACCCACAGGGTGGTTCCACAGCTGGGCACTCAGGTAGTATCCTGAGCAAAAACACACCATCATATACAGGATGAGTGTGTGCGTGTGCGTGTGTGTGGGTACGAGTGCCTGCGTGCGTACGTGTGTGTCTCTCTCACCCAGTTCAGTACCCAGAGTGTGATCCTGCGCTGGGCTGGAGGTGTTGGCCCCCAGGGCCCCGGTGGTTCTGTTCCAGGTGAAGTCTCCAGACATCTCCCCCTGCAGGCCACACAGGGACCCCTGGAAGGTGCACTCTCTCTCAGCCGGACAGAAGCCATTCACACTGCTGCTGCTGTTGCTGCTGTGCACTACCACGTCGTCTATGACAATGCTACCCTTCTTACCACCCACCACAGCCTCCAATATGAACTGAAAAATACACATGCTCTGTGGTCAAAATACAAGACAATACATTGAAAAATACAGATGGTATATGGTCAAAATGTATAGAAATTTACAAATGTTGTAAAGCGTGTTTGTGTACCGCAATCCTGCTAACAAACTTGATGTACACCACACAACTCTTCCTGATTGTTTCAGTATAGGAGAATATGCTACACATGAGGTATGCTATATATGATGTATAACCAGCTGTAACAGTGGAAGTGGAACAGGTAGTGAGTGTACAGATGTCGGATCTTAACTTGATCACTCTTTTGTCGTGGATAATTTTCCTGCTGGATCAGGAAATTCAAATGAGCCTTCTGATTCGTTGAAAATGAGCAGTTCTCTTTCTATCCATGCGGGGGCAGTCGAGTCATTGGGATCAGACCTGCTATCAAAATAATATTCTCTCTCGCGCGCTCAAACGCTAGGCCTAGGACCTATTACTGCAACATTAACATTTACAAAAATGTATCTGAAATGCAACCATATACATCAACAACCGTTGTTTTATATACAGTAGCTTAATAACACAAGATAGATATTGGTCTCCACTAGGCTACGAAATGACTGCGTGGCCAAGCACACCTCCAACTCAATCATCAAGTTTGCAGACGACACAACAGTAGTAGGATTGATTAACAACAACGACGAGACCGCCTACAGGGAGGAGGTGAGGGCTCTGGGAGTGTGGTGCCAGGAAAATATAACCTCTCACTCAACATCAACAAAACAAAGGAGATGATCGTGGACTTCAGGAAACAGCAGAGGGTGTACCCCCCCATCCACATCGACGGGACCGCAGTAGAGAAGGTGAAAAGCTTCAAGTTCCTTGGCGTACACATCACCGACAAACTGAAATGTTCCACCCACGCAGACAGTGTGGTGAAGAAAGCGCAACAGAGCCTCTTCAACCTCAGAAGGCTGAAGAATTTCGGCTTAGCACCTAAAACCCTCACAAACTTTTACAGATGCACAATTGAGAGCATCCTGTCGGGCTGTATCACCGCCTGGTATGGCAACTGCACTGCCCACAACCGCAGGGCTCTCCAGAGGGTGGTGCGGTCTGCCGAACGCATTACCGGGGGCAAACTACCCGCCCTCCAAGACACATACAGCACCCGATGTCACAGGAAGGCCAAAAAGATCATCAAGGACATCAACCACCTGAGCCACTGCCTGTTCACCCCGCTATCATCCAGAAGGCGAGGTCAGTACAGGGGCATCAAAGCTGAGAATGAAAAACAGCTTCTATCTCAAGGCCATCAGACTGTTAAATAGCCATCACTAGCACATTAGAGGCTGCTGCTGCCTATTGAAATCAGTGGCCATTTTAAGAAATGGAACATTAGTCACTTTAATAATGTTTACATATCTTGCACTACTCATCTCATATGTATATACTGCATTTACATTTGAGTCATTTAGCAGACGCTCTTATCCAGAGCGACTTTACAGTTAGTGAGTGCATACATTTTCATACTGGCCCCCGTGGGAATCGAACCCACAACCCTGGTATTGCAAGCGCCATGCTCAACCAACTGAGCTACACGGGGCCTATTCTATAATAATCTACTATCTTAGTCCATGCCGCTCTGTAATTGCTTGTCTATATACAGTGGGGAGAACAAGTATTTGATACACTGCCGATTTTGCAGGTTTTCCTACTTACAAAGCATGTAGAGGTCTGTAATGTTTATCATAGGTACAATTCAACTGCGAGAGACGGAATCTAAAACATACATCCAGAAAATCACATTGTATGACTTTTAAAGTAATTTATTTGCATTTTATTGCATGACATAAGTATTTGATACATCAGAAAAGCAGAACTTAATATTTGGTACAGAAACATTTGTTTGCAATTACAGAGATCATACGTTTCCTATAGGTCTTGACCAGGTTTGCACACACTGCAGCAGGGATTTTGGCCCACTCCTCCATACAGACCTTCTCCAGATCCTTCAGGTTTCGGGACTGACCCACGACCCATCTTCAATGCTCTTACTGAGGAAAAGAGGTTGTTGGCCAAGATCTCGCGATACATGGCCCCATCCATCCTCCTCTCAATACGGTGCAGTCGTCCTGTCCCCTTTGCAGAAAAGCATCCCCAAAGAATTGTTTCCACTTCCATGCTTCACGGTTGGGATGGTGTTCTTGGGGTTGTACTCATCCTTCTTCTTCCTCCAAACACGGCGAGTGGAGTTTAGACCAAAAAGCTCTATTTTTGTCTCATCAGACCACATGACCTTCTCCCATTCCTCCTCTGGATCATCCAGAAGGTCATTGGCAAACTTCAGACGGGCCTGGACATGCACTGGCTTGAGGAGGGGGACCTTGCGTGTGCTGCAGGATTTTAATCCATGATGGTGTAGTGTGTTACTAATGGTTTTCTTTGAGACTGTGGTCCCAGCTCTCTTCAGGTCATTGACCAGGTCCTGCCGTGTAGTTCTGGGCTGATCCCTCCACCTTCCTCATGATCATTGATGCCCCACGAGGTGAGATCTTGCATGGAGCCCCAGACCGAGGGTGACTGACCGTCATCTTGAACTTCTTCCATTTTCTAATAATTGCACCAACAATTGTTGCCTTCTCACCAAGCTGCTTGCCTATTGTCCTGTAGCCCATCCCAGCCTTGTGCAGGTCTACAATTTTATCCCTGATGACGTTACACAGCTCTCTGGTCTTGGCCATTGTGGAGAGGTTGGAGTCTGTTTGATTGAGTGTGTGGACAGGTATCTTATATACAGGTAACGAGTTCAAACAGGTGCAGTTAATACAGGTAATGAGTGGAGAACAGGAGGGCTTCTTAAACAAAAACTAACAGGTCTGTGAGAGCCGGAATTCTTACTGGTTGGTAGGTGATCAAATACTTATGTCATGCAATAAAATGCAAATTAATAACTTAAAAATCATACAATGTGATTTTCTGGATTTTTGTTTTAGATTCCATCTCTCACAGTTGAAGTGTACCTGTGATAAAAATTACAGACCTCTACATGCTTTGTAAGTAGGAAAACCTGCAAAATCGGCAGTGTATCAAATACTTGTTCTCCCCACTGTATGTACAGTGAGGGGAAAAAGTATTTGATCCCCTGCTCATTTTGTACGTTTGCCCACTGACAAAGACATGATCAGTCTATAATTTTAATGGTAGGTTTATTTGAACAGTGAGAGACAGAATAACAACCAAAAAAATCCAGAAAAACGCATGTCAAAAATATTATAAATTGATTAGCATTTTAATTAGGGAAATAAGTATTTGACCCCCTCTCAATCAGAAAGATTTCTGGCTCCCAGGTGTCTTTTATACAGGTAATGAGCTGAGATTAGGGGCACACTCTTAAAGGGAGTGCTCCTAATCTCAGTTTGTTACCTGTATAAAAGACACCTGTCCACAGAAGCAATCAATCAATCAGATTCCAAACTCTCCACCATGGCCAAGACCAAAGAGCTCTCCAAGGATGTCAGGGACAAGATTGTAGACCTACACAAGGCTGGAATGGGCTACAAGACCATCGCCAAGCAGCTTGGTGAGAAGGTGACAACAGTTGGTGCGATTATTCGCAAATGGAAGAAACACAAAATAACTGTCAATCTCCCTCGGCCTGGGGCTCCATGCAAGATCTCACCTCGTGGAGTTGCAATGATCATGAGAACGGTGAGGAATCAGCCCAGAACTACACGGGAGGATCTTGTCAATGATCTCAAGGCAGCTGGGACCATAGTCACCAAGAAAACAATTGGTAACACACTACGCCGTGAAGGACTGAAATCCTGCAGCGCCCGCAAGTTCCCCCTGCTCAAGAAAGCACATATACAGGCCCGTCTGATGTTTGCCAATGAACATCTGAATGATTCAGAGGAGAACTGGGTGAAAGTGTTGTGGTCAGATGAGACCAAAATCGAGCTCTTTGGGATCAACTCAACTCGCCGTGTTTGGAGGAGGAAGAATGCTGCCTATGACCCCAAGAACACCATCCCCACCGTCAAACATGGAGGTGCAAACATTATGCTTTGGGGGTGTTTTTCTGCTAAGGGGACAGGACAACTTCACCGCATCAAAGGGACGATGGACGGGGCCATGTACCGTCAAATCTTGGGTGAGAACCTCCTTCCCTCAGCCAGGGCATTGAAAATGGGTCGTAGATGGGTATTCCAGCATGACAATGACCCAAAACACACGTCCAAGGCAACAAAGGAGTGGCTCAAGAAGAAGCACATTAAGTTGCTGGAGTGGCCTAGCCAGGCTCCTGACCTTAATCCCATAGAAAATCTGTGGAGGGAGCTGAAGGTTCGAGTTGCCAAACGTCAGCCTCGAAACCTTAATGACTTGGAGAAGATCTGCAAAGAGGAGTGGGACAAAATCCCTCCTGAGATGTGTGCAAACCTGGTGGCCAACTACAAGAAACGTCTGACCTCTGTGATTGCCAACAAGGGTTTTGCCACCAAGTACTAAGTCATGTTTTGCAGAGGGGTCAAATACGTATTTCCCTCATTAAAATGCAAATCAATTTATAACATTTTTGACATGCGTTTTTCTGGATTTTTTTGTTGTTTTTCTGTCTCTCACTGTTCAAATAAACCTACCATTAAAATTATAGACTGATCATGTCTTTGTCAGTGGGCAAACGTACAAAATCAGCAGGGGATCAAATACTTTTTTCCCTCACTGTATATATTCTTAAATCCCATTCCTTACTTGTTTTGTGTGTATTGGGTATATGTTGTGAAATTGTTAGATATTACTTGTTAGATATTACTGCACTGTCGTAGCTAGAAGCACAAGCATTTCGCTACACCCGCAATAACATCTGCTAAACACGTGTATGTGACAAATACAATTTGATTTGATTTGATTTATATATACACTAGATGATTTATAGGAGTGCTGTGCTGAAGCCGCCGCACCTCCATCTTGGCACTCCCTCAACATGTAAAACATTTTTTGGGAAGCTATAGAAATGCATTTATTATTAATGTATACATTCGTTTTTGCCACATTTATTCTATTACAGACACCTTAATGCATAGTTTTAAATTATATTATGTGAGCTAAACATTAAAATAAAAAATGAAAGAATATATGCATTTTCTTTCCTTAAAATATAATTTTTAGAGATTACTAATGTTACTGTCCCCACTACAACAGAAAAGTACTTAAATACATGTAACTTTGTCCTTGAACATGTTTAGTGAAATACCATTTATTCCTATGGAGCACTGCTCCTACTGGGGAGTGCCAATACATAGCATCAGCAATCCAGGATTTATATACATTATTGATTAAAACCCATGCCCACTCTGGTATATGTGTGCCGGGTCAGCGGCTGTAACCACTGGATCGCCAAGGGAACCTGCAGTCTAAGTTATTGTAGAGGCTTACCTAGAAAGACTCACACCTGTAATTGCTGCCAAAGGTGATTATAACATGTATTGACTCAGGGGTGTGAATACTTATGCAAATTAGATATTTCTGTATGTTGTGTAGATGGGTGAGAAAAAATCTATTTAATCCATTTTGAATTCAGGCTGTAACACAACAAAATGTGGATTAAGTCAAGGGGTATGAATACATTCTGAAGGCACTGTATCTGCACATATGTGACGTAGTACGCAATTCTCTGGGAACACTTTTGGCTCGTGAGTGCTACTTTCAGAACTACTGGCAAAAAAGTATACAAAAGTACAGAAGAATCTCTTTAATGTTTAACTATTTTTTTTCTCTGAAAAATATATTATTTTATCAATTAAATAATGTTGCCTATTGCATTTACAACACAACAGTACAACAACAAATCAAAATACCCCAAAAATAACTTGAAACATATGTTTTAAATGCAATATATTTTTATTACTATTCTAAAGAAATTAAATTACAAACAGAAAATGGAAGTCTTCAAAGGTGACAGTCTCCATGTGATCTCATTTGGAGATGTAATATCTGCAGCTTTTATTCAATATCACTTGGTTTAAGAAGTAGTCCTCAGTCTTAATTGACACAAACCTCAGTGAGCCCAGACTGTGTGTAGCAGGGCTTCTCGGTTGCCTCGTAGTTGGATGCCTCAGCATTGTCAGATACAACTTTGGCTAGCTTGGTGTCGAATGGGTTCAATGCCACCTGGATGGCAGGCTCAGAGTCAGGCACAAGGAAGTTATCTGGGATGCTAGGCAGAGGCGGCTCACACTCTCTCAGGCTGACAGCACTCTTTCCAGGTCTCTTTTCCGACTCAGATTTGTCCTTAGTGGAGATGAACTCCTTTGACTTCTGCAACTCTTTTGCAGAATCGTCAGAAATGGGGGCACACTGTGGTGTGGATGATGCTTGTTTCAAACCAAACCGTGACGAGATGCTCTCCCGAACTCTGGATGCCAGTGTCTGTGGTTCAGCGGTGGCTGGTTCCCTTTTCTTCAACCTGGCAGTGGCAATAGCATCAGATCGCCTTCTAGCCTCCTTGGAGATTCTCACAGCATCATAGAGAACCACTATTACGATGAAGCCATAGAAAACAAGCCCCAAAATCAGGTTCACCTTCACAAGTGGCTCGGAGTAAGAAGGGTCAGTCAATATGTTGACTCTGGGTTTGATCTTCAGGGTGCTCTTCTGAGCTTTTGGAGCTGGAGCCTGAAGATTTTCTTTGAAGACGTTGTTGTCACCTTGCAATGCTTTTTGCTTGTAAGCCTGTAGATAAGGAATACGTTTCTCCACAATCATCTGTGGGACTTTAGCTTTACCTGGGAAAGTATCATCTTTCATCCTCTGAAGTTGTTCCAGCATCTGGTCCACTTGCACCATTTTGGTCAATTTTGCAACATTGGGGATGTCCTGAACAGGGTGGTCCTTCACTGGCATCAAAGGCCTGTGCTCTGGAACAGAAATCAGGGGCTCTACAAGCTCCGAGGGCTCTTTAGAATTTTTTGAGGAATATCCTTTTGTCAACTGGCCCACGTTACCTGGAGAAGAATCGTCTTTCACCCGTAAACTCTCAAGTTGTTCCAGCAATGACTTAAAATTGGTCTCTTTTGTAGCATCATGGTTGTTCTGAACAGAGTGGTCCTTCACTGGCATCAACGGCTTGTGCTCTGGAACAGAAATCAGGTGCAGGGACTCTACAAAGTCCGGGGGGTCTTTGACATTTTTTGAGGAATATCCTTTTGTCGACTGGCCCACGTTACCTGGAGAAGAATCGTCTTTCACTCGTAAACTCTCAAGTTGTTCCAGCAATGACTTAAAATTGGTCTCTTTTGTAGCATCAGGGTTGTTCTGAACAGAGTGGTCCTTCACTGGCATCAACGGCTTGTGCTCTGGAACAGAAATCAGGGGCTCTTCAAAGTCCGGGGGGTCTTTGACATTTTTTGAGGAATATCCTTTTGTCAACTGGCCCACATTACCTGGAGAAGAATAGTCTTTCACCCGTAAACTATCAACTTGTTCTTTTGTAGCATCAGGGTTGTTCAGAATAGGGTGGTCCTTCACTGGCATCAAAGTCTTGTGCTCTGAAGACACCAACACATTTGCAGCAACAGGCGAAAGGAGACAGAAAATAACAGCCAACAATAACATCTTCATGTTGCACAGCCCACCCTTCTGGGAGAGCTGTGCCATTTTGATTAAAGAAATCGTCTTTCAAAAGTAGGCAGTACAAATTACAAGTCAAACTACTAGTTGGCTAGCTGTGCTTTGTAAAAGTGAATTGGGTTTACTGTTCACTGTCAAACATACACAAGATATGGACCCAACATGATGTAATAGAAGAATCTGATTATAACATCACGTGTTCCAGAATGTTGTAACCTGCTCCTCATTGTATTCATTAATTCAGATAATTCATTAATTCATCTCTTTGGATACATTTGGCAATTAGTTTGACGCGCAGTCCCTGTCCCTAAACTGCTTTCTCCTACGACTTTGGCAAATGCCCCCGTGACCTACAGCTCCTCATATACTACCAGGTCATGGTAGTATCTACACTGGTGCTGGTGCTTGCGATGACCCAGCTAATTATGAGCTTTCTGACCCAGGGAGTGAGACACTTTTTGGCCTTCCTCATGGCCCGCACTGCCCCCCTGGAAACCAAATGTTTAAAGACATGGTACTTTGGTGACTAAGAAAGTATTTTTTAAACCTCTCAGTTTGGGCTGGATGCTTCAATGGATAGCCTACACCGCTTCCAGCTGCCCCAGGGCGGCAATTCTAAATATTAAATATTAATTCAAATCCTGCTGCAGGATTATAATCCTCCTGCGACGAAAGGGGTCAAATTAAGATCCGACATACTGTACGTACCTGTAGTTGGGTGTCAGTGGTGAAGGTGAGGTCTGTAAAGCGCCATTTGTTCCCCTGAGTCCCATGTCTCATCCACACAACAGTCTCTGGCTCTCTGGCTGACTTGGTGAGGAACCTCACTGAGCCTGGAGGAGAACCAGATAAGGGTCATGTCTGTTCAACTGTGACAATAGGCACCATTTGGTCTGTTTTCAATTCAATTGTATCTTTATTGGGAACGAAAAAATACAAAAATGGTCTTTCACAAATAATTAAATCAAAGATATTGAATTTGGCTATCAGTGCCGCCTAAAAAAACATCTTACCAATATCACTGCCGTATATGCGATACCAGAAGCTAACACAGATGACTGTGCCTGCTGGCTGAGGGTAGCTGATGAGTCTGGCTGTTGATGAGGGGTCCAGTTGACTGGTGGCGTTAATGGACATGAAATAACCTGGTAATGCAAGCACATGGATGCACATGCACACACGCACACACGCACACACACACACACACGGTTGAGAACGATCTTGTACTCTAACCAGGTTTTCATCCAACCTTTTTATGCGAGTAAAGTATGGATACAAAATTAAACGACAGTCCTGATAGAAACAACAAATGTTTTGGTAAATTTTCCAAATGTCGAAAAAACTCATTTTCTAGGCAAGGTGGGATCTTTTTGTTTCAGTAAAATTAATTATGCGAGCAATGGCGGTGGTAACGCATTTATGCAGACATATTGATATAATAACCATCATATCGAAGTAAACATGGCGTCACGCTATGATGCTGCATGTTGTGTGGTCTTCCCACTACGACTCGGGAAAGCATGCAGTTTATTAGACTTCAGATTAAATACATTATTATGAACTTCACAGGGTGATGAAATTGATGCTCCTTTCCAATAAATATTGAGGGTCTTATTCTGGTGACATGATGATCGACGCTTGGCTGCCATTTGACAAATAAAAATATTCTCGCTCTAGTCCATAATAATAGACTAGCCTACCAGCACTGTATCCAAGCTGTTGGCCAGAGCGCACGTGCCAAAACCAGATTGGGCACAATTTTTGCGACAAAACCATCTTTAGAGTTGAAAATGCAATGGAACCCCAATTAACGTGTATTTTTTTAATTCGGTAAATGGGAATTTAATCGCGAAAGTTATTTTATGTGCACTACGTCATCACGCACAGCATTTAATCCGCAACAAGTCAATTTGATGGAAAAATGCACATATTGTTTTTATGCAGGTATTACAATATTTGCATGAAAATCTGTCTGCAATTGGATGGAAACCTAGTTTCTGATTACAATGTGAAATGTAATCTACAGAAACATACACTACATGACCAAAAGTATGTGGACACCTGCTCGTCAAACATCTCATTCCAAAATCATGGGCATTAATATGGAGTTGGTCGCCCGTTTGCTGCTACAACAGCCTCCACTCTTCTGGGAAGACTTTCCACTAGATGTTGGGACATTGCTGCGGGGACTTGCTTCCATTCAGCCACAAGAGCATTAGTGAAGTCGGACACTGATGTTGGGCGATTAGGCCTGGCTCGCAGTCGGCGTTCCAATTCATCCCAAAGGTGTTCGATAGGGTTGAGGTCAGGGCTCTGTGCAGGCCAATCAAGTTCTTCCACACCGATCTCGACAAACCATTTCTGTATGGATCTCACTTTGTGCACTGGGGCATTGTCATTCTGAAACAAGAAAGGGCCTTCCCCAAACTGTTGCCACAAAGTTGGAAACACAGAATCGTCTAGAATGTCATTGTACGCTGTAGCGTTAAGATTTCCCTTCACTGGAACTAACAAGCCTGAACCATGAAAAACAGCCCCAGACTATTATTCCTCCTCCACCAAACTTTACAGTTGGCACTATGCATTGGGGCAGGTAGCGTTCACCTGGCATCCGCCAAACCCAGATTCGTCCGTCGGACTGCCAGATGGTGAAGCGTGATTCATCACTCTAGAGGACGCTTTTCCACTGCTCCAGAGTCCAAATGCGGTGAGCTTTACACCACTCCAGCCGACGCTTGGCATTGTGCATGGTGATCTTAGGCTTGTGTGCGGCTACTCGGCCATGGAAAGCCTAACAGTTCTTGTGCTGATGTTGCTTCCAGAGGCAGTTTGGAACTTGGTAGTGAGTGTTGCAACCGAGGACAGATTATTTTTATGCACTATGCGTTTCAGCACTCGGCGGTCCCGTTCTGTGAGCTTGTGTGGCCAACCACTTTGCGGCTGAGCCGTTGTTGCTCCTAGACGTTTCCACTTCACAATAACAGCATTTACAGTTGACCGGGGCAGCTCTAGCAGGGCAGAAATTTGACGAACTGACTTGTTGGAAAGGTGGCATCCTATGACGGTGCCACGTTGAAAGTCACTGAGCTCTTCAGTAAGGCCATTCTACTGCCAATGTTTGTCTATGGAGATTGCATGGCGGTGTGCTCGATTTTATACACGGGTGTAGCTGAAATAGCCAAATACACTAATTCGAAGGGGTTTCCACATACTTTTGTATATGTAGTGTAGACAATATCCAATACATACAAAATCAAATAAACAAAACACACATCTAGAGAATAATCCTGTTTATATTTCCTGACTAAAACACCTCTCCTTCCATCTCTCCATCTAGTTTGTGGTTTAGCAAACACTTGATTTACCAGTGCCAGTAGTGTGGTCTATTCCGCTTGCTCTTTTCCACAGGAGGGAAACAGTGTGGTCTGGGTACCTTTAAACATAACCAGGAATAATGTTAGCTTAAGGATGATGATGATGATGATGATGATGATGAGTATGATGATGAGAATGAGGATTGGAGATTAAATTGATTCTCATTATGGTTGTTATTGTTATTATCATTACCAGGCACAGGTGTCCTTCTCAAAGTCACAGGTGAGGAGTTGGGAGCCTGCAGGTATTTCCCCCTCCCCACAGCTCTCAAAGCTGATATCATCCAGCATGATATCCCGAGCTCCAATGGATGAGGGGTTCACAGAAAACTCCAGCTAAGGGGAGAGAAAGAGAGAGAGACAAAGACAGAGACAGAGAGCGAGTGAGTGAGAGAGAAAGAGTGTGCATGCACGAGTATGAGTGTGTGTGTGTGTGTGTGTGTGTGTGTGTGTTTCCAATGCCAACCTTGAAACCTCCTGGTTGATTACCGATGAAGGCCGTAGCATTCTCCCATCCTTTAGTCTGCTGTGGCTTGTAGATCTGCAGTAATTCTGTGCTCAAAGTGTTTCTGATCATCTTCAGATACATCCGAGAGGATGCACTAATGTCATTATAGAGGTGGTACCAGAAGCTGAAAATATCACAGCATCCTTAGTACAACAAGAGGCTTGGACCTCTTAGTGTAATGGTTAAGGTGTAATGGCTAAGGCCAATTACCTCTGATTGCATCTGGCTAAGAACCCACAAACAAAAGTCTAAACTCTTTCTTGATATCATAGTAAATTAGCTCTAGCTACCACATTGAAAAGCATTTGTTTGTATTATAGTAAAAAGCTGTTTCAATACACCATCAGGTTATTAAAGACTTAAGAAGACACAAAACAAACTTATTCCCAGATGAAAAACTATGACTTTACTACCTCACTATCTCTCCCTCCTTCTCTTTTTGTTACGCAATGATTAAGACATCTGTGCCATAAATCAAAGGGAAACACTGACTAGTACGACATTTCTCCTTACCTTATCTGGCATCCCAAAGCCATTGGTTTGTCAACGGAATGCTCCAACACGGCCCTGACAAAGTGTGTTGCTGAGTCTCCTTCCACATGCATAACATGACCTGGGACACATAAACACACACATCAACCAGGCAGCACAGATACTGTACAAATATGCACAAGGACAAGACAGCAGTCATAACAATGGAGCTATGTGACCATTCTAATCACTAGGGCTGGGTTTCCCAAAAGCAACGTAGCACTAAGATCATCTTTCGTCCATTTAGTTTCAATGGGGTTAAGATGATCTTAGTGTGTGTGAGTGTATTGAGACATATACCCCAGGGTGATCCCGTGGTGTGGTCCTGTCCAGGTATCAGGCTGATGTTAGCCATCTCCAGACTCCAGCGGTACACTCCCACACTGCTGTCGTTCCATCCACAGGAGTGGCGCTCAAAATCACAAGACCCTGAGAGGGGACACCAGGGTCATATTCATTAAGCACCAAACAGAAGAAAACAGGCGGAAACAGGGATGGACTACCTGAACTTGTCCAATAGAAACACTTGTTGTTTTATTTATTGTTATTGAAAAGCGCTTTGCTACGGTGTGCCCTAATGAATATGATGCGCTAGAGAAACACTAAGACTAAATCTAAAGGGATAGAAAGTATTTGATTATTAGTGTTAAGGATACAGGTATCCCATGTTGGCTGTCTTCCTCACAGAGACGTATGAAACGGCACTATGACAACTAGGCTGGTGCTGTTCTACTGCAGCCGGACCAGAGTGGAGTGGACCATCCTGTCTGTTATTTTTCGTGGAAATTTAACAAATGTCAAACTAACTATTCAACCATTGAACAAGAAGCTCTAGCTTTGTTGTTAGCTCTGCAGTAGTTCAAAGTCTATGTTGGTTCCAGTGCACTACCAGTGATAGTGTACTGACCATAACCCCTTAGTTTTTCTCCACCGTATGTACAACCAGAACAAACGCCTTATGCATTGGGCACTTGTTGTGCAAAATTATAAAGTAAAATAAAAAGGGTTCGGATAATGTGATGGCAGATGCTTTGTCTCGTATTTAGAGATATAGGATTTATTTTTTATCCCGTGAGGATGCCTTTGCTCTTTGAATTTGTTTTGTGTTGTAATAGTACTTGAGTCGCAAACCATTGTTGGTTTGCTCTTTTAAGGGTGGGAGTGTTACGGATATAGGTATCCTGTATGTGTATTTGTTTTTCCTCTCCTTCTGCCCTAATCACAGGTGTCCCGTGTTTTCTTGATTGGTGGTCGTTGGTGTGTCCCACCTGTCCGACATCCGTTCGTCTGCTGATTGCTGAGGTGGACCAATCAGTGGACACTCCTCCGTATTGCACCACCTGTTTCTGGTTTTCATTACCATATCACACATCCCCTGGTTTTAAAAACCCAGTGAGTTGTGTTTTCTGACCAATACTCTTTTTTGTTGTGAGTATGTATACTGTGGTGTCTTGTTTTTGTGTACTCACTCCTTTGCTGTTTAGTCCATATTGTACCTATGTTGTTTGTTTGTGCCTGGGGAAAAGGGGGGTTTAGCAAGTCGCCCTTGGGCATACACTACCCGTAGGAAAACCTTGTCTAAACACACTAGTTAGACCTGATCGGACCACCCACTGTATTTTTGTACGGTTAGCAGTAAGCTTAGCAGTTCTTGGGGCAGGCAAGATCAGTTTAGGGGTTTTGACTTTGTTTCAATCCTTGGGTCCAGCTCAGCCCCTTTTCCCCAAACTGTTTACCGTGTGTTTATAATAAACATTTGTGTTTGACGGTAGCTTATGGTTGTCGTATTTTTGTTCTCACTGTTCCTTGTCAATATTCTAATTTGCATGAGTTAAGTTACGGGTTTCTTTTCCATCCACCCTAGACTTTTAAAGCCACGGGGTTCGTAACAATTAGACAGAATGGTGTGTTTTTTTTTATCAAAGGAAGAAACAACTGGTTCCCACAGCCTCTGTCGGCCATTTTGAACGTGAAGAAAGAAGAGTTGAACAGAGAGGAGAGAATGATACCTCTCTAGAGCTGAAGAGTATGCAGAGAATTCGGAGGAGGATTTCAGATTGACGTACCACAGAACTCCTCATCGGAACCATCGTCACAGTCGTCCTTGAAATCACAGACATCATCACCGGGGACACATTTGCCTGACGCACACAGGAAGTCTCCCTCAGGACAACAGGAAACTAGGATAAAAAAGACTGAAAAATAAAAATTCCTATTAGAGGAGTTCCTGGACTTCATGGATCTGATCATTGTATATTTTAATGACAACATTAAATTGGTGAACTGCAATAAATATTCAGGAGGTGTATCTACTAAAATGAGACAAAATGAAGAAATACGTAAAGTGTGGTCATTCTAAATAGCACTGCTGTTGATTATTTTCTGTCGTGCTGGACACATATTTACGAAGCAAATTCACCACTGAAGAAAGTTGATTACAATTGCAACCATTTGAATATAACGATTACTAGAAGTCCACCCATTCCCCCTCCAATCATACAACGTCCCACAAATCCACCTGTCAATCACAGCCTTATCACTGACGACCCCTGATGAACATTCCGTTCCCTCTAGGTATTACTGTTGAGCCACACATGAGATCACAGTCCTGCTGATACACTATTCTAAGAGACTCACACACAGTCTTGCACATAGGATAATTGTAAGTCTTACCTGATATGAGAACCAATAATCTTCTCATGTTGAACAAACCATGGAAACAATACAATAAATAAAGAAAATAAATGTGAGGCTTCAGAAAGCTGCCTGACTCTGACTGGTATAAACTTGACCCTTCCTTCCAAGGATCTGATTGACAGCGTGTTATAAAGATTCCATTATCTCAACCATTTGGTTTTATCAACAGCATGTGCTTAAAGTCCACTCAGCGAACTCATTAAACTCGTCTTCATGGCCCACCGTGTATTTCAGGGTCAGTATTCATAAAGAGAGTCTCAGAGTAGGAGTGCTAATGTAGGATCAGTTTAGCCTTTTAGATCATAATGAAGAAGATTGTATTACAGGGAGGACCTGATCCTAGATCAGTGCTTTATGAAAACGGGCCCTCAACCCTATCACTCTGTCTGGCTCAGCACAGCTGAGCTCTGGACTACAGAACCTAGAGAGAGAGTTGTATATACAGTGGCTTGCGAAAGTATTCTCCCCCCTTGGTATTTTTCCTATTTTGTTGCCTTACAATCTGGAATTAAAATTGATTTTTGGGGGTCATTTGATATACACAACATGCCTACCACTTTGAATATGCAAAATATTTTTTGTGTGAAACAAACAACTTGAGCGTGCATAACTATTCACCCCCCCCCAAAAAAAAGTCAATACTTTGTAGAGCCACCTTTTGCAGCAATTACAGCTGCAAGTATCTTGGGGTATGTCTCCATAAGCTTGGCACATCTAGCCATTGGGATTTTTGCCAAAACTGCAAAACTGCTCCAGCTCCTTCAAGTTAGATGGGTTCCGCTGGTGTACAGCAATCTTTAAGTCATACCACATATTCTCAATTGGATTGAGGTCTGGGCTTTGACTAGGCCATTCCAAGACATTTAAATGTTACCCCTTAAACCACTCAAGTGTTGCTTTAGCAGTATGCTTAGGGTCATTGTCCTGCTGGAAAGTGAACCTCCATCCCAGTCTCAAATCTCTGGAAGACAAACAGGTTTCCCTCAATATGTTTTCTGTATTTAGCGCCATCCATCATTCCTTCAATTCTGACCAGTTTCCCAGTCTCTGCCGATGAAAAACATCCCCACATCATGATGATGCCACCCCCATGGGGATGGTGTTCTCGGGGTGATGAGAGGTGTTTGGTTTGCGCCAGACATAGCGTTTTCCTTGATGGCCAAAAGGCTCAATTCTAGTCTCATCTGACCATAGTCTCCCACATGCCTTTTGGCAAACACCAAACGTCTTTAAGCAATGGCTTTTTTCTGGCCATTCTTCCGTAAAGCCCAGCTCTGTGGAGTGTAAGGCTTAAAGTGGTCCTATGGACAATCTCCGCTGTGGAGCTTTGCAGCTCCTTCAGGGTTATCTTTAGTCTCTTTGTTGCCTCTCTGATTAATGCCCTCCTTGTCTGGTCCATGAGTTTTGGTGGGTGGCCCTCTCTTGGCAGGTTTGTTGTGGTGCCATATTCTTTAAATTTTTTAATAATGGATTTAATGGTGCTCCGTGGGATGTTCAAAGTTTCGGATATTTTTTTATAACCCAACCCTGATCTGTACTTCTCCACAACTTTGTCCCTGACCTGTTTGGAGAGCTCCTTGGTCTTCATGGTGCCGCTTGCTTGGTGGTGCACCTTGCTTAGTGGTGTTGCAGACTCTGGGGCCTTTCAGAACAGGTGTATATATACTGAGATCATCTGACACAGATTGCACACAGGTGGACTTTATTTAACTAATTATGTGACATCTGAAGGTAATTTGTTGCACCAGATCTTATTTAGGGGCTTCATAGCAAAAGGGGTGAATACATATGCGCGCACCACTTTTCCGTTATTTATTTTTTAGAATTTTTGAAACAAGTTATTTTTTTCATTTCACTTCACCAATTTGGACTATTTTGTGTATGTCCATTTACAGGTTGTAATACAACAAAATAGGAATATTTTTGCAAGGCACTGTATAGTTCTGCTCCTTGATCCCTCACTGTGTTCCTATCTTTGCCAGAGGCTTTCCTAGAGATGGTAAGGCGGTGGGAGTTGAGGCAAAAAACAAGTGTGCATGTAACCAACTGGTAGTGAACCTAGTTGTCAGTTTTGAGAGTGGGAACAGTACACCGATGTTAAACGTCAAACGACTGTACAGTTAGCTATCAGTGTAAGGGTGACAGTTGAATTTGAGGTCTCATGCAGACAAGAATACCCATGATGCAATGCAATTAACCTTTTTTGACTATGAGCTGATACACAGATTGTGACACACATGTCTTTCCATACAGGTCTCAGGGTAGGCAACATATCACACTGTGTCACACCCTGATCTGTTTCACCTGTCTTGTGATTGTCTCCAACCCCCCACCAGGTGTATCCTATTACCTCATGTGTATTTATACCTGCGTTTTCTGTTTGTCTGTTGCCAATTCGTCTTGTCCCACCAGCGTGTTCCATGTGCTCTAGTTTTTGCTTTTTCTAGTCTTCCCAGTTCTGACCTTTCTGCCTGTCCTGATCCTGCCTGCCATCCTGACTCTGATTTGGATTACGACTCTTTGCCTGCCTTGACCTACCGATTGCCTGCCCCATGTACTGTAATAAACTCTGAGACTCGTACTATCCGCCTCCTGTGTCTGCATCTGGGTCTTAGCCTGATCCGTGATACTATGAACTCACACTGGAAACCAAAGTCAGTGATAAGCTACTGTGTGCTGTAGATTAGTCTACTAATCATTAATATTCTAATCTAATCAATATGGACACAAAAGTGAGGTGATTGGGACATACATTTTTTATAAAAGTTAATACAAATGATTTACCATAGTAACATTATTTGGGTTTTTGATAGATTCACTTCTACATAACACAAATAATATGTTACTATGGTAGTCACAGACTGGAATTGTGCTGTGGAACCTCTGTGACATCATAGTGTCCAAGCACAGTCATCATAGAAATTATGACATCATGAACAGTCACCTATGGTTTATTGTGACATCACCATGCCTCTGTATCCATTTGGGGTCAACAAGGTATGCCTGGCACAGTGAGTCAGTGGGTCATGAGGTATGGCATCTTGGAGGTTGTCAAATCCATCAACTACACTTGGTAGGTTCAGATAATTCATTGAAAAATAGATATTGCATTACAATATCATTGGTTATTACAATATATAGAACATGCCAATAGTTTGAATTATGTATTTACTTTGTAGATTCATATGTTTACTATTACAGCATATTAGTAAGGTCAACCCTGTCTGAATTAACCATTTTCTTAAAAGATAATCAAAGTTGTGCCATTAAAGAGGTGATGGCTACAAATCAACCATATTATTAGATTATAGAGGTAAAACATACGGCAGCAGGCTATTGTAGACGATTGTTTCAGTCTGAAAGAACTTAGTGGTACTCTGTTTCCTTGCCAGTCTGTGGGAGGCGTAGGGGGCTCAGGAGACAACCTCTCTCCATGGCCAGAGACTCACTGAAAGGGATGAGGAGGGGGAGAGAGGGGAGAGGGAAGCATGGGACTCCAGCCTGCCCCTGCCCACCAGGAGCCTCTGAGCCAACAGAGAGGAGAGACTCTCCCCAGCCACAGCGCAGGAGAATGGATGCCAACACTGTGAGGAGGCGCAGGCCTCCACTAGTCGCCTCTAGAGATGGGATGAAACGCTCTCCCCGTAAGAGGCTGGAGGCCGACTCTGTGAGGAGGTGCAGGTCTCCGTGCGGAAGAAGGAGAAACTCTCCCCAAGGCAGGTTAGCCAACCCTATCAGGAGAGGCAGGTCCCAGATCGAGAGGGACCAAGCTCCTGGGGGCCGCAGAGAGAGGGAGGGAAAGAGTGATGAGAGTAAGGAAGAGGAAGGAAGCAGCAGTAGCAGCTCCAGCTGTGCCAGTGAGAGTGAGACATCTGGAGAGAGTGAAGGAGAAAGGCAGGAGAGAGAAAGTAGAAGAGCAATGGAGCAGGCTTCTTGTCTGTTTGAAGAGATATCAGGGCTGAGGGTCAGGGAGAGTCCCTCCCAGGAGATAGAGAGTGAGGAACAACAACAACAACAACAACAACAACAAGCATTCCCTTATATGTTTAGAGAAAGGACTAACAGAACACCCAACCATTTACCAAGGGAGAACGCAAGAGGCCGAGCCAGACCCAAACCAAAACCCAGTAGGAGCGAACCCACCAACAAGGACTCTCCCGGTCCATCCCAAGCCAAGAACCCACACATGAGGCCCAACATGATCAAACTGAAGTCCAGAAAGAGAGTCAAAGCCAAGGACATGGGGGAGGAATCACTCCCGAGCCGACGCAGAAGTCGAAGTGAGACATCCAGCAGAAGTCCTTCTTCTCAGAGTGAGACAGTAGGAAGACAAGTCACTCCAGCCTTAACGTACACTCATAGACTCAGGCCCAGAGCCCCAGCCCCAGCTCCACATAGGCAGGCTGAGCTTGAGAGAGAAGCTGCTGCCATTAGAGAGAGAGGAAGGAAGAGAAAAGAGAAAACCCTGAGAGGACAGAACGAAGTGAAGGAGGAAGAGGAGGAGGAGGAAGAGGAAAATGACAGTGTGGTTCTTTCCTGTTCGGGACTGAAGGGAGGGAGGAGAGGAGGGCTGGTGAACAATGGTAAGGGACTAAACCTGGGAAGGCGTGATGATAACACCAAACAGAGGAAAAGAAAGAGAGCCAGAGAGGAGGAGGAGAGCAATGAGGAGTTGGTGGAGAGGGTGTGGTCCAGGGAGGGCTGGAAGAGGAATAAGAACAATAGAACCACTAGTGCAGAGATTCCCATCGTTGTCCACTATCTAACCCGACAAAGGAGACGCCAGTTGAAGAACCCACTACCCAACTATAGAGGATCATCCTCTTCTTCTTCATCCTCAGACTCCAGTATCTTTCATCTTGGACCCAACCCCAGTAAGACCTGACTCCACTTAGTATCAAAAGAAGAAGAATTAGCCTGGTCCCAGATGTGTTAGTGCTGTCTTGCCATGGGCCTGACAATGACCACGGGCGCTGGCAAGACAGCACAAAGACATCTGGGACCAGGCTAAAGAAGAACTAGTATTCGGATATGACATTAAACAGTATCTAATCTTGAGTTTGTTATTTCTAATCTGTGATGATTTGTGCTTTATCTCATGTGTAACTTTGTTGCAGGCAGCTTTGAGTCTCTCTTCACACTGGGGAGCATGCTGGGTAAAGGAGGATGTGGGGCGGTCTACGCCGCCATGCGCAAAAGTGACGGTCAACAGGTGAAGCTTTTAAGTTTGTTATAGAATTCTAATTCTGGTCATAGTAGGTTAACTGATAGACGAAAATTTGAACGTTTACTCCTATCAATATTTACATAACGCAAGAAGTGAAAGCACACTACTATATGAATATTTCATGTTGCTTTTTCCCCTCAGGTGGCCATAAAGTATGTGAACAGAGGAATGGCCGAGCCGTACGTAAAGCTTGTGAGTAGCCCGTTTTGGTTTACACAATTGCATGTACCGGAAGTCTAAGAATACAAAAAGCTCCTACTGGGTTTTGGTTTGGGTCTGGCTCAGCCTGTTGCGTTCTCCCTTGGTAAATGGTTGGGTGTTCCGTTGGTCCTTACTCTCAACAAATAAGGGAATGCTTGTTGTTGTTGTTCCTCACTCTCCTTTTCACCTGTGGAAAACACCCCATCCAATGGCAACACCCTCTAAACCTTTCCACCTTTCTCCCCTCAACCCCATCTCTCCTCCTCACCTCTCCCAACTTCCCCACCCCTCTCACCTCCAGCCTGGACAGAGGAGTGCCTTGCCCCTGGAGGTGGCCCTGATGCAGATCGTCTCACGGCCCCCGTCCTGCTGCTACGTGCTGGGCCTGCTGGATTGGTTTGAGGAGGTAGAGTGGTTCATCCTGGTGCTGGAGAGACCCTATCCCTGCATGGACCTGTTCGACTTCATCGAGGAGCTGGGAGGCCGGGTGGACGAGTGTCTGGCCAGGATCATCATGATACAGGTGATGGGTCTAGTCCTGTGTGGCTCAGTTGGTAAAAGCGTGGTGCTAAGGTTCTGGGTTCAATTCCCGCAGGGATCACTTACACAAATATCTCTAGTCTCTCCTAAGTCACACTTTACTTAGTCAACTATGTCACTTTAGATAAGAGCGTTTGTTAAGAGCCATATATTATGTTATTACAGGTGGTACTGGCTGTTCGGCATTGCCGCGACCGAGGGGTCCTGCACCGAGATGTCAAGGCTGAGAACCTGCTGGTGCAGACAGACAACCTGCAGGTTAAGCTCATCGACTTTGGCTGTGGAGACCTTCTGAGAGAATCCTCCTACAGAGACTACTCAGGTAGAACACAACAGGAGAATGGCTGGTCAGGGTTATTATGTTCAGTAGGCAGGAAATGCAAGAAAACGTTCTGAAACTGAGTGAAATGGGGAGGTACTATCTAAACTCGTCCAATAAGAAGCGCTCATTACTGTTTCCCGTTTTAAAACTTTTTGTCAGTGTGCCCTAATGTAAAGATCAACAACAACAACATTTAAAAAAGTGGATATTATTCACATATGCATAAATTACAGTAATCACTCTGTTTCCCCCCTTCTATTGCTTCCTCCTCAGGCACAGAGGAGTACTGTCCTCCAGAGTGGGTGCTGAGCGGTGTGTACCAGGGCCGCCACGCCACCATCTGGTCACTGGGGGTACTGCTCTACGGCCTGGTGTGTGGCCGTCTGCCCTTCCACAAGGAGGCTGATATCATCGCTGGGCGCCTGCGCTTCAAAAAGGGCCTGACTAAAGGTGAGGGGGAGGGAGGTAAGAGCGAGAGACCATTTGAGATAAAAAATAACACCGTTTGTGTTGGTAAACATGAGTATGTATTTGGTTGTGGTCATGGATACATAATAAGGTGCTCAAAGACCAAAAAAATTTGAATAGTGACCCAAAGGCAAACTCACCATCCTATCATTTTTCTTTATGATACAGAGTGTAAGGAGTTGATCAACTGGTGTCTGCAACAGAATCCCACCAAGAGGCCAGTTTTAGAGCAGATCCTCCTTCATGACTGGATGGCAGAGGGACAGGTGATCTAGGACGAGCTTTAGGAGACTGGGTGACCTACCACCTGGGTCAGCTGTGGCGGCTCACAAGATACAATGACAACAACGATCATGGAAGAAATGCAAAAATAACCTTTTCAAGCTACCAGTATATGAATAAAGACAAGCAAGCATTCAAAACACATCCTCTGAGTGGCATGTCATTTTTTTTAGCAGTTTTTTCATCGTCATTTTCCATTGTCTTGTTTTTTCATAGAGAAACTTTAGTATTTGAAATTTCAGGAAATAAAAAAAACTCTAAAACAGTAGGATGTTTGTTTATTATATCTAGAAATGTCCTATATAGCATATAAAAAAAAGAATATTTCAATAAGGCATTTGGTCATTTGATTCAGAATGTTTACACTTGTTCTAAAGTAATAACTCTATCGATGGATTTGTCAAGACATTCTGATATGTTTCTATACTTATAAATAGGTTATAGAAAAGAGGATGCCCGTTGAGACGTGTCCAGGAACATGTGATAACATCACGCCATTACTCCATTCCAAAGGACTTGTTCCTAGCTTGGTCCTAGATCTGTTAGTGCTGTATATTAATGCCCATTGGAGTTGGCTATAGACGACAAACAGATCTGGGAACAGGTTAACTTATTCCAGCATAATAACGCACAAACTGGTCTCTGCATTAGAGGGAATGAAAGCTTACTTTATGGTGCCATCTACTCACCATGATGATAGCACAATATTTATCTTGGAAAATGACATATTATTACATGTCATCCTTATGACATTACGATGATGTAAATCTTACGATATTAGTATTTCTCATCTTCTTTGACAACAACAAAACAAAACATTTGACAAACGTTGGATTCCGATCGAATATCATTAAGCATTTTAGGACTATGGAGGGGCCATTTGAGACAGGCTGTCTGATGTCTGATGTCTGCGAGCGTAGAGAGGAAACCAGTTATGGGCCCATATTCATAAAGCGTCTCAGAGTGTCCATGTACTCTTCTTCATTATGATCTAAAAGGCTAAACTGATCCTAGATCAGCACTCCTACTTTGAGACGCTTTATGAATACATGACCTGGGGGTTTTAGTGCCAGCACATCCCCTGAGTGAGTGGTCCCAGTGGCAGTCAGTCAGGTCCAGTGCAGCTCTACACAGTTTTCCTGGCTGTCAGCACTCTCACGATGGAGCCCACTCCTCCAGCAGAGAGAGCCTAGAACACACACAGAAAGATACACACACAGTATGAATACAGTGAATGCAAATAATAGCATTATATCAGCAACTAGCGGCACCCATTGGACATTAATATTTTGATTCAATGCAATTCCTCCCTCCTGCAAATGTAATAGCCTATATGTTCATCTGGTCAGCTTTTTGGTCTCTGGATAGGATACCAACATTTTCAACTCTGGAGCATTTAAAAAAAAAAAAATTGTTGTAGGCACTTGCTTTCTGGACCGTTACTAAAGTCAGTGAGATGTGCGATATGCCCACTCGCTGGTGCGTGTGTTGGTGTGGCATGCTTTGATAGGCCTACCATGAACCCATGTTATCCATATCTATTTAAAAACAGAAGCCTACAATAGAATGACTATTGTGATGCATAATTGCAATGCAATTCCCCCCTTCTGCAAATCAAAAATGTGTTCATCTGTTCAGGTTTTTGGTCACTGGATATAGAAAAAACTCCCATAGGCCTTTTTTTTTGTGACCAATGTATTTATTTTGTCCGGGGGGTGGGTATTACAGGTACAATATTTAAATTAATGTAAATTCATATTCCTCCCATAGGCTTATTTCCCTTGGGATCATGGCACTTGCTTTCTATTTAAAATTAAATGTTTTGATAGGCATTTTTACATAAGAGCAGACGCTCTTATCCAGCGCGACTTACAGTAGTCAGTGCCTACATTTTCATACATTGTTTTTCGTACTGGTCCCCCGTGGGAATCGAACCCACAACCCTGGCGTTGCAAGCGCCATGCTCTACCAACTGAGCCACACGGGACCCATGAGCCTACCCATGAGCCTACCAACTGCGCATACCATGAACCCATCTTATCCATATCTATTAAAAAACTGTAGGCCTGTAGGTTAGGGATGGTCCTGCATGTCCGTTACGCAAGACTCCCATCAAAACTGGGAGCGCAAAGCTCACGTTTGTTGCCTATGTTTTAGGCCTAGTGCTTGTTTGACTCATTATGTACCTTGCTCTAATTGACCGCATTATTTGAAAGGATTTGAAGCTTAGTTTAAGAATTGGGGAAAACAGGGCAGCGGGTCATGAGATCTGCTGACTGCTGTTGAAGATTTTACGCACAGGCCCGCCAGTGCCGCCATAGACTATAAGCGCAGCAGCGCAGTTGAAAGGATGCTGCACCTTGGATACTGCAGATTGCTGGCTGAATATTACTATTACTATTGTGACGCATAATTGCCATGATAATTTGGAATGTCCAGTCAATGAACATTATGGGTAATATAGTCATTCTACAGATTCAAAATGTGCCTACAAATGGCTAAATCATTGACATTGTCACAGCATTGTATCCCAGGGATCCCGGACATTCCAAAACAACAAAAAACAGGAAAATAAACAAAAATACAAAACATAGCGGAATATAACGTGTACCAGATGTAAGAGTACGAAGCGCTTCTTTTGAGCCTAAAATGAATACAATCGGTGCAAAATTGTAGGATCCTCCCACAGCTGAGAGGCTTACCCTATCATAACATAGACTCTTCAACCATGTCCCTGACCACCTTCCTCTGATCAAGCCATGAACTGTCCCTCGCCGTCTTTGGAGGATGCATGCACTCAAAGACTTGGCCTCTATTGGTTGAACTAACAAGGCTACTCAAGATGATGCATTGTTTTATGGGGGGTTTTCAGTGCTTTTGAAGCGCTCTGAGATTATGAAAAGCGCGATAGAAATGTAAATGATAGATATATGGAAATACCAGCAATAACAGCAATATAAGCATAAATTGTACTTCAGTGTCATCACCTCATAATAGAAATCCATGCATGTGCTTTATCAGTCATCAGTCAGGCTTTAGCATGCCTACATAAGTGCTTCCAGCCATACACCAATAAGGATAAGTCTTACCTTTTCGTGCCACAGCAGCAGGGTAGCACTGCTGTTTTCGGAGGGATTCTCAAAGCCCTTATAGATGTACTTCATGAGCAGGTCAACTCCATTCTTATCCAGAGACTGAACAGCCTTCTCAATATCACTACTCTTGAAGGCGCTCAACACTTTAAGCACCAGAGCTTCAGCACGATCCTATAGCGCACACACACAATCACACACACAGTGTTATTTTAGTATCTTCTGCTACGGAAGTACACACTTTCACATGCCTCAACTCTATGATGTCGTGATGTGTGAACCACAGACTATACAGTTCAGTTTTGAGGAGATGGAAGCTCAAAGTGTATTTTGAGGAACACAAAGGCAAGTTGTTTCACATGGGACTGTTATTAATGCTCAAAACGGTTCTATTGTGTTGTAATGAAGGCTCACCTTAACATTTTGGTTTTTGGTGTTGATTGGGGGATTCTTCAGCACAGCCTGCAGAGCTTCCATCAGGTTGCCTGTGCATCACAGTGTTAAGGAAAACAGACAGAATGACAACACACAACACACAACACAGTTTCACACTGATAAGACAGCCATGGTCAGCTTGATTCACCTCTTCAAATCATGTTGCTTTTATGTTTCAGAAACTCAATGACTCACTGACTGCTGGAATTCACTTCCTAACCTCAACTTGTCTGAACCTGCTTTGAAACAAATTACTGTCTTCAGATCATAAACAAAAAATATTAGGCCTACTACTACCACCACTAAACTTCTACTGAATACAACACCAAATCTGACTGCACAACATGTATTGTATTTTCTCGTCATAATAAAATGACATGAGAGCACCACGCCCTGAGTTGAAGTGACACGCGCAAAAGCATCGACTTCATTCTGCAACATCATATCACGACAAAGCACAGCAAATCTGTATCGGCTTCACACCACTCTATCAAATGTAACCGTGCACTTAGTAAATCAAATCAATGTAAAAGGATATTGTCTGATCAGCGAATCCACTTCTGCTTCATCTGGGCCGACCTGACTCTCTCCATTATCATCATCATCGACAAATTTGTTCTCGTCGTACTCGTCAACGTCCACCTTCCTGAATTGGTTCGAATCAGTATTTTTCGACATTTTGACGTTATGTTTTGTTGTTTAAAGAAGAATTAGGAAGAATACTGCAATCTGTCTGTGCTCCTTTCACCGTTAAAAGATTCCTGCTTTCATTTCCTGTCTCGCACTGACAGCTTCACTTCCGTATTGAGGGCGCTCTCTAGTGGTTGATGAATGATTTGTCTAGATGGAGCAGTACTCATAAATAACAGTAGATGGTGGTAGAGGTCAAGACAAAACTAGCTCTCTGTCTAACATTTACATTTACGTCATTTAGCAGACGCGCTTATCCAGAGCGACTTACAAATTGGTGCATTCACCCTATAGCCAGTGGGATAACCACTTTCCCCCCAAAAAAAATTTTTTTTTTGGGGGGGGGGGGGTAGAAGGATTACTTTATCCTATCCCAGGTATTCCTTAAAGAGGTGGGGTTTCAAATGTCTCCGGAAGGTGGTGAGTGACTCCGCTGTCCTGGCGTCGTGAGGGAGCTTGTTCCACCATTGGGGTGCCAGAGCAGTGAACAGTTTTGACTGGGCTGAGCGGGAACTATGCTTCCGCAGAGGAAGGGGAGCCAGCAGGCCAGAGGTGGATGAACGCAATGCCCTCGTTTGGGTGTAGGGACTGATCAGAGCCTGAAGGTACGGAGGTGCCGTTCCCCTCACAGCTCCATAGGCAAGCACCATGGTCTTGTAACGGATGCGAGCTTCAACTGGAAGCCAGTGGAGTGTGCGGAGGAGGGGGGGTGACGTGAGAGAACTTGGGAAGGTTGAACACCAAACGGGCTGCGGCATTCTGGATGAGTTGTAGGGGTTTAATGGCACAGGCAGGGAGCCCAGCCAACAGCGAGTTGCAGTAATCAAGACGGGAGATGACAAGTGCCTGGATTAGGACCTGTGCCGCTTCCTGTGTAAGGCAGGGTCGTACTCTCCGAATGTTGTAGAGCATGAACCTGCAGGATCGGGTCACCGCCTTGATGTTAGCGGAGAACGACAGGGTGTTGTCCAGGGTCACGCCAAGGCTCTTCGCACTCTGGGAGGAGGACACAACGGAGTTGTCAACCGTGATGGCGAGATCATGGAACGGGCAGTCCTTCCCCGGGAGGAAGAGCAGCTCCGTCTTGCCAGGGTTCAGCTTGAGGTGGTGATCCGTCATCCATACTGATATGTCTGCCAGACATGCAGAGATGCGATTCGCCACCTGGTTATCAGAAGGGGGAAAGGAGAAGATTAGTTGTGTATCGTCAGCGTAGCAATGATAGGAGAGGCCATGTGAGGATATGACAGAGCCAAGTGACTTGGTGTATAGGGAGAAAAGGAGAGGGCCTAGAACTGAGCCCTGGGGGACACCAGTGGTGAGAGCACGTGGTGCGGAGACAGCTTCTCGCCACGCCACTTGGTAGGAGCGACCGGTCAGGTAGGACGCAATCCAGGAGTGAGCCGCGCCGGAGATGCCCAGCTCGGAGAGGGTGGAGAGGAGGATCTGATGGTTCACAGTATCAAAGGCAGCAGACAGGTCTAGAAGGACAAGAGCAGAGGAGAGAGAGTTAGCTTTAGCAGTGCGGAGAGCCTCCGTGACACAGAGAAGAGCAGTCTCAGTTGAATGACCAGTCCTGAAACCTGACTGGTTTGTAGTGAAAGGCTGAAATACCTGCATTTTGGAGCTGCCTTACTCAAGAAAGCAAAAAATAGACTATGTTTGTATGCGGCTTTATTAACTCAATGTTGTTGTTGTTTGTTTTTTTTTACATTGTTTGAAACTGATATGTGACACATTAATGCCAAAATAACATCCAAAGCAGGCAAAAAATAAGAATAAAAATATATTATATATTTAGCTAAACAGGTGGGGCTCGAAACAGGTGAATGACATGTCACCACTGGTCTGTACCAATAAACCTTTATGGATGCATTTAGATAGGCAGCCGAATTCTGATCTTTTTCCACTAATTAGTCTCATCAGATCTTTTCACAGCAGCTCTTTTTCAGAGCTGATCTGATTGGTCAAAAGACCATATGTGGAAAGAAAGATCAGAAATGGGCTGCCTGTCTAAACGCAGCCTATGAGCCACATAAATAAAATAATTATCGAGGTTGCATAGTGACCATTTGAGAACAATAATAAACAAGCTTTCATTGTATATGAGACACAATGCATATGAATACACTGTGTCAGATCCAATGTATTGAGTGTGTCTCTCTAAGGTTAGATTTGACTGTGCTTTGTTTCAGTTTCACAGCCATTGGTGGGGTTACTGAAATTGGTGGATGCTTATATTTGTCCCGTTACACACTTGTACAAGTGTGTAATGGAAATGTGTTTCTTGCATATTCTAACTCCCCCTGAGACACCCGCAGAGGGTGGCGTCACAGACAGGGTCACCATTTTCCATCACCCCTGGAGCAATTGGGGTTAAGTGCCTTGCTCAAGTGCATAGCAACAGATCTTTCACTTTGTAAGCTCCATAATTCGAACCAGCAACTTTCGGTTACTGGCTTAACACTCTAACCTCGAGACAATGTTCGGAGAGAGAAGAGGGAAATTCCCTCTCAACTATAGATGAGGAATGACAAAATTCCCAGGTAGCCTATTGAAACACATTGCTTAAATATGGTTTCCTAGCAGGAGGTAGGAAGTTATATGACTCCTGTATGCCATGCCAGTGCCTTAAGCCTACCCCTAACCACTTTCAATACAATGAGGACCCCGTTAACCATCAGCAGACAATGAAGTATGCTAAGTTGAGAGCCTAGTCAGCTAGGTTAACAGAGGCTACTGTGACAAAACATGAGTCAACTAACACACTCCTGCTCCAGTTTATTCCAGTTTATGAATTGAACACATAGTGAGAGTTTAGGAGATTCACTTAAGTGTTAGTAGTACGTGTTATTAAATATACCATTCAAACCAGGAAATAGGAGTGAAAAAATGAGTCAGCGTGCAATTTCTAGATGATGAGTGTGTGAGTCTTTGAAGTCCTTGCCAGTGGAAGCAAAGGAGCATACTGTAAGTAGTAATTCCATGTCTAGACAGCTGGTTTACAGCAAAAGGGAAGAAAAGTGAAATAGAGCTGAGTCATTATTTTTGTAATGATCTCTTTTCTGTCCACCCAGAGCAGTATGTGGATTCCTTCCACTTGCATACATCGCACGTATACAATCACACAATACAAATCCAATCAAATTTTATTTGTCACATGCGTCGAATACAACAGGTGTAGACCTTAACGTGAAATGCTGACTTACAAGCTCATAACCAACAATGCAGTTCAAGAAATATAGAGTTAAGAAAATATTTACTAAATAAACTGAAGTCAAAAATAAAATAAAAAGTTACAAAATAAAATAACAATAACGAGGCTATATACAGGGGGTACCGGTACCGAGTCAATGTGCAGGTTAGTCGAGGTAATTTGTACATGTAGGTAGGTGTAAAGTCACTATGCATAGATAATAAATAGTGAGTAGCAGCAGTGTAAAACAAAGGGGGGGGGGGGGGGGGGGGTCATTGTAAATAGTCAGGGTGGTCTATTTGATTAATTGTTCAGCCGTTACACACTTGTACAAGTGTGTAATGGAAATGTGTTTCTTGCATATTCTAACTCCCCCTGAGACACCCACAGAGGGTGGCGTCACAGACAGGGTCACCATTTTCCATCACCCCTGGAGCAATTGGGGTTTAAGTGCCTTGCTCAAGTGCATAGCAACAGATCTTTCACTTTGTAAGCTCCAGAATTCGAACCAGCAACCTTTCGGTTACTGGCTTAACACTCTAACCTCGAGACAATGTTCGGAGAGAGAAGAGGGAAATTCCCTCTCAACTATAGATGAGGAATGACAAAATTCCCAGGTAGCCTATTGAAACACATTGCTTAAATATGGTTTCCTAGCAGGAGGTAGGAAGTTATATGACTCCTGTATGCCATGCCAGTGCCTTAAGCCTACCCCTAACCACTTTCAATACAATGAGGACCCCGTTAACCATCAGCAGACAATGAAGTATGCTAAGTTGAGAGCCTAGTCAGCTAGGTTAACAGAGGCTACTGTGACATAACATGAGTCAACTAACACACTCCTGCTCCAGTTTATTCCAGTTTATGAATTGAACACATAGTGAGAGTTTAGGAGATTCACTTAAGTGTTAGTAGTACGTGTTATTAAATATACCATTCAAAACCAGGAAATAGGAGTGAAAAAATGAGTCAGCGTGCAATTTCTAGATGATGAGTGTGTGAGTCTTTGAAGTCCTTGCCAGTGGAAGCAAAGGAGCATACTGTAAGTAGGAATTCCATGTCTAGACAGCTGGTTTACAGCAAAAGGGAAGAAAAGTGAAATAGAGCTGAGTCATTGTTTTTGTAATGATCTCTTTTCTGTCCACCCAGAGCAGTATGTGGATTCCTTCCACTTGCATACATCGCACGTATACAATCACACAATACAAATCCAATCAAATTGTATTTGTCACATGCGTCGAATACAACAGGTGTAGACCTTAACGTGTAATGCTGACTTACAAGCCCTTAACCAACAATGCAGTTCAAGAAATATAGAGTTAAGAAAATATTTACTAAATAAACTGAAGTAAAAAATAAAATAAAAAGTTACAAAATAAAATAACAATAACGAGGCTATATACAGGGGGTACCGGTACCGAGTCAATGTGCAGGTTAGTCATGTTCGATCAGGTTCAAGTCCAGGCTCTGGCTGGGCCACTCAAGGACATTCAGAGACTTGTCCCGAAGCCACTCCTGCGTTGTCTTGGCTGTGTGCTTAGGGTCGTTGTCCTGTTGGAAGGTTAACCTTCACCCCAGTCTGAGGTTCTGAGCGCTCTGGAGGAGGTTTTCATCAAGGATCTCTCTGTACTGTGCTCCGTTCATCTTTCCCTCGATCCTGACTAGTCTCCCAGTCCCTGCCGCTGAAAAACATCCCCACAGCATGATGCTGCCACCACCATGCTTCACTGTAGGGATTGTGCCAGGTTTCCTCAAGACATGACGCTTGACATTCAGGCCAAAGAGTTTAATCTTGGTTTCATCAGACCAGAGAATATTTTTTCTGATGGTCTGAGTCCTTTAGGTGCCTTTTGACAAACTCCAAGCGGGCTGTCATGTGCCTTTTACTGAGGAGTGGCTTCCGTCTGGTCACTCTACCATAAAGGCCTGATTGGTGGATTGCTGCAGAGATGGTTGTCCTTCTGGAAGGTTCTTCCATCTCCACAGAGGAACTCTGGAGCTCTGTCAGAGTGACGATCAGGTTCTTGGTCACCTCCCTGACCAAGGCCCTTCTCCCCTGATTGCTCAGTTTGGCCGAACGGCCAGCTCTAGGAAGAGTCTTGGTGGTTCCAAACTTTTTCCATTTAAGAATGATGGAGGCCACTGTGTTTTCTGGGACCTTCAATGCTGCAGACATTTTTTAATACCCTTCCCCAGATCTGTGCCTCGACAAAATCCTGTCTCGGAGCTCTACGGACAATTCCTTTGACCTCATGGCTTGGTTTTTGCTCTGACGTGCGCTGTCAACTGTGGGACCTTATATAGATAGGTGTGTGCCTTTCCAAATCATGTCCAATCAATTGATTTTACCACTGGTGGACTCCATTCAAGTTGTAAAAAAACATCTCAAGGATGATCATTGGAAAAAGGATGCACCTGAGCTCAATTTCGAGTCTCATAGCAAAGGGTCTGAATACTGATGTAGATAATGTATTTCTGTTTTTTATTTTGAATAAATTAGCAACAATTTCTAAAAACCTGTTTTCGCTTTGTCATTACGAGATATTCTGTGTAGATTGATGAGGAAAATGTTTATTTAATCCATTTTAGAATAAGGCTGTAACGTAACAAAATGTGGAAAAAGTCAAGGGGTCTGAATACTTTCCGAATGCACTGTCTATATATATATATATATATATATATATATATATATATATATATATATATATATATATATATATCTTTGCTGTCACGAGGGGGGCCGCTAAAATGTGTGTGTGTGTGGGGGGAAGGCATTTCTATTTTTTCGTAGCCCACACCCCCATCAAAGTTGCCTATCCCTGGACTAGGCTACTTGCAGTAGGCTGAACCATTGCCATCGCCAAAAAATTGCACCTGTTCAATGTCAGTAACTGCACCGCCAGAACTGATGTCGACAGGTAGCCAACCACATCCACTTTTAAATAAAATAAAAAATGTATGCACTCACTAACTGTAAGTCGCTCTGGATAAGAGCGTCTGCTAAATGACAACATTTTTTTTAAACAAATTTAAACAAATCTGAGTTCATTATTAGGCTACTAACTAGGTATACTATAGTCAGTCACTTTAGTCTCTTAACTCAGCTAGATGAGCAAGCTCAATTAGTTCATATTTCATTCATAAACATGTGTTACTAACTCTTGCAAATAAGTATTACATTAAAATACATTTTTGTCATTTAGCAGACGCTCTTATCCAGAGCGATTTACAGTTAGTGAGTGCATACATCATTTTTTAAATCATACTGGCCCCCCGTGGGAATCGAACCCACAACCCTGGCGTTGCAAGCGCCATGCTCTACCAACTGAGCTACACGTTATTATTCAAATAACTAAGCATCACATATAAAACATATTAAGGATGTCAAAGACAAATTAAAAAATGTTGTGGTTTGGTTAGTCATCCTACTTTCACTGTCAAGACAATTATACATTTGTCCACATGTAGCGACAAATCACCACAAATGCGTCCCACCGTCCATACTGTATATGGTCCGTGCACGTGGTCCGTTTTGACAAAGCTCTTAAAATAAAAAATATATCAAATGCATATTTATAAATGTACATGTATATTTATCCTGCTGTTTTTACCAAACAAATGTCAATGATTTGTATATACAGTATATGGGCCATTCCTTACTTACTGGTCATTGCTTTGGAAGTTTGCCAATAATGCATTTTCACCAAAAAAGGAAATCACAATTACATCTTGAAATAATTACTTAATTACAAAACTATTACATAGCCTAACATTTATATTATGTTTGTTTAAATATCTAAATATTAAAAAGTAAAATAATATTGTGTTAATAAGAATGAGAATAAAAATAAGAATAACAACTATATAAATAATAACCATAATAATAGTCCTAATAAATAATAATGGATGATTATGATTATGATTTATTAATGATATCTAATTGATTGATTTAACAATTTAAAACACATATAAATGTTACAACCGGCAACAGATACATATACCAACAGTTGAGGAGATAAACACAATAAAGTCAAAATACTTTAGTATTGTGTGCCATAACTTTTGTTGACAGCATCAGATAGCCGATGGTGGAGAAATAAGTAAAGCTTCCCTATGACCGACCTACTTTAGTGCAGTATTAGCCTGCTGGCTCAAATAACAGTGGATACTTAGACGCAACAGTGTAGGGCTGTAGGCTGTATTCCTTTCAGTATTGTTATCAATCTTCAGTGGAAAAACAAGAGAAAGTCTCTGCACACTTCTAGTCAGATGCACATTTATTTTGATCGTAGCTAAGCTTTCGGTCAGTCGACCTTCATCGGAGCATTTCTCCAAAAACAATAGTGACAGATAAGGCCACACAGAGAGCCAGAGGTCAACTGACGGAAAGTTTGGCTACGATCAAAATACATTTGGATCTGCCTAGAAGTGTGCGGACACTTTTTCCTGTTTTAACTTTTGCCTCCAGCACCTTCACTAATCGATTTCGGATGTTCGGTAGATTCTGCCTACATTTTTAGAAAATGTGTTACTTTTCTTATCAATCTTTATACAATACAATAAGACGACAACCCAAGTGATTGAATACACTGTAAATACCGTTACCTTTATGATTGAATACACTGTAAATACCGTTACTTTTATTTGATTGTTTTAAATTCTCACTATGTGGATGGATGCAGTACAGACCAAATACCTCCAAGAGGAAGATGATTGGTCAAAATGTCCCACCCCCGGCTCCCCTCAGTAGGTGCGTAATAGTTTGCGTAAGAGCTTGGAATCAGCATCATACATAAATATGGAGCAGGCATCCAAGAACCTCAGAATCACTGTTGTGAGCAGGAGTCGACTGGAACTTGACATTTTATACCGGATTGCGATTCAATAGAATCTTTCGGAATGAATAAAGCAATCTGTATTATTTTGCTCTTGACCGTAGGGCTCTATTTCTGCGAAGGAGGTGAGAATATTTATTTTGATTCTCATTTTAATATTTTTTCATCTTTAGTTATTCTATTGTGAAAATAATGTATTTGGCTTATTATAATTATACCTTTACTGTACATAAGGTGTTTTCGATTTATCTGAATTGTTTGTTAAAGATGAGAACGCTTGTAATGGAAAAAAATAGATAAATGGATAAAGTAATGAATATTAGTTTTGTATAGCCTTCTAAACTTTTGCCATATATTTTCAGTGGATCCTTGCTGTGCACAACCATGTGAAAATAGGGGGCTATGTAATTCAAAAGGCTTTGACGACTATGAGTGTGACTGCACAAGGACAGGATATTATGGAAAGAACTGCACAACTCGTAAGTTAAACATGTTCAGTAATACAGATTATTCGAACGATATAATGGTACATCCTTATTAATGTGATTTGTTCGATATTGTTGTTATAAATATTTCCCAATTCTATCCATTCTGCAGCTGAATTCCTAACATGGATAAAAATATCATTGAAACCAGCCCCGAACACTATGCACTACGTCCTTACTCACTACAAAGGGGTGTGGAACGTCATCAACAAGATCACTTTTGTGAGAAATGCTATAATGAGCTATGTCCTGACATGTAAGTTGAAATAGTATAACATTGTTGTCAGTGCATTCTAGAAGTTTAAGATTAATATTTGTCTATGAATAAAATAATGTTGAGTCAATTGATTATTTGGATATATGATATTTACTGATATGGGAAGTGTGGAGATAAAGTAAGACAAGAAGAAGGAAATAATACATGAAAAATATGTTTCAGTCATAAGTCTTACATTAAATTAAAAAGATTACATCTTAGCTCAGCTTCTTAACAAAATAAATAATGTTGCCTTTGCCTCTGTAGCCCGCTCACATTTGGTGGACAGCCCCCCGACTTACAATGCTGATTATGGCTACAAGAGCTGGGAGGCCTACTCCAACCTGTCTTACTACACACGGACCCTCCCCCCAGTGCCAAAGGACTGCCCTACACCTATGGGAACCGCAGGTGATGAGCTCACTCCTAACCAGTCTTTTGGAATTCCTTACAGCTTACCTGAGATCATGGAAACCTTAAAAATTCTCCTCAGACGGGTTCATCAATCATTCCCAACAGTCGAAAGTCACAGACTTCCCAAGTGTCCAAAACGAGACTGAACAATATGGCAGTCATATGAACATTAGTTTAACAGTCGTTAGTAACAAAATAAAGATTTTGTTGAGATAGAACCCCAATTATGTTGCTGACATCTTCTTTTGTCTCATGATAGGAAGAGCAGTGCTTCCAGATGCCAAGCTTGTGGTGGAGAAGGTTATGTTGAGGAAGCGGTTCATTCCTGATCCTCAGGGTTCCAATCTCATGTTCGCCTTCTTCGCCCAGCACTTCACCCACCAGTTCTTCAAATCAGACTTCAAGAAAGGACCAGCTTTCACCAAAGCCTTGGGCCATGGCGTAAGTCTTATTTACAATACATGACAAATAGTGGGTCTGTCACATGAAAATATGTTTCCATTTTGTTTCATGGTTGACTTTAACTTAGGCTAGGAGTGTATGTTTGGACTCACTTTTTACCTCTGTGTTTAAGGTGGACTTAAACCATGTCTATGGAGACACTCTGGAGAGACAGCACAAGCTGAGGCTGTTCAAGGATGGCAAACTGAAGTATCAAGTTGTGAATGGCGAGGTCTACCCCCCATTGGTAAGGGAGGTTGGGGCCGAGATGCATTACCCACCCCACGTGCCTGAGGAGCACCGCTTCGCTGTGGGCCACGAGCATTTCGGCTTGGTCCCCGGCCTCATGATGTATGCCACCATCTGGCTGCGCGAGCACAACCGTGTCTGTGGCATCATGAGGCAGGAGCATCCCGAATGGGACGACGAACGCATCTTCCAGACCACACGCCTCATTCTAATTGGTGAGTCACCAGTACCAAAACTGGACATGCATACTGTACCTACTGGTCATAAACACTTCAGGTCCTTATGATGGGAATCGTGTATCAAAGTATGGCAATGTTCGAGTGTGTTCTAGAAATGGTACAATGCATTCAGATTAAAACCGCTCTGTATGAAACAGATCAAAATTATATTTGGGTGTCAGGTATTTCTTGAGAAATATCTCACCAACCTCAAGGAGTCTCATGCATTCTCTCATTCCCTCTCTTCCTTCTTTCCTGGCTTGCAGGCGAGACCATTAAGATCGTGATCGAGGACTACGTCCAGCACCTGAGTGGCTACCACTTTCAGCTCAAGTTCAACCCAGAGCTCCTCTTCAACCAGCGCTTCCAGTACCAGAACCGTATCGCAGCCGAGTTCAATACCCTGTACCACTGGCACCCACTGATGCCTGACACCTTCAACATCGAGGACCGCGCCTACACCTACCCCCAGTTTGTCTTCAACAACTCCCTGGTCACAGACCATGGCATCAACAACCTGGTGGAGTCGTTCACCAAGCAGATCGCTGGAAGGGTGAGTTGTCTGGTAGGGTGGACACAGTGGGGTCCAATGGGGAATAGTGGAAATGGGTGGACACTGTAAGATCCTAACAACAACAGTCTTTCATTGAGGGCTAAGTGACAACTCTTTTGACACCTTTTTTTCAAAGTAAAAATATCTTTTTGGGGTATAGTGTATGTTGTCAATCTCATTCATATAAAGCCAATATTAGATACAGGTGTTGTTGCCCTACTAAGTGAACACCTCTAAAACTCCAGTGCCCTTATACAGCTCCACTCATTTATTAATAATTTAGCATATAAAGTTGATATAAGTTGATATTGACAGAGGATCTTGATTCCCTTTGGTTTCCAGGTGGCTGGTGGACGGAACCTGCCTCCTGCATTAGTGGGCATGGCAGCTAAGGCCTTGGAGCACAGCAGAGACATGCGTTACCAGTCCCTCAACGCCTACAGGAAACGCTTCAACATGAGGGCCTACACCTCCTTTGAGGACCTCACAGGTGAGAACTAAAACCACATACACATCATATTATGATATTTATATATCCTCAATCTAACAGTTACCTAGTTACTGGGTGAAAGGTTACATTTAGTAAGCACAGGTGCATGGCAACTGAAGTAGTTCCTGAATAAAGTGACAGGATTGGTTCAGTCAGGCCCAGCTGTTTTGTTATTGGCATGGTTACCACCTCCATGACAGCTGCTGATAGAGAGTGGACAGGGAGTGGCTGTTGCCTTTTATGCACTTAAGGTGTATCATTAAAGTCTGCACCTGTAATCTTCAACGTACAATGACATACACAGTTACACTCTCACATGAGATTCACACAAGATCCAAGTGTATGGTGTCTGTACTTGCATCTGAGTTCCTATAAAGATCAGAACACAGACTTGTCATAACATGCACCTTGTTCGTTTACTTATTTCTTTGTGAGCTGAGGATTTATTGCATGCCTTTCTTTAGCTGCATTGCGGTATAGACATTTGTGACTAGCAGGCTAGATTTATTAACCCTTTGTTTGTTGTTCTGTTGGTGTTGCAGGAGAGACAGAGCTGGCTGCAGAGCTAGAGACTCTATATGGGGACGTAGATGCTGTGGAGCTGTACCCAGGCCTTCTGGTGGAGCGCCCCAGACCTAACTCTGTTTTCGGGGAGACTATGGTCGAGATGGGTGCCCCCTACTCCCTGAAAGGTCTCCTGGGAAACCCCATTTGCTCGCCGGAATACTGGATGCCCAGCACGTTCGGTGGGAGTGTGGGCTTTGACATCGTCAACACTGCTTCATTGGAGAGGCTGGTGTGCAGCAATGTCAAGGGTTCTTGTCCGATGGTGTCCTTTCAAGTGCCTGAATTTTTGAGAGCATTTGAGTCGGCGTCAGTCAACACAAGTGAGGCACACATGAATGACATGAACCCAGGTGTTCTGTTCAAAGAAAGTTCTTCAGAGCTTTAAAGAACTAAAGCTCCAGGTTTTATTCAAATACACATACACAAATACACAGTGTCTCAGTGTTCTAAAGCTGCTCTCATTTTAGGTTGTTTTACTCTATTTAGTTATTTATTTATTGTTGATTAATTTATGTATTTAATATTTATTTTGTATTGTTGAATATTGAGTTGTTATGAAGTTAAGTAATTATTACATTTTTAAATATGGATACCAGTTACTAATGTCTTACATGAACAAAAGCAAGTTAGTTTACTCTGTATACCATGTGGCACTTGAAGAAGTTACATTTACTTGAAGCAATGAACTATCAGAAATACTTGTATGTTGTTTAGTGTCTGTCTAGAATTTGAGCTACTGAAGGGAAAATCAGCTGGGCTGTATCTGTCAGTAATTTTTTGTTATTTTTAAGACCAAGACAATGTTATTACAAATGGATGAAGTGAATATTTGTGAGACTGTATTATGACAAACTGACATGAATAAATGCAAATGAATCAAACTAAAACATTTATCATCTTGATAAATTGATTGTCTTTTAATGTTTTCTCAAGTGCCAAACCATTTTAATTGGAATGTAAATTATGACTTTCATAACATTAAAGGGCAATCTGCAGTTGAAACAACAACAAACCGGCCACCCCACCCCTGTTTTTGGTAAACAGCTGAGGGATGGGGCTGGAGGATATATACAGTGTCTTCAGAAAGTATTCACACCCCTTGACTTTTTCCACATTTTGTTGTGTTACAGCCTGAATTAAAAATTGATTAAATTGAGATGTTTTGTCAACGGCCTACACACAATACCCCATAATGTCAAAGTGGAATTATGTTATTCGAAATTTTTACAAATTAATAAAAAATGAAGAGCTGAAATGTCTTCAATCAATCAATCAAATTTGATTTATAAAGCCCTTTTTACATCAGCCGATGTCACAAGTGCTAAACAGAAACCCAGCCTAAAACCCCAAACAGCAAGCAATGCAGATGTAGAAGCACAGTGGCTAGGAAAAACTCCCTAGAAAGGCTGAAACCTAGGAAGAAACCTAGAGAGGAACCAGGCTCTGAGGGGTGGCCAGTCCCCTTCTGGCTGTGCGGGGTGGAGATTATGACAGTACATGGCCATTAAGGCCAGATTTTTCACCAAGATTTTCAAACGTTCATAGATGACCAGCAGGGTCAAATAATAATCACAGTGGTTGTAGAGGGTGCAACAGGTCAGTACATCAGGAGTGGGAGGGAGAGAGGGAGAGAGAGAGAATAGAGGGAGCATACTTAAATTCACACAGGACACCGGATAAGACAGGAGAATAACACCAGATATAACAGACTGACCCTAGCCCCCCGGCACATAGACTATTGCAGCATAGATACTGGAGGCTGAGACAGGGGGGCCCCGTCTGACAATACCCTAAGACAAGGCTGAGTATAGCCTACGAAGATCTCCTCCACTGCACAAGCCCGAGGGGGCGACAAACCGGACAGGAAGATCACGTCACTGACTCAACCCACTCAAGTGATGCACCCCTCCTAGGGACGGCATGGAAGGCACCAGTAAGCCAGTGACTCAGCCCCCGTAATAGGGTCAGAGGCAGAGAATCCCAATGGAGAAACAGGAACCGGCCAGGCAGAGACAGCAAGGGCGGTTTGTCGCTCCAGTGCCTTTCCGTTCACCTTAGTGCTTTATCCGGGTAGGGAGTAGAACATTGCAGTAGTCTAATCTAGAAGTGACAAAAGCATGGATTAGCTTATCTCAATCATTTTTGGACAAAGAAAATCTGATTTTTTCAACGTTACGAAGATGGAAAAAAGCTGTCCTTGAAATATTCTTGATATGTTCGTCAAAAGAGAGATCAGGGTCCAGAGTAACGCCGAGGTCCTTCACAGTTTTTTTTTGAGTCGACTGTACAACCATCAAGATTAATTGTCAGATCCAACAGAAGATCTCTTTGTTTCTTGGGACCTAGAACTAGCATCTCTGTTTTGTCCGAGTTTAAAAGTAAAAAATGTGCCGCCATCCACTTCCTTATGTCTGAAACACATGCTTCCAGGGTAGGCAATTTTGGGGCTTCAACATGTTTAATCGAAATGTAGAGCTGTGTGTTGTCCGCATAGCAATGAAAGTTAACATTGTGTTTCTGAATGACATCACCAAGAGGTAAAATATATAGTGAAAACAATAGTGGTCCTAAAACGGAACCTTGAGGATCACCAAAACTTACAATTGATTTGTCAGAGGACAAACCATCCACAGAGACAAACTGATATCTTTCTGACAGATAAGATCTAAACCAGGCAAGAACTTGTCTGTGTAGACCAATTAAGGTTTTCAATCTCTCCAAAAGAATGTGGTGATCGATGGTGTCAAAAGCAGCACTAAGGTCTAGGAGCACGAGGACAGATGCAGAGCCTTGGTCTGATGCCATTAAAAGGTAATTGACCACCTTCACGAGTGCGGTCTCAGTGCTATGATGGGGTCTAAAACCAGACTGAAGCGTTTTGTATACATTTTTTGTCTTCAGGAAGGCAGTGAGTTGCTGCACAACAGCTTTTTCTAAATAAATTTGAGAGGAATGGGAGATTCGATATAAGCAGATCGTTTTTTACATTTTCTGGGTCAAGGTTTGGCTTTTTCAAGAGAGGCTTTATTACTGCCACTTTTAGTGAGTTTCGTACACATCCAGTGGATAGGGAGCTATTTATTATGTTCAACATAGGAGGGCCAAGCACAGGAAGTAGCTCTTTCAGTGGTTTAGTTGGAATAGGGTCCAGTATGCAGCTTGAAGGTTTAGAGGCCATGACTATTTTCATGAATGTGTCAAGAGATATAGGATTTAAAAACTTGAGTATCTCCATTGATCCTAGGTCCTGGCAGTTTTGTGCAGACTCAGGACAGCTGAGCTTTGGAGAAATACACAGATTCAAAGAGGAGTCCGTAATTTGCTTTCTAATGATCATGATATTTTCTTCGAAGAAGTTCATGAATTCATCACTGCTGAAGTGAAAGGCATCCTCTCTTGGGGAATGCTGCTTTTTAGTTAGCTTTGCGACAGTATCAAACATATATTTTGGATTGTTCTTATTCTCCTCAATTAGGTTGGAAAAATAGGATGATCGAGCAGCAGTGACGGCTCTTTGATATTGCTCTGTACTTTTTTTCCAAGCTAGTAGGAAGATTTCCAGTTTGGTGGAGCACCATTTCCATTCCAGTTTTCTGGAGGCTTGCTTCTGGGCTCGGGTATTTTGTGTATACCAGGGAGCTAGTTTCTTGTGACAAATGTTTTTAGGGGTGCGATTGCATCTAGGGTATTACGCAAGGTTACATTTAGATCCTCAGTTAGGTCGTTAACTGATTTTTGTACTCCAATGTCCATTCCTTCCAGTTCTCTGCTGCCAATGACTGGAACGAATTGCAAACATCTCTGAAGCTGGAGACTCTTATCTCCCTCACTAACTTTAAGCATCAGTTGTCAGAGCACCTTACCGATCACTGTACCTGTACACAGCCCATCTGAAATTAGCCCACCCAACTACCTCATCCCCATAGTGTTATTTATTTTGCTCATTTGCACCCCAGTATCTCTATTTGCACATCATCTCTTGCACATCTATCATTCCAGTGTTAATACTAATTGTAATTATTTTGCACTATAGCCTATTTATTGCCTTACCTCCATAACTTGCTACATTTGCACACACTGTATATATATTTTCTGTTGTATTTTTGACTTTATGTTTTGTTTTACCCCATATGTAACTCTGTGTTGTTGTTTTTATCGCACTGCTTTGCTTTATCTTGGCCAGGTCGCAGTTGTAAATGAGAACTTGTTCTCAACTGGCTTACCTGGTTAAATAAAGGTGAAATAAAATAAAGAAAGAAAGAAAAGTAGGTGGAGTGAGTCTGGAAGGGCCTCTAGGAATCTTTGGGTTGTCCGAGAATTTATAGCACGGCTTTTGATGGTCCTTGGTTGGGGTCTGAGCAGATTTTTTGTTGCGATTCCAAACGTAATAAGATGGTGGTTCGATAGTCCGGGGTGATGAGGAAAAACATTTAGATCCACAATATTTATTCCACGGGACAAAACTAGATCCAGGGTATGACTGTGGCAATGAGTAGGTCCAGAGACATGTTGGACAAAACCCACTGAGTCGATGATGGCACCGAAAGCCTTTTGGAGTGGGTCTGTGGACTTTTCCATGTGAATATTAAAGTCACCAAAAATGTGAATATTATATAGTCTTTTTTTTGGGGGGGGGGGGGGGGGGGGGGGGGGTAAATTGACATTTGCTATCGTAAATGTTAGCAACACCTCCACCTTTGTGGGATGCGCTGGGGATATGGTCACTAGTGTAACCAGGAGGAGAGGCCTCATTTAACACAGTAAATTAATCAGGCTCAAACCATGTTTCAGTCAGGCCAATCACATCAAGATTATGATCAGTGATTAGTTCATTGACAATAACTGCCTTGGAAGTGAGGGATCTAACATTAAGTAGCCCTATAAGCCCATTAAGTAGCCCTATAATCTCTTTCAATAATGACAGGAATGGAGGAGGTCTTTATTCCAGTGAGATTGCTAAAGCAAACACCGCCATGTTTAGTTTTTCTCAACCTAGATCGAGGCACAGACACGGTCTCAGTGGGGATAGCTGAGCTGACTACACTGACTGTGCTAGTGGCAGACTCCACTAAACTGTCAGGCTGGCTAAAAGCCTGCTGCCTGGCCTGCACCCTATCTCATTGTGGAGGTAGAGGAGTTAGAGCCCTGTCTATGTTGGTAGATAAGATGAGAGCACACCTCCAGCTAGGATGGAGTCCGTCACTCCTTAGCAGGCCAGGCTTGGTCCTGTTTGTGGGTGAGTCCCAGAAAGAGGGCCAATTATCTACAAATTCTATCTTTTGGGAGGGGTAGAAAACCGTTTTCAACTAGCGATTGAGTTGAGCTCATCACTCGCCCTAACTTGGAGGGGGCCAGAGACAATTACTCCATGCCGACATCTTTCTAGCTAATTTACACACAGAAGCTATGTTGCTCTTGGTTACCTCTGACTGTTTCATCCTAATATTGTTGGTGCCGACGTGGATAACAATATCCCTACACTCG